ATTTCCATCACAGTTTCACGTAAAACTACAATCATATAAATATACATATAATTAGATTTTCCTTCTTCTGCCATTGTTAGGTGATGCTTATCAGTTGGAATACACCCTAGCAATGTAAGGTGAATGCAGGATTATGACTAATTCTATGTATGATTGCGAACAAGATGTAATATAGCTTGTTGTTTGACTGACAAATTTATTCAACATCACAAACTGCAAAAATTACAACCTGAGGAATCACGTCAAAGGAGAATGCGATGAAGATACAAAGATGTGGCAAAAATAACCTCGAAAGGTGAGGAAACAAAAGTTATTGGACATACCCGGAATTGAACCGGGGACCTCATCCAGATTGACAAATTCCTTGGAAAATGCTAAGAATGCGTGATAACCCCTACACCATATGCCCGATAATTCGGATTACTTTTTCACTGATGTGTAGGCAGTTATTCCTGTGAAGTTTATTTTCCACCCAGATATGGCCGATTGGGTGTTGAAAGGTACAGCAATTAGTGAGAGTAGCCCTAGGAGAATTATATACTGAAGAAAATTTTATTTCCCGCAGAAAATCAGGAATGACGTCGAAGATCGTTAAGAATGTTCTCATGAAGAGGCTCACGCCATTCTTTAACATGTATTTATCATGCGACAAGTATTTGCCACAATGTAGTTATTTAGTGACCAAAAGTAAACGTTACAGAGGGCATCTACAGAGATTCATACTTTATAAGAGTATAATTGTACTATGCCCAGCTGGACTCAAGCGATTCCATTACTAACTTAACTTTGTCGTCCCTTGGTTGCACTCCATTCTGATTGATAACGTAACCTAAAAATTCTATACGTTTCATGGCGAATCCACATGTTGAAATCGTATTTGACTAAATTTGCTATGAAGAATGTCCTTGTGGTTGTTCTATCTAATATGTCTGTTGTTAATTCTACAATACCTAGCTTTGTTCGTTTTTGTTTACCAATAACCATACATCTTACCGTTATTTCTTTCTACAACTGTTTATTAAAGAAATCTGCACTTGCTCCCGGGTCTAATAGTCCTCTTGTTTCTTCTCCGTCCGTCCTGACTGGTGCTGTGAACATTTTGTCTTCTGGAGCGTCCACATCGATTTCGGTGAGGGTTACTTAATTGATTCTTCCTGTGTGTGGACATTGGCGACTTATGTTCCCGATTTTCCCGCAACTGTAACACTGTTTGTTATTCCATCTGTTGGCTCTGGTCCTACGTTGTTGCGGTGGTGGTGGCACGAAAAACCTAAAATCGTTTGGTCTAAGTTTCGTCTGCGAGCCTTGGGGTTTTCTTTTATGTATCGCTCGAAATTTGCTGCGATTTGAAAGGCTTCATTGAGCGTTGCCGGGTTTTTATCCAATACATGATTTTCTATGTCAGGCTTGAGGGCTCCTGTGAAGATGTCGATCTCAACCTTTTCTGCCATGGGTACTTCAGGTGGTAATGTTCTTTGTAACTTTATGTATGTATGAATGAGTTCGTCGACCGTATTGGTTTGCTTTAGGGTCCTATACTGTCTGATGCGAAGGCTTCCTTCTGTTGGTTACTGAAAGTTTCCATTAAAACGAGTTGGAACTCTTCCCATGGTGGTGGAGTTTCTCCTTGCGTTTGACGGTACTGTACATACCAGTATCGGGCGTGCCCAATGAGTAAACCGGCTGCGTATTCAGTTTTCTTTTCCTCAGTGTCTGTTACATACTTGAAATAGGTATTTAATTGGTCAACCCATCCTGTGATCTTAAGTGTGTCTATTCCTCCCGCGAATGTTGGTGGTTCTCTTATTTTTAATTTCCCGTCCCTATCTTTGTCGTTTAATAGCCTTTCTCTTCTGTTTTCTTCATGTTTTCTTGTTGTCTCTTGCCAGAATGCTCGATACGCGTCTTCTTTTGCCTGCTGCGTTGCTTCAAAGCTGATTCATCGTCTTTCTAGTTCTTCTTGTAATGCTCGAATTCTGGCTTCGTTTACGGCCCTTTCGTTTGCTACCGCTTCTGCTATTCTGGCTCTAATGTGGTCGTAAAACGCGGCGACTTGCGGCTCGTTGCCACCCAGGTACATTCCCGTTGCTCGGTTTGCTAAATCTTGATCTTCTGACATTACTTTCTTGTTATGTTTAACAGGTGAACTACCTTGCTATCTCTTCACTAATAACTGCTCGGTTTCTCTGGCGAAGCTACCAACTGTGAACGTCTTACTCTTTGTGATGTGAAAACTTGCGCAAAGGGTGAGAGGCGTTGATATTAATAAAAGAATTGAGTCTAAGGTTATCAAAAGAAAAAGTAGTCGTTCAAATAGTTTAGGATTCTAGGGTTATTCTCATTGTTCGTTATCTTCATTGTTCTTGTGCATAATCATGCGCAATCTTCATTGTTCTTTATTCTATTTAAAGTTGGCCGAGGTTCCTGAGGGTGGTCCTAGCCTTGTAGGTAGAAAGCCGTATCCTTACAGCCCGATAAGTGAGCCTTCCTTTCTACTGATGTGTACGCATTTATTCCTGTAAATTTTATTTTCCAATCAGAGTTTGCCGATTGGGTAGCAAATGGTGAAGAGATCCCACGATTTATGCTTCCTTTGTTTAACACAGATAAAACCCTTACCTTTAGCCCGGAAGAACAGGTTCATATATTCTTCAAACACCTATTACAAGGTGAAGACACCAACCCCACCTCGGCTCTGGTAACGCGACCTGACGATACACTAGAAGGGTCTTTCCAGGAAATAAAAATTGGGAAATGCCAGTTGTTATAAATAAACTGAAAGTTGGGAAAGCGGCAGGATCAGATAACATCCCGGTCTTCGCCATAAAAGAATTCATGGCGATAATAGAACCCATATGGAGAAAGATAGAGAATAGCTCCTTGCACCTTGGACCTTACCAGAAATGTTCCAAAGAAGCGACATGAATTGTCACCCCAAAGTCACATAAGAAGTCATACAGAGAAGCGAGCAGCTATCGCCCCATCTCACTACTTAACCATCTTTCGAAGTTAATTGAAACCGTCATGACAAAGAGACTGCAATATGAATTAGACACGAGAAAGTTAATCCCGAGTACGCACTTTGGGTGTAGTAAAGGCTAAGATACAGATGATACTCTACTAAATGTCGCTGAATTGATTCAAAATGCTTGGAAGGAAATGAAGGTAGTAACGGAGCTTGCCCTAGACGCAAAGAAGGAGCTTTCAATAATGTCATACATGAGAAGCTCCATGAGGAATGCAGGAAGGTCGGACTACGAAAGTACCTCACGAGATGGATAGGATGGTTTTTGAAGGACAGGAAAAACGCTTCAAATTCTCCAACTATGCTTCCTCGACTTTCCCACTTAGCAAATGCACCGTAAGAGGGTCCCAATAAGCGGACCATTGTATTTGATAGATAATACCTCGTTACTGAAGCCATCCGAGAGGTTATCAATGTGGGCTATGCAGACGATGTACTATTTATGGCAGCAGCCAGTACACCGAAGGAAGCTAGATCCCTATTGGAAAGCCAACTACGTGAAGCCGACGATTGGTCAATTAAACACGGGACACTCTTAGATATTGCTAAGACAAAATACGTGCTATTCACGAAACACGCTCTGAAGATAAGCACCAGTCCACTTCATTGGGTGAGAGAAAAATTGCACCAACTCGAGCCATGAAGTATCTTGGCTTGATGTTGGACAGCAGGCTATCATATAAACAGCAGACAGCTTTAATGATAAAGAGGGGATATGGCACCGGGGCAGCCATCGGCAGACTCGCGAACACACGAGGGGGCATGCCTACTAGACAGTTCTTAATGTTATACAAAACTCATGTTTGTGCTGCAACTGATTACGGGGGTCACGTTTGGATTAATCCTTACAAGCACGGCCGAGCTATCTGCACGCTAGAATTGCTACAGAACAGAATGCTCAGAAAGGCTCTAGGTGCTGTGCGTACCACTCCTATACACATGCTCCACTTCGACACCCCGGTGCTGACACCAACCGAGAGGTTATGCATGAAAGCCGAGGCTTACTTGTTGAGAACGCTCACGAGATCTGGCGACCATCCCCCGCGTAACATCGTAACAAGTATTCTGCGTAAGCCAAGGAAGAAGTTTACTTCTCCCTTGAACGCAACGGTGCGCAACACACCAATGCTTGAGGGTCTAAAGGAGATGGAAATTATAGTAGCCCTTTTTTCGTAACCTGGGTACCTGCTACACTAAGCTTTTCACGAGCAGAGGATAAAGACCAAGCAAAAGCACAGCACACAGATTTGTATAGACAATACCACACGTCATGGTACTTCTATACAGACAGGTCACTGGCCGAGGGCCAAGTAGCGGCAGCCTGTGTGGCTAAGCTACCACACAAAAGAGAGTGGGTTAGAGATTCTTACAGACTAGGCACTGACAGCCCGTTTACAATATACGAAGCCGAGTTAGTAGGAGTCTATCTAGCATTAATGCAAGTAGAACGCGAGTTCATACCCCCACACATTCCGACCCCACATACTTACTGTCTTCATCCATAGCGATCGTCTGGCGGTCTTGGCGGCAATCGTTCAGTTACAAACGACAAAGACAGGACAATACTTGGTCAAAAAAGTGCTTGACAAAATCGACGGATCAACCTAATCGATTCACCTAAATATAGGACGTGTGGCGCAGATGGCAGCATCTCGCACAGAACACAAACCATAATTGACTATGTATTCCGGTGGTTCGGCGTAACCGAGAACACTCGCGGAAATACAAATCATCAGAACATTCTACGACAATAATCAAGAAACGCTCCCAACCAATTCAACAAACCATTCGAATCCTCCTCCCTCACGTTTTTAGAAGTATTGATGGACGCAGTTTAACTTTGTATCATCTTAACAATATGTTTAGATTTCATCATCATCATATAACTAATTCTATGTATGACTGTGCACCTGATGTAATATGGCTCATTGTTTGACTGACAAATTTATTAAGCATCACAACCTCAAGAATCACGACAATGGAGAATACATTGTAGATACAAAAATGTGGCAAAAATAACATTGAAAGGTGAGGAAACAAAAGTTATTGGACATACCCGGAATTGAACCGGGGACCTCATCCATATTGCGAAATTCCTTAGAAAATGCTAAGAATGCGTGATAACCCCTACACCATATGCCCGATGTATGATATTATTTTTTTACTTCTGTGTACGCATTTATTACTGCAAAGTGTATTTTTCACCCAGAGGTGGCCGATTTGGTACTTAAAGATACAATAACCAGCAAGAGTAGCCCCAGGAGAATTATGTGCTCAAGAAAATTTTATTTTCCGCAAAAACCAGGAATGACTTCGAATATCGTTGAGAATGTTCTCATGAGGGAGCTCACGCCATTCTTTAACATGTATTTATCATGCGACAAGTATTTGCCACAATGTAGTTATTTAGTGACTAAAAGTAAACGTTAAAGAAGGCATCTATGGAGACTCATATTTTACAATATTTTCTTATACATTTGTGACTCCTCAAATCAGAGTTAGATTAATTATTGTTGTTATTCGATAAATCAATATAAAACAAATAAATCGTGAGAGTGGTGGTATACATTAAGAATACAAGAGAAATCGTAAAGAGTGTAGTTGTATTATGCCCAGCTAGACTCAAGCGACGATGCAGGGTCAGGAAGGCAGAACGACTGCGAAACGATATCGTGTAAAACAACGTCTTCATTTACTTGATAAAGCCTATACCATCCAGCCATGAGATGAGCATTATTGATTTCATCTAATGAGTAACTAGCCAATCTTTTCTGTATAATCGCCTCAACTTCATTAGGTGTGATACCATCGAATGTAGCCTTTAGAATCAACAAATCGTTACCAGGAATGTTGGTTATTTCTAGAGTATCAGCTATAGGTTTCACGCTCGCGCATAAAACATCTAGTCGTTTGGAGTGCACCTTCGAGGACACTTTCAAGTTGATTAGATCCTTGACAAATTCCTCGTCAAAAAGTGCATATTCTCCGCATTCTGATCCTTTTGGCTTGTCAGTTAACAAATGTGACAAAGAGGCTGAGATTGGTGCAGCGAGTACAGTCTTGAATTCTGGAACGACAAAGTAGTCTTTAAAGTCCTGCAAACGTTCAAATGATTCATTCTTCTGCTTGCGATTGCGTTTCAAAGAGGATGATTGCAGAGCTGAAAGTTTATGCTCGCCAAGTTGGTTGAGTGCACATCTTGCAAATACATTCACGTTCTGCATAACATCTATAGCACCCCTACCTGTCGCAAATGTTCTCGCTGATCCAAGTCCAGCTTGCGACGTGCGATTAGCGAAGTTGCCAAATGCTGGTCTCGTTGAGGATTTAACTAGGAGTGATTGACCGAATGGATGAAAAGCTGAACGATGGATCGTGCGTGGGGCTTGTCTTGCGGTTGATTGAACGACTCTTGTTGGTGACGCAAGAGCTGCTTTAAAGGGATTGATAAGACCTTTTAGGGATTTCGTTGGGTTGCTGTATTGTGCTGTGAGCAAGTGCGTAATCTCTACCGTTATACCCACCTTCTCGCAAACTTAGCCAGCTTTAGCTGACGACCGAGTTGCCACAGTTTCGATTTCATAGTGGCTAGTTTGGTAGTAATTTATTCGTTAATTCTTTATAACTTCTACTGATAGTCGCTTATCAAGTGATTTCTTATCGGTGTAGGCGCAAGTGGCAAAATATAAAAAATCTCAGACAAATAGATGCAAAATAATATACAATTTCTAATTAAATGCTATTAGGTATAAACGATTGCTTACTTGCGACGTCTAGTTGATGTTCTTCTGTTTTGCGTTGTTGTGCTTAGATTAGATGCGGGAGTTAAAGCAATACCATTGCCGTTGCTGCCATTCTCTTCATCCACCTTGCGCTTTTTGAGGTTGATGCCGACATCGTCGACTGGTGGTTCAGTCGTCATTCCTAGATCTTGATTTCGGAGCGACCTCTTGAATTGGTAGGCCAATATTGGTCCTGCTTCGAGACCATCTCCAGGTATGTTCCTCTCATATTCAAATTCGATTTGTGAGTTAGCATCCAACAGTCTGTCGTTAACAAGTTGGGCATCGAGCCATTTGTGCAACTGAGGCGCGTTAAATTGCACGCGTTTACTGTCATTAGTTTCGGGAATTTGGTCGAGGAGGTCCCAACTACTGAATTTAGTTTGAATGCGCATTGATTGAGTCAATGGGAGTACCCTCCTTATCTCAATCGGGAGATCTGTACCACTAGGATCAACCACGTTGAAAGCATCTTGGGTGCTATTACCCGGTATTCTTTCCACCAAGGCGATGATGGTATCGTAGAGCTTTTCAAATTGGCCATCGTCAGATCTCGTAAGTTGACGCAAGAGATGTGGTAGTATTCTATTACCGATATCGCTTATTGATGCTGTTAAGGATTCTGGTACTCGAAGTAATACCTGAATCAGCATACATAACACCTCAAGTGTACGACTGTGTGATATACTTTCAGTCATTTTCGTATCTTCATTTTCTTCAACGACTTCACCATTCTCCAATGTTTCATCACCGGGTAGGAATATCGACTGGAAACATAGATTGAGGTTTTTTATCATTTGAGTGATTATGTCACTATCAATAAGTGGTAATGTGACTTTCTTATGGAGTAAAACCTGGGATACCATTTCGACATTTCCATAGATTTCACTCGAGCAACGCAACTCATCATCGACTTTATCACCATCGATGAGATCCTTGAGAGACGCCAAAAGTGTCATAATTGAGCTAAATTTAATATTTGCAAACTAATAACCAATTTAGATAGATCCATTTGTTCTTTTAAAACTCACCTCTTGACCAGCATTTCCACTAATCCCTCTCAACATATCCAATACGAGCGTATTGTTATCCATTTGACTGAGAAGGTCTGAAACGGTCGTATGGCATCTTTTATTCTCGCAGCTATTATAGTTGAGGACGAGATGTAGTACAATTTTGTGACGACTAATTGTCCATGGATTGGCATGATGTATCGCGAATTTATCATCATGTTCCACATCATCGTTACTAAATGAAATTAATTGCTTGAGTGTATCAATTATTAACTCTTGTATGTTAGTTTTACTAGCTGACATCATGACTTCATAGACATTATCTAGATCTCTCATACATGCTGTAGAGAATGCTGACTGACTTGATATACTCTCTCTTAGAAATCTACAACTTGATTTAACAGTTTCGCTAACATTATCGCTAACTTCGTAGTTGACGAGCACAGGTAGGATTTCTGCAAGTTTGCCTAGATATGGCGGTCTATATGCTTTACCTCTACGCGTCATGAGGTGTTGATAATCTCTTAAAATCATCGGTGATTTCTTTTCCGGTGTTAGTATTGATAGCAAGACGTCATTAAGATTGAGAACAACTTCGTCAGATGGTGATTGCGAGATTAAGGGTAGGTAAACATCTTCAATTATGGATGTCGTTTGAACAACCCTACGTACGACCATTTGTACTAGAATTGATTTCATAACTTCACTTAGTTCTCCACTGAGGAGCGTTTCAGGGTGTTTTACGAGACTTTCAGTGATGTGTTTCTCCAACCCATCAGGAAAGCGATTGTTGACTTCATGTAAGAATGTAGAGAAGCAGGATACCAGCTGTGGTGTATTATCATGCTTAACTTTAAGGGCATCCAAGACTCCCATCCATGCTGATGAACCCCATTGAGTGTATGACGAATGACGAAACCATAAGGTAGTGGCCAAATCTGCAGCATTCGATATAGTACTGTCATACAATAGTTTCTGTACATCTGAGATACGGCTTGGTGGAGGTGATGGCGACATTGATGTTCTGAGGGACCTGTTGAGAGCAGCTGCTGCATCATTGACGAAAGGCAGTAGTTGATGCGGTAGCTGTGAGGTATTTTTCGCTGTTACTAAAAGCAATAAAAGGGGTCTGACATGACCACCGCTCGAATTAAAAGCATAATATTTGTCAGTAACACATTTAATGAGTTTGTCCATTCCATTGAGACACACGAGTGTCGTCCAATTACGTCTAATGGTGTCCATCAATAGGAAGAGAACCTGCCGTTCAGATATCTTGGGTATTAGCTCCATCAGGAGGCTTTGAAGAGATGCGAAATCTTCAAAGTACTCAAGAATACTAATAACGGTAGCTACTTCATCAATTGACATCTTAGATTCGCTGAGTAATGTGTAAGTAATTGCGGAGGAATGTACAATAAAAATACCTTGTCTTTGTATCAATAAAAGCGTAGACGGATGGAAGGAGATTTGATTGTATACAGCGATATCGGTAAAACAAGGGGAGTTTCTTGAATGCTCTGAATGAATTATCTAAATCCAATGTCGTAATTAAGGGAATATTCTCTGTGTTCTTATACAACCGTGGAAGAAGTGCTCTGAAAGTGCGTATAAGACTATCTAACGATTTTTCATCATCTGCGTTTAACTGTTTGTCAATTGACATTCTTCTAAGATTGACTATTGATAAGGATGCATCAAAAAGCGGTGTATCTCTTAGGATGTTCTTATGTATAGCGCTCTTTTTTGTATTACTCATCAACCCCGTTGCGATAATGTGCTGGAGGTAGGAACTATAACTGAATACACGTCGCCTTACGAGCTCTCCTATGAGCTTTGGTACATCCTCTTGTTTTCTATCCGAAGAAGTGACTTCTATCCAACTAAAGATGAGCTCTTGTAGGTGGCGCTTTATAACGTTTTTTGATGAGAGTTTCTGCTTCAACTGTAAAGATATGTAAAAACGGAGAATCGTAGCGACCGCATAACACCTATGCTGGCTATTTCGATTTTCAGTCGAAGCCCAATCGAGCATAGTTGTTATTTTTTCATCGATTGTGCGCTTTGGTAATTTGTCGTCAACTTGGAAGTATGATAACGTGCAAGCGCGAATGTTGGTATTGGTGTTGATCGTATCGAGGAGCGTTATATCTCGTACCAGGGATTGACGAGATGAGTAAGGCGTACTTGAAAGGCTTTTGTCAGTATTTCCGTACAACATTTGATGGTTACGCTTCTGGATTGCTTGATAGTGTGGCTGTGTTCCTATTAAACTTTCGAAAAGGGATCCATGGCTGATCCAGAGCTTCGGTGAGACGAATGAACATGGAAAGCAAGTAAATACGTTCTAGCAGAGTTGTTAATTCTACTAAAAATAAGTTATACTTATACTCACAATTATTATGCGCTCGAGAGATGAGCGAAGGCTGGTCAGGTTCTCTCCAGCGATCGTGCGTTTGAATTGGCCTAAACGACAGCAAGCAGCATCGACTAATCCATTAGTAAGCTGATGAGAAGAATAGAATCCTTGCATGTTCTCCAAAACAAGAGTTGTGACTAGAGGCAGCCTAGCCATATGGATATGCTTGAGATGATCAAGAAGCCATATATGCAGAGTCAAATTATCTAATAGTCCATTTACGATGAATGCGCGTAAAATGTCAAGTCTAGTATTTGTTAGATGTTTATATCAAATACCGAAGTTAGGAACTCACATGTAAGTGAATTGGGATAGCCATAGTTTACTGTCGAAATTATCGAGAACACCCTCCGGTGTGGGTAGTTCTATCAACTTATCCGATAGCTGCCCAGTAAGAACTCTCGTCCAATCCATAGAAAGATTGAAGGAAAGCTGCTTGTTTTCGCTGCTTGGTTTGCTTATAAGCTTTATAAACCAGATAGACCGCCGTGGATCGACCTGGTTGAGCTGGAGCTGGTGTAGGATGACTGAGGGGGTGAGGTTCCTGGGTAATTTAAGTAGATTTTGAAGCGGAATGTTAGTGCAGGCTAGTTGTTTGAAATATAGGTTAGCATCTGCAGCATCGAGATCTTTTATATAGTTAGACTGTGGATGATTCCGTGTATGCCGTTTATCTAGAGCTGACTTGAAAATGAGCTCAAGATTGCTGGCGACTTGGTTAGATTGTAGGCTATCTATTATAAGCTGGTTGCAGCTAAAGGTTTCATTTTGTACTGCTGGCGGAGCTGTATAACCGTTCTGCACGGTATTTTGGTTGATGATATCCTCGTCCCTGCCCCGTATGGGCTGGTAGAAGTCTGGATACTCTAGTGAGTTCGACGATATTGGTAGCCTCCAATTAAGGGGCTTTAAATCGTATATTTCTAATTTGTTCATTCGATTTGCATTCGAGCCTATCTACGGCTCGTGATGGTAGGAGTCTAAGTGAGGAGTGTATGTTGGAGTGATTGATATTGCTATCGAGTTGCATGACAGCCGCTTATCCATTCTACCCGTACTATACAACTCAGACGGAGATGGCAAGAGGTGGCACTTAGTCGGTTATTTATGTCATCTAGCATCATCACATAGCGTGGATAGACACATTATATGCCAATGAAAGATAATTATTTTATCGATTTAACAATTATTACATAGTTATGCTATTATGAAAATTTTCATCTCAAGTGTACTTTACAATTAATGCAGCAGATGGCACAAGTTCTAATTCTTTCAAGCTCTTACGCATCTCGTCGGCGGTGAAGGTACGTGCAGGGAATGTCGTAGCGAATGACAAGCTGCTTGGCTCAACCATTTGCTGAGTAGCAACAAAGTCACTAAGATCTGTGAGCGTGCTTTCTACCTTTTGGGTGGTGGTGAGTGTGCCATTAGGTGTACGCAATTGAAGTCTAGTTTCTGTAGCGTTTGAAGCAGAAACACGTGGAAGAGCAGGCTTAGCTGGCTGTGCAGGTGTCGCGTTATCGAGCTTTCCTTCACGCAGGGCCTTCTCCTTGGCCGCCTTCTCAGCTCTCTCCTTCTTATCAGCCTCTATTTGCTGCTTGACGCGCAACATAGCCTTTCTGTCTTCTTCTTTTTCCTTCTTCTTCTTCTCGAGATCCTTCTTGAGCTCTTTGGCTTTCATATCCTCTCTGATTGCTTGTTCCTCCTGTGAGACATTAGTATGACGCACGTAACCGCAAGGGTACCTACCTTTCCGCGCTGCTGCCTAATGATCTCATTTCTCTTATCGTCTTCCTTCGATGCTTCAGCCTGAGCCTTGCGCTTTTCGTCCATTTTGGCCTTGAGTTCCTTGAGACGTTCAGCTTTTTCTTCTTCAGTAAGAGGTTTTAATTGTTCTGTTGATTGCGAGAAGGATGCGTGGCCAGATTTCTCAGCGTGGTATCCAGCTAATGCATTGTCTTTGAATAGCTTTCCACATTCGTCACATTTGATGCTGGCGGGCTATTCTCTTGTGAGTCGGAGAAGGAAGAAGATCAGTCACCCACCTGAGCGTCCTGCTCATTATCAGCTGGCACCGCACTCTCTGCGTTGTTCTCTAAATGGTCGAGTACGACTTCCATATTGCCGTTATTGGTGGCTAGTCTTGTAAGAAATGCAGTATAAAGTGTATATACACACCTCTGAGTGCCCAGTCAACGCGGGACTCTTCAAATCCCATTCCTAATAAATCTTGTTTGCTAGCCATGATTGTAAGAGACAAGATATGTCATCATAGTACTCTTGCACCCAAACCATATATGAGGAATGAGATTTAATTCCTTACTATCAGCTGGTTTACTACTAAATAGTGTATATTCTACGCCTTCTAAGCAGCCTATATCGAAACAAGTTAAGAATGTACTAGAGCATCAACCAGATTCAGATAAGTATTGCAGCGTGAGTAATCCTTAGAGAGTATACATGAATCTAAGAATAAGCAGCCATCAGGCCAGATAGAAGACGCCTGCTGCCTCTATGAGACGATAGAAGAAGCCACTGATAAGGTATACAAACCACTCGATCAACTGGTGAGGACGCCCTTCTTTCGCTATTTCAAAGTCGATCTGTACGAGGATTGTCCATTCTGGTATGAAGATACTTTCTGTATGAATAGAGACTGTGGCGTACAATCTGAGGAAGACGAGGTATGTGAAACATTGCCAGCACAGAACACAGCTCATATAGCAATGTATAGTCTAAAATACCGGAGAAATGGAGAGCTAATGCATTATCAAGCGTTAATGATGTACAAGAACAAGATGATAGTTCACATCCCGCTTGTTCTGCTCGCGTTTCAGACTTTTGTTACACACCAGATGAAGCATCGCCCTCGGCCGTATACGTAGACCTTGCCCGCAATCCTGAGCGTTTTACAGGATACTCAGGTCCCTCCGCACAACGCGTCTGGGATACTATTTACAAGGAGAATTGCTTCGGCGTGGCCGAATTCTTTGAATCTTCTGGAAGAGTCAAGAGTGGCGTCACTGAAGTGAGTCAAGCACCGGCATCGATGGGGTTGTTGATAGGACCTGGTGGTTCATTCGGCTCTGGGCCAACCCTCGAGCCAGATTTTGAGATAGACAATGATGATGAGAATGAAATGTGCGTCGAGAAGAGGATATTTTACAAGTTGATTAGCGGATTACACTCCTCTATTTCTATGCACATCTGTTCAGAATGGCTCAATCAAGAAACAGGCGAATGGGTATGTCGGTTGTTTTTTTCTTTTTGACTCAGCTGACATAACATAGGGACCAAATCTCGATTGTTTCATCAGCAAGTTGTCAGATTATCCAGAGAGAGTTCAGAATATTTATTTCCTCAATGCTGTCCTCACAAGGGCTATTGCGAGAGCGAGGCCGTTGCTAGAGGCTTATGACACGTCAGTCGGTGAGAGACTAGCTGATGAGCAAACACGTGGATATATGCAAGATATAATGAATCATGTGGATTCATGTGATGATACTTTCGAAGAGGGTACCATATTCGAAGGTGGACCAGCGAAGCAAATACTTAAGGAGGAATTTAAGGCACATTTCAGGAATGTTTCAAGAATAATGGACTGCGTAGGCTGTGACAAGTGTAGACTATGGGGTAAAGTGCAAGTGAGCGGGATTGGTACAGCTTTGAAGATATTATTTGGATTAGATGGCGACGATTTCAAGTGAGCGGGCAGTATTATAGATATTAGACACTAACAACAGATAGGGAACCTAATACACTCCAGAGATCGGAAGTTGTAGCCTTGTTTAACACATTCCATAGAATATCGGAATCGATAAATAACATTGAAGTTTTTAGAGAGCTCTACGAGGAGAGGAAAGGACAAGAGGTGATAGCGGACCCAATTGATGTTCCAATAGATTTCAAAAAGGTTGATTATATGTCTACGCTCTCGGGTATCCTGATGTCACTCAAGGGCAGACTTCAAACTCTTCAAGACTATCTGAGGATAGCATACGAAAGGCTTCTAGTAGAATACGCGAAAGCAACGCGTGAACTTTGAATTGTACAGTAAAATAATTTTCTCTTTGTCATGAAATTGTCGTATAACCACTCTTCCTTCATCACATCGAGGTAGATAATTCTAGGTTGATAGCAATAGAGCTGACGACTAATACAGCGTTATTAGGATAGCATTTTTTGTTGAGTGCGCTATATATTAGATAATAATTCAACAATTCTGACGTGAACGCGTAGAAATCTACTTGAACGCAGCTAGAGATGTCAGGAAACAAGAAAACGACTCGCAAGTGAGTTTGTCAGTGTCGTAGCCAATACTATACTAACTACCATACAGATCTGAGCCATTCGTCGCTGGAGATGTCAACCAAAAGTACAACGAAGGTGACATCGTCTTAGGCAAAATCAAGGGATACCCAGCTTGGCCAGGAAAGGTAAGAAATTTACGCGTAGCTTTCCCATCGATTGACAGTCTCGTCAGATCATGAACTCTGAGGCTGTTCCCCCATTAGTTAAGAAGGACAAGCCAAAGAACAAGAAGAACGTTTACGCCGTTCGCTTCTACCCTACCGGAGAGTACATGTGGGCTAATACGAAAGAAATGAGTGCTCTCACAAAGCAAGAAATCGAGAATTACTTGAACGATACATCAAAGAAGCGTGAAGGTGACCTCCGTAAGGGCTACCAAGTCGCGCTCAACCCAGATGAATGGGAGGAAGAGCATGACAGACGTCTGGCAGATGCCCAAGCTCAGGCTGACGATGACGAACTTGAGGATGAGGAGACAGGCAGCAAACGTCGCCGTAAAGCACCAGCGAAGGGCACAACTAAGAAGGCCAAGACGGACGCATCCCAAAAGAAGTCAAAGTCTAACAAGGCCGACGCCAGCGATGCTGAAGAGACAGAAGAAGCAAAGGTTAGATCCTGGAGACATGAGTTACAACGCATTTTCTTGAGTCCAGAGCCAGCCAAGGCAGATGCTATGCCAAAAGCAGACGCGCAAATCAAAGTCATTGAAGCTGACGATGACGTTTCTGCTGAATCGATCACCTTATCAAAGGTTAACAAGGTTTTGAAGCGCATTATTGGCCTTGAAACCATCCCAGAGGATGAGAAATATAAAATTCGCGAGCGTTCTCAAGCACTTTATGATAGATTTGAGAAAATTCTTGCAGAAGCAAGTGAAAAAGATGGCGAAAAGAAGACAAACGGTGAAGAGAAGAAGGAAAATGGAGAGAAGAAACCTGAAGAGGAACAAAAGGATGATGCTGAAGTAGCCCAAGCTACTGAAGATACTGAAAAGAAGGATCAGACACTTGAGAAGACTGAAGGTGACAAAAAGGAGGAATCAGACGAGAAGTCAGGAGAAGGAGAGAAGAAAGATGAGGAGAAGAACGAGGAGAAGAAGGACGTTGAAATGAAGGAAGACGGAAAGCCAGAAGCGCCAGAAGAGCCAAAAGAGCCACAAGAAGCTGAGCAATCAGCTGTGGAAGCGCCAAAGTCTGGCGAGGAGAGTGCTGAAAAGCCAGAAGAAAAAAGCAGTGCAGACTAAGAAGCGAACTATTCGGTAATAAGAAGAACTAAGTTTATAATGCCTAAATGAATTTTATTTAATGAGTGAAGTGTGTCTGCTGTGTATTCAAAAGGAAGAGCCTGTAGAGTGTATAAAAATAAAGGCTAGTATTCTATAGGAGAGAAAAGCTATGAAATTTGTCTGAATAAAAGTTTACGCATGCCATACCTCACCCTGGGCTCACTTGAAGAGAAACATCCACTAATGAGCAGTCAAGAAGACGGACACTCAATCCCAGAGAGAAAGGTGAGGCTGGTATTCTAAGGCTGAATAAAAAATTAACTTCCCTCGAGGAAACTGTCGCGCCTACGCCACAGAACAGTTCGTCGCTATCAAATAATCGTAGAAGATACTAACAGAGCATCTAGCACCACTCAACGCAGCACCACTCGGTCGCGAGGGCTACTCGAGACCGACAGTAGCTGCTATCGGCGAGGATGAGGCTGGCGAATCCTCAGCAGCAGCCAATTTACCTGTCGGCGCACTCCAGCAATTAATGCAAGGTTAGTCCTAGAGATCGCAATCTAGACCGCTATTAATATCATTCCAGGTCGTCTTGCGGGTTTGGTTGGCAAATCATCCGGTTACATCGAGTCTCTACCAGAGGAGGTTAAGCAGCGCGTAGCAGCATTAAAAGCTTTGCAATCAGATCACAATAAGATTGAATCAGAATTCCAAAAGGAGATTCTCGAATTGGAGAAGAAATTCGCTTTACGTTATGAACCAATCTACGAGCGTCGTAAAATGCTCATCGCAGGTGAACAAGAACCTTCCCCAGAGGAGCTTATCAAGGGTGAGGAAATAGACAAAGAGGATGGCTTCCAATTTGAAGGCCAACCAGAGCCAGAGAAGAAGGAACTTGGAGATGTTAAGGGTATCCCTCAATTCTGGCTCACCGCTTTGCAGAACCACCCTGGTATTGCGGATGTCATTAGCGACCGTGATACTGAGGCTTTGGAGCGTCTGACTGATATCAGATTGGCCTACCTCCCTCAACCAGGTTCAGAAGACAAGCAAGCAGGCTTCCAATTGACTTTCCACTTTGGAGAGAATGACTTTTTCAGCAATTCCGCACTCACAAAGAACTACTACTATCAAGATGAGGTCGGTTACACCGGCGATTTCGTCTACGACAGAGCTGAGGGCTGTCAAATTAACTGGAAGGGCGAAGATGGAGAGAAAGATCTCACAAAGCGTATTGAAGTTAAGAAGCAACGCAACAAGAACACTAACAGAACTAGAGTCGTCAAGAAGGTCGTCCCGGCTGATTCATTTTTCAACTTTTTCAACCCACCAAAACCACCACATGCACGTACAGAAGAAGAGGAGGACGATGAAGATGAGCTTGAAGAGCTCGATGAGAGGTTAGAAATCGACTTCTCTTTAGGCGAAGAGTTAAAGGAGAGAGTTATACCACGTGCAGTCGACTATTTCACTGGAAAAGCACTCGAATTCACCAACATGGAGGATGACGATGACTTTGAAAGTGAAGACGAGGATGAAGATGAAGATGACGATGATGAAGACGCACCTTCAGCTCCTCAACAAGCTGACGGTGGCGAGTGTAAGAACCAATAAACAACTTGCATACAACTTTCATCCACAATAAATAATCAAAACTGACACAAAATATTTCTTTTAATGAATCTTCGAACCAGTTTTTATTCATTTCATTTTTCTCGGCTTCCTATGTTAAATCACGTGGTGTGCCCAGAATCTTGTGCTGCATATGTCTTGGTAGTCAGTCAGTCGACGGTCGACAGGCGACAATGAAGAACCTCGTTAAGTTGTACCCAACGGGAACGCTTGATCCTACAATATTCTATTGTCAGATGCTTGATATTACCGTAAAGTTTGAAGAACTAAACGGTAATTTGGATATCTCGAAATTGTCTGTTATAAGTGGCGGAATGTGGACGATATTTACAATAAAAGTTGGAGTATACGATATAGAGAATGCGAGAATTGCAGGTAAATTCATTTTCTCCGATATCGAGTCTCATATCCCACAAATAAAATGTAACAATGCTGACCGTGACCCTGAGACAAAAAGCATCACGTCTATTAGCAACGAGAAGGGTCCAAAATGGGTATACGTTGCTAACATGGTGGGTTCCTTCGTATTACTTCTCCACAATTGCTTATCGTAATCCAATAGTTCCGCGAGGAGCAGGGGAGTAAATGTGTAGCTTACTTTAGAGACGGTAGTAGATCAAGTAAACGTAGCCCATATATAGTATTGGATTCCCACTTAAACTCAGTCGACAATGTCGACTTGTTGATATTCTGCACTCTCCTACTAGCCAAACAGCTCAAGAAGAGGAAACAGAGCAGCCAGAAATACAAATACCTCGTCAAGAAATATGGGAGATTCTCCAATGACAACTGAATTATGTATTTTTCCTTGTATTTTTAATTGTTTCATTGTTCACTCATTCCGTCATCATGTTTAGGACATTTCCAAGGGCTATTACATCAAATGTGAATAGATTTCAGTCTAGAGTGATCAATAAATCCCAGCCCACCCCCACCCCCAAAGCTGAACCGATACAGCAGCCACAATCATCCCAAACAGCGACGCAGTTCCAAGACGACAGTAGTGCATTCAATGATGACTGGAGTAAAAGTTTCTCGGGACTCTCTACTCAGCGTGTCTCCCCTGAAGTTGAGAATATATTAATGCAACCTGTCGATGCATACGATGTGGAAGTCAAACCAGGTGGGTTGATAACATCAACGGAACACGTCTAATGCACAGTTAGATGGACTTATATATCTCCCTGAGATAAAATACAGACGTATACTCAACAAAGCCTTCGGTCCAGGTGGTTGGGGATTAGCGCCTCGTACTAGCGTCCAAGTTGATAGCAAGATCGTCAGTAGAGAATATGCATTGGTTTGTGGGGGACGGTATGTCGTATTAATCCTGCACATTCCTTACTCATTGCCTTATAGTCTCTTCTCAATTGCTCGCGGTGAACAAGAGTACTTTGACCCAGCTGGTATATCTACAGCAACAGAGGCAGCTAAATCCAATGCTCTCATGAGATGCTGCAAAGATCTAGGTGTCGCTAGCGAACTTTGGTAAGTGTAGACGCGTTACTTTTAGGAATACACACTGAATAGCACAGGGACCCGCGTTTTATTAGAGAATTCAAAGCAAAGCACGCTATAGAGGTCTGGGGAGAAGATCGCAATGGCAGAAAGTGAGTATTCTCCTGTGTATCCTAGCTATCTCACACTAGATCCCAGGAAGAAGCTCTGGCGCCGCAAGGACAGCCCAAAGCTGACGTACCCATACAAAGAAGTTTAGCATTTGTACCATTACTACAATATATTTTTTGCATTTCTCAAAACTGAGATATCTCTTCTTTAGTGACGGTGAAGACGACATCGCGTCAGTATGTCACTAGAAGCGTTCTATAAACCACTAGAGGAGGCCCGTAAATCAATTAATGACTGGCTTACAAAAGATGCTGAGCTCGTCCCAGAACTGGATGAGTTGATGAATTGTAAGTATGAGATAGCGACATGTGCATTTTATAACAGTCCAAACAGCATCTGCTAGCACTTCTTACACTCTACCACCATCTGGAAGCTGGTCAGCTTTCGTTAAGCGCAAAACTATCCACTTACCAGACACACTATTCGAGCAATACAATAGAGTACAATGTCGCTGCTTTATGGGTTTATTCCCAGAGATTGATAGAGCTTGGATTACAATCGACAACAAGCTTTATTTGTGGGACTACGTTGACGGTATCGACTTCGCCTCTTACGAAGATTTACCTGAGTTGATAGTCAGCCTCGGTTTGGTGAAGCCAAAACCAGGCGTCTTCGTAGACACGATCAAGTATTTATTGGTTATCTGCACTCCATCGACGGTTTCTTTACTAGGTCTCTCTGCTGCAGACTCACCATCAAGGGAGTTGGCGCTTTATTCAACTGGTATTTCTGTAAATACAGATGGTGTAGACATGGTCTCAGTTACAAGTACAGAAGACGGAAGGATCTTCCTTTCAGGCTCTGACAGCTGCTTGTATGAGCTCAACTATCAGGCAGAAGAGGGCTGGTTCAAGAGTCGTTGCAGTTTGACGAATCACTCATCATCTGCAATCGCAAACTTTGTTCCTACATTCCTCAAACAATCCTCAACCGATCCTATCATTGGCTTGGCTGTTGATGACGCACGGAATTGTCTGTACACACTATCTGCACAATCTGTCATTGAGTTATACCACCTCGGCAAGGATGGTCAAGGTACTACGAAGATTGCATCTGCTTCAGAAATCGCCAGGCAAGCTGCAATGTTGTGTCCAGGTTTCCCTCAATTAGATCAACGTACATTCTCAATCAAGCGTATATTCGTTATTTCACCAGCTGAATCAAGCTCTGTACACTTAGTTGCTGTCACTTCAACTGGAGTGAGGTTATATTTCTCTCATCACCGCCGTTCATACGGATTTTACATGGCACCTTCTCCAACTGCTGCACCAACTGGTTTGGAGTTGTTGCATGTTCGCCCACCACCACAATCTGATCAGAGTACTTTCAAGAATGTCAATAGCTCAGATTCGATTTATTATGGTCATGGTTTATACATCGCTGCTTCTGCAAACTCTGAGGAATTCGATTCTTTATTGTGTACAGGACAGGACGTTGGCACTACTGGATTAACTATACCTCAGCAACAGCCTACTGCTCCAACAGTTACTACTACTACAAGTGCAAATGTCAGACCGTCACTTGTTGAAGGTGCCTCGAATTTGATTCTAGAGGGAAGAACATGGGCAATCGGCGAGGAGAGTGGTCCACTTGCTAATGCAAGTAAGTTACCCCAATCAATGCGTAAAGGCTTACAAGGAAAAGAGCAAGTAGCAATGAGTGAATTAACAGTTCAGATGGCCTACTTGCCAAGAAGATTCCTCGTACTCACTAATATGGGATTGAGCGTTATTGCTAAGCAAAGACCAATTGATATTTTAAGAAATATCCTCGAATCTAGTAGTACTGGAAGTAGAGATCAAGAGATTGTTTCTTTCTTCAACAACTTCGGTAAAGATCAGTCGTGTGCTATGGCATTAGCCATAGCTGCAGGAAATCCAGTTGCTTTATCGATGGGTGAAGACCTCTACCCAGCAGGTTCAAATGTTGTTACAGAGCCTGTTCCTCCTGCAACACTCTCAGCAGATATTACACAAAGTGCCAGAAGATTATTTTATGATTTTGGCGGCAAACCTGTCTCCATTGATAGAGGATACCCAACTGCTGCTACAAGCATGAACTTAGATGGTTAGTTTTAACTTCATTTACTTCCCTATTACTGACGTTATTTAGCACTTTCTACAAACACTGAAATTCTCTTTAGTGGACGTCACAACGGTCTTGCACTCTATCTTTCTCGTCTTTTACGTCCAATTTGGAAAGAAAAAGTTACAAAATTATCACCAGCTAACAACAACGCTCGTAGACAAGTTAGCAACATTTCAGAGTCTTTGCTAACAAGTGTGCAAAGAAATATTGCTGACTTACAAGTTTTCTTAAAGAGTAATCAACAATTGTTTGCAACCACAGTGGGTGATTCTCGTGATAGATCTGATCAATCAGCTTGGAAAGCAGAGCACGCATCTTTAGTAGGATTGGATCATCTGATTACTCAATGTATTGAGGGTATTTCTTTCATTCTTTTGTTGATAGATTACCAATTACCGGAGACATTGGCAACATGTGAAAAGAACCTTCAAGAACAATTGCTTAATTTGACCTACGTTGACTTGCTGACGTCAAATTACGGTAGAGAGATCGCAAGGAATATCGTTAATGAGGTCATTAATCAACAAATTTCTAAGCAAATATCCATTGATGCGATCTCAGAAGTATTACAACAACGTTGTGGATCTTTCTGTTCAGCGGATGATGTTCTACTCTACAAGGCTATCGAGAATGTGAGAAAAGCTCATGAGACGAGAGACAGCACAGAACGTCAAGTGATTCTCCGTGAGAGCTTAAGATTGTTTGGAAAAGCTGCAAAAAACCTCTCCATTGAGAAGCTGAAAGAAGTTACAATCGAGTATAGACTACTTGAGTTCCCATCAGGTGCTATCGATTTGTCTTTAATTTGCGCGAAAGAGTGGGATATTCAAGACTTAGGTTTACATTTCTGGAATGAAGGCAAGAGTATCTACTTGCAAGCTTACAACCTTGAGATCCCAATTGAAGTACATAATGATACGAGAGTACACTCGTACAAGCGTCGTCAGAGCTGTTACGAATGTATTTTCGAAACTCTCGCTGAAGCTAATGCAAAGGTTGATGAGGCTACATCAAAACACGAAGGGGTTGAAGAAAGCGAGCAATATCGTCGCAATGCATTCAGGCGCGCTATCGAATCTGATGATGTCGTCTTCCACTCTTGTCTCTACGATTGGTTAGGAGCTCAAGGTCTAACTGACTTGTTGCTTGACATCCAGTCACCATATCTTGAACAACATCTGATGAGAGATCCACTCACACTGGAAAAATGTGAACTCCTTTGGCAATTTTACGTTCGTAGATCTCGTTTCTACGACGCTGCAAGAGTGTTGGCTTCTTTAGCAGATTCCTTAGAATTCACGTTGTCACTTTCTAGACGTCTCGAATACCTCTCATTGGCTCTATCAAATGCCAAATCACAACGTCAACCAGTCTCAACTAGTTCCGATATTGGTGATGTCGAATTTATGACTAATTTAGAGGAGAAGATTGAAGTTGCCCAAGTTCAAGTGGAAATCTTTAGAGCTGTTAGAGAACATCCAGAAATTACTCCTGAAAATAAACAAAACATGTTGACAATGCTCGAACAGCGTTTGTACAATGTTAGTGAGCTCTTCAGAGAGTTCGCCGAACCGCTTGCATTGTTGGAAATTCAATTGCTTATTTTCCACATTGCTGACTTCTACGATCCAAACTTGATTGCACAAACTTGGCAAGTTTTGGTCGAGCATACACATTACGTACACGAGGAGTTGGCAGTTGATGAGCGCTTTGATGCTGTTGCGGGCGTCGCGTACTCCTTGGCTAGACGCTTCTACCCATCCAAGATATCCTTCCCGTTAGGTGAGTTTGATTGTTTATACCATAGATATGTTCTCACAGCCAATTAGACACCGTAATAAACATTCTCGAACAGTACAGTTATGAGCATGGCGTCAAGAAGACAGGTTGGGTGCCTACAACGCTCAATGATGCGGGCGTACCATATGGAGCAATCTACGACGTGTTGGATACGATGTTTGAATCTAAAATTCCACCATGGCAAACACAGAATGCGATCGTTTTCTTGGTTGCTGATATAGTAGTCTTGCTCGAAGCCTGGTTAAGACAACATACGAGGAATTTCGGCACACAATCACTAGGTTTACCAGTTAGGAGAGTCGATGAAAGTATTTCAGAGTACATCGCTTTATTGTCAAGTGCACCATACGCCAATATGTCTTCCCAAATAGATGTCAAGGAATTGCGTCAACAACTGACGGAAGTACAGCAATATCTGCGCTCAAAATTCTAAAACATTATATTTAATTTATAATTTTAAAATGATAATAAATGCGTTGTGATTCTAATGATGTAACTTCGTGGGACCTGCGAGAATCTTCGTTCCTTATCGGAGCGCTGATCTAGCAAATTCCTAAATTACGTCAGACTGACAACAAGTCCTTTTTCCGGCTTATTGCGCGCAAAAATACTGTATATTTTGGGTAACAAGCTGTAAAGCCGTAGATTGTTCTAGAAATTTTAGCTAGATTCTCTTTTATCCGCTTTTGGAGTGCATTTCTGGATGACTTCAAATTAATGATGTAGATCGATAACGACTCCACAGACATATAAAAAGCCGCGCATCTCACTTCTTTCTTCTTTACTACAAACTAAAAGTAAAACTTATAGGTAAATAAACTCTTTCTTCCTGATAACAACACTCAAGAAGAATAAATAGGAAACAATGTCAAGCTCAATCGCATTATCATTCAAGAACCAAACCGTCGTCGTTACTGGGTGGGTGTAGATATACTCTTACATTATCCATCTAACAGTGAAAAAGTGGTAACAAAGGATTAGGAAATGCTATCGCAAAGGATATCGCTAAGGCTGGTGGTAACGTAGTAATCCTCGCACGTTCTGAAGCCTCAGCTGAAGCATCTGCACTTGAGAAAGAATTTGGTGTCAAGGCCAAGTCATACAGATGTGATGTCGGTGACGAAAAGAGAGTCGATACCGTCTTCAGCGAAATCATCAAGGACTTCGGTGAGATTAGAGGTGTTGTAGCCAACGCTGGTGTATCCGTACCAAAGCCAGCATTCGAACAAGATGCCTCATCATTCGATTACATCATGAAGACAAACGTCCTTGGTTCATTTAACATCGCCAAGGTCGCCGCTAAGAAGTGGGTAGAAACTGGCTACAAGAATGGATCAATTGTTGTCATTTCCTCAATGTCCTCACAAATTTACAACGTTCAAGGTCCAGGTGAACCACTTAGACAAGTATTCTACAACGCATCAAAGGCAGCTGTCAGCTCAGTCGCCAAGGGTCTTGCTGCAGAATGGATCGAACATGGTATCAGAGTAAACATTGTTTCACCAGGTTTCATCCGCACGGCGCAAACCCAAGGTATGGATCCAAAGATCCTTGAAGCACAAGCCCAACTCGTACCAATGAAGCGCTTCTCTGATGCTCCTGAGCAGAGCAAGCCTGTACTCTTCTTGCTCTCCGATTTGGCAAGCTACATGACTGGATCTGAGGTCTTCGTCGGTGAGTTATTTAGTTTTGATTCTTTTAAAACATAGCTAATCTTCTTCTCAGATGGTGGTTTCCAAATTTATTAAAGCGATGGTCAAGAGAAAAGTAAAACACGCATGAAAGCACGATATTAAAGCAAAGAATGAAATTTTGGAAGTAATGTATTAATACACTAGAAATGAAATATACTTATTTAAAAAATAATTTTAAAGCCTAGCTTGTTGAGTTGATTGTGACTAGATAGTATCTTGAAGAGCGACGACGATAATTACACATCATCGACAAACCGCTATAGAAGCAGGCGAGAGTGTACGCGTTAGATTACTTACAGATAACTATTTACTAATAACCTCAGCTATTTTCTCGGATCCGTAGAAAGAAAGGTATATGATATGCGTAGAACGCAAACATTGAAAGATCACTACGACTATTACGATAAGTGGCTTGGGCGGATGGTACGTGTCGATTACATTTCAGACACTAGTGAGTCGTCAGTTGACAAACAAAGACAATGTCTGACTAATTAGTGACGGACACAACACTTTTAGCGTTATTTCGCCCAGCAGGTGAGTGTTTAAGTGATAAATAGTCACCATTTAAACGCCCAAAAGGTCCTATCGCACACATACACATCGAGAAAGTGTATGATAAGTGGGACGTATTTCATTATGCCGTTATCGTATTTCATAGCAAACTTCACGCTAGACTATCAACTGTATTGTCGGGAATGTTCTTAGCCGGTTCTTACATTTACGTTGCTTTGGTCAGCAGCTGTTGCGAGATCGTGCCATATTCTCCACGTACACTCGGTGATATGTAGGTACACAACAAACTCAAAGAATACCACTCACAAGCAGGTAGCTTACTTGAGCACAAAGAGAGGCATTTGTTGAGAAATTCGCTCTCTTGTGTTAGCATATTCGACAAACAAACTGTACCGACAATGGTCTCCAAAATGGAGATTTTGACGATGCCGCATCCATCCTTCTGCGTAGCGGATACCATAGAATCAGGTGCGAAGCTCGAGGATGCCGATGAACGTCGTTATCTCGCTTCTCTAGAGGATGACCGCGTCGAGCGTGGAAACATGTACGAAGATTGGAAGGAACTTAATAGTCGAATACATAAGACACATAGTTCACATAAAATACAGATACAGCCTTTAGGTAGCTCCCAGCGGGATAATTTGCCTAGCAGAAATCAACAAAAACATTCAGAAAGTCGGAAAAACAACTGCGTTGTACTGTCATGACGAGCATTTAAGTTTATTATTTATTAACGCAATCGTTCAACGCAAAACTATCAACGACATAGTATATCCAGACCAGCCATCCCAATGGCGGCATTCCATACCAGCAAATCAATCAAACTAACTAAATTCGTCAAATGTATCCAATAAATAAAATTAAATCTATGTATTTTACTTCCACTTCTACTTCTTTCCTGATCTGCCTTTCTTCTTTCCGGTAACGTCGAGACGAGGAGCTTGACCACCTCTGTTGAGCTTCTTGGTTTGATTGAGAGGAACATAAGCATATGGTTGTTGACCGCCTTTGGCTGTGACATCTCCGCCAGCGCGCTGTGATGTATTAGAAGATGTTTTATATCAATATCAAAATCACAACTCACCTTCGATTTGAACTCCTTACCAACACCGACAGTACCTTGTCTGTTTTTCTTCTTCTTCTTGGAGGAATTGTCGTCGTCTGAACCAGCACCAGCCTCTTGCATCTCAACGTCTTGACCTCTGTCGCGCTTCTTGTTGAATCTGACGCGACCGTCTTTGCCCATCGTGATACCATCTTCACCCTCGAGATTCTCTAGGTAGGCTTCACCAGCGAGCTTATCACCTTCATCTTGATTCTGGTCGATTGCAACATCCTCATCCTCAATGATGAGCTTTCCGGTGACATCATCGGTCTTGTACTTTTGGGCATCTTGACCAGGGAGCTTTCTCTTAACTTTGCTTGGATCATATGTTGAAAGTCTACCAACGACGCTCTTATCGAGTAAATCAACGAGTTCACCCTCATCTTCACGAATGTAAGTGTCTTCTTGTTGCTTCTTTCCTCTCTTTGAAGTACCCTTCTTGGTATTCTCTTCCTCGTTGTCGCTCGCCTCAATCTCGGATTCGCTACCATAAAGAGCATCCTCGAATGCGTCATTACCCTTCTTAGCGGTCTTCTTCTCATCATCATCCTCATCTAGTGGGTCAATAGGATCTTCCTTACCGGCACGTCCTTTCTTTGCTCTTTGTGTGCGTTTACGGATATTGGTGATTAACTTTTTGTCAGCTTCAGGAACGAATTTTTCAACATTTTCGAAACCAAATTTCTTAACTAGTCTTTCGAGAATATGCCTAACATTGACCTTAAAGTGGTTCTTATGCTCGTTCTTCCAGCCGAGTAATGATGGTATGAGTGATTCCAAATGAGTGAATACGATATCAGATGGTAAAGATGTTGTCGTCACTTTTACTAAACCAATTGCAGCTTTGACAATCTCCTTGTTTGTGCTTCCAACGAAAATGTGAAGAGTACCTAATAAACTATCGACCAAACCCTTGTCAATGCTCTCCCTGAATTCGAAAAGAACTCTTGCGAGTGATGTGATAGTAGCAGAAATGAAATGTGGAGTGCTACCAGCTAAACCTGCAGATAAAATGGTGAAATATTCGTTAATATTTGCATCAACGACTTCCATTTCGGTTTGCATTTCCTCATCGTCGTCATCATCATCTTGACCAACCTTTGCACGCTCGACTTTACCACCTGTCTCCATTCTTCTACCAAGCGCTAAGAGGAGTTCGAAAGCAGCTGATCTTGCCCTTTCGTTGGTTTCCTTAACACCAAGGACTGCTTCAGGGACAAGACTGACAATATAGTGTAATTTGTCAGTAGGAATAAATTTCACAAGTACGCTGAAGAGTTCTAATCGGTCACGTTTCACACCACCACTGATGTTATCGGTGTTAGTGAGAATTGAGATCGTCTTCTCAATGCGTTTTTGGTCGCCAAAGAGTTCTTTTTGACTTTCGCAGAGTCTGTTGAGCAACCTATAAGCCTTTTTCTGAACTGCTTGGTCTTCACTCATCAGTACCTGGTCTGATGTGCCCATCTCCCATGCATTGATCGCTTGTTTTGTTGCAAGACGTGGTGCAAGTAAAATGAGCAAGTCCATAGTGGTGTGTGGTGCGACTGTATTGTCTGCACTGCTATTGAATGTTTTGTTTGACTTTGCTTGTTTGGCCATCTTGACATTATGTTGTGGGAGCGTCTCGAGGAGCATCTTGGAGAGTTTCTTGTATGTTCCACTAACATCCTTATGAATCGATTAGCAAGGAAACTCTACGAGAACCTAACCTACCTTCTCAGAAGCGATCACGAGATAGTCAGCAATAACCTCACCAATCATACCTCTACTATCTCTGTTCACAGTGCCGAACAAGTCGAACAAAACTGAGAGGAGGTTTGCAGCGATAGTTGTGAGATATTCTACATTTAACTTTGCTTCATTTTGGTCTAAACCATTGAATGTCTTTCTGATCTCATCAACTGGTCCAGCTGAACGACACAATGTGAGGTTCTTCTCGACAAGGTTTCTGAGACCTCTCAAAACTGATGGTCTGAGAACTGGTTGAGAATAAAGGACATTTGAAAGCATGCCTGCGAAATCGCCAGTGAGAGCATCTCTAAGATCAATTGGAAGATCACAGAAGGCAGGGAAAGTAGCCCAGAGTTGCTCCATAAGAGTTGAATATAATTTCGCCTCTAATGCTTTTCCTTGCTCTTGTGCCTTTGATGAGGCGTCGAACATGCTGGATGAGAGTGGTACAAGCTCCTTAACGAAGAAGTTGAGCTGGGTGTTAGATACTCTGCTTCTCATAATTGGGAGTAAGTAAGCACGTCCATCCTTACCCTTTGCTTGTTTTGATGGGTCCAAGTTAAGCGGCAAAAGTGAAAGAACCCAGGATGGACCACAAACTTCGAGTGCCATACCGAAAACGTCGTCTGTCTTTTCTCTGAATTCGAAGTTTGGCATTTGGCGAAGTTCAGCTACAGTTGTGAGATGTGGTGCGACGAGGGCTGTAGTCTGTGAGTGAAGTCATCTAAGGTATAAATTATGCATACCTTCAGCAGCTGTAGAACCAGGAGTGTTGAAACGTACTCTCAATTTGCTGATCATTGCGACCAAAACGGTGATAACGTTAGGAAGTGCCTGACGATGGGCTATACCAGTCAAGCTAGAGAGTATATTGTCAAGGATTGGTTGCAAGTTGACACGACCGTTCTTCTCAACAGTGTTCTTGATCATATCAGTTGTGACACCCCATCTAATGATACCGCAGAGAGCCTTCTCTGCTGATTTGCGAACATCTGTGTGTGTGCTAGCCAAACCATAGTCACCGTAGACCTTTGGCCAGACGTTGAGGATCAAGAGTGATGCAGCTTCTGGGTCATGTCTAGCGTATGAAGAAATGGCAGCGTCGAGAATTGCCAACCAAGGAGACAAAAGAAGGACGTCATCAGGCTTTGGGAAGCTAGTAGCGATGGTTTCGACAAGGCTCTTCAACTTGTCTTCCTCGAAGGTAGTGTGTGACTGCTTGTTTGAAAGTAAATGACTAAGAAGATGGTAAGAAGAGGAAGTGAGGTATGAATTGCCCAAATGTGGGGTGTTGAGTAAGGAAGTGGCTAATTTAGGGAGGGTTTGAATAGGCCAGATAGAATCCAAGGCTTGTACCAATGCACAGAGATGAATACCAGCTTCTGTAGGGGTGTTTCTTTTTACTAACTGATCGAAAGACTTGATAACCCAGTTTGTGGTGCTGTTCAAGTATGGATGATCGATTGTGAGTATATTGATGACTGTAGACTGAGCCAGCTTTCTTACTTTTGGTCTATTATCGATTGTAAGCTGGAGGAGATCGTTGAATGAGGATTTGAAGGACTGCAACTGGAGTTGTTGATTGTCTAAAGCAGTGTAATACTCTTCTAATACGACTAGTAACGATTTTAAAGCAGGTGTATTGCTATTGTAAGTTGCTAATAAGTTGAGAAGACTTTCTAGTATCTGATACTGATTGTGGAGAATATTTTTATTGACGAATTTAACGACGATAGCTTCTAAGTAGAGAGCAGATGCAGCTATATCTAGCTTTTTGTTCGTTACCGCTTCTTCCAAAGTAGAGAGAAGAAGGCTGTGATAACTAACAGCTGATGGGCTTTCTGACTGTTCTTTGATAGTCTCCTCTATAGCGGCCAATAGCAAGGCTGGCTGCCTTTGGTTCTCTAGTTTAGAGTTTATATGGGGCCTTATTTTCAAGAGTTCTGCGTCCATCTCTTTATTGTAGGGGTTAAAGAGATACGACGATGTTCTTGACAGATTTACAGAGTAACTAATATAAACTGTCTGGTATTATCTAACGAATATATAGAAATTGGCGTTGGATTGACCACCTTTGGTGGATTATTCAGTCTTCTCGGTGTGATGTTGTTCTTTGACGCGAGTTTGCTGGCCTTAGGGAATGTATGTCTGTAGAAAAGCTATATGCAGCATCTAATACACCTCTGCAGGTACTATTCCTCTCTGGTTTGACCCTAATCATCGGTATACAAAAGACAGTCGTTTTCTTCACGAGACCGTACAAGCTGAGGGGTACACTCTGCTTCATTGGCGGTATCCTCCTAGTCTTCCTCAAGCGTACGTTTATCGGTTTCATACTCGAGTCAATTGGATTTCTCAACTTGTTTGGTTCATTCTTCCCCGTTATTCTAAACTTCTTACGTCAAATACCATTCATTGGCGGTTTCTTAAACCTCCCATATATCAGTACAATTGCTAACAAACTCGCGGGTTCGCGACAATCGCCTGTCTAACCACGACAGCCACAATGTCGAAACACCACCCAGGTATTTAGACACTCTCTCTATTCTTTTGTAGTAATTTCCTATTCAGATTTAATCATGTGCAGAAGACAGCCTGGTATTTGTGAGAAATTGCTTACTATATAGTTGGACTATCTAACGAGATCAGCTATCGGCAGGCTATGCGACAAATGCGATGGTAAATGCCCTGTATGCGATTCATACGTCAGGCCACAGACTATCGTGAAGGTAAGTGGCGTCTTCTCTTCTGGGTAATCATCTAACAAATGACTTAGATATGCGATGAATGTGCATTTGGTACATTTGGTGGTAAATGTAAGCATATATCTTACAAAACGCTTCCTTTATTCACCCAATTAGGCGTTATATGTGGTGGTCCAGGTATATCAGATGCGTACTATTGTGCAGGTGGGTATATCTAACTGCGTATATACAGTTACATAACGCTTCTCATAGAGTGCACAATCCTAGAAAAGGACAGGGATGGTTGTGTCAAGATTGTTAACCTCGGTAGTTCGAAACTAGATCTGGCGTATCAGAAACGACAGGCTGGGCAAAGGTCAAATTTCAATCTAGGCTAGTTATTTTCTTGTATTTATCCATTTAATCCGTCTTCTTCTTATACTATCATGCCACCAAAGAGTTAGCAATAAATCTACTATAAATACACCTCTAACAGTATATTTAGAGCAATCTACAGAAGATAATCCTAAACCAACGCGTCAATCCGCTAGAGCAGCTGCCAAAGCATCCGCCGCACCAAAACCAAAGCCAAAATCTCCACCAAAAGCGACGAAAAAGCGTAAAGCTGACGATAACGATATTGAAATTGATAATGACAGAAAATTAGCTAAACGTCGTCAACCTGCCTTGGAACAAGTCGGTTTGAACAAACTTCCTCAGAAATTATCGACGAATAGCCTTAGAACTTTACTCGTTTTTGGTACAGGTGATTTCGGTCAGTTTGGTTTAGGTGTTGACACGCTTGGTGAGATTAAAAGACCGCGTATACACCAATGGGTTGAAGATGCCATTGAGGATGACGAGTTGGGTCCAGAGGGTGTCGAACAGATCGCTGCAGGTGGTATGCACAATCTCATGATTGATTCAAATGGGAAGGTGAGCGTGTTTTCTCATTTTTAAGCTTTTTTCTCATTGTTTCAGATTTGGTCATGGGGTGTTAACGATGGTATGTCACTTGGGAGAGTGACTGCAGACACTGGCGTTGAAGCCGAAGAACTTGAAACTGTACCAATGAAAGTTGATGGTTTGGATGACTTTAGAGCGGTCAATATAGCTGCAGGTGACTACATTTCGCTCGCTATCGACGAAGAAGGTCAAATGAGAGCCTGGGGATCTTTCAACGTAAGTTTCCATAATCATAGTAGCACTTTCTAACAACAACTCAAGTCAAATGACGGATTACTCGGTTTCGATGGCAGGCCAGGTGGTGCTAGGAAACAAGTAAAGCCAGCAGTTTTACCCCAACTAGCCAAGCACCGTGTCGTACAGGCTGTTTGTGGTGCTGACCATGCCCTCGCTTTAACCACTTCAGGTATCGTTTACGCTTGGGGTAACGGCCAACAACAACAGCTCGGTAGGAGAGTTATTGAAAGACGCAAATTGAACGGTTTGACACCAGAGCCATTACATATTCGTAACATCGTCGCAGTCGGCACAGGTTCCTACCACTCTTTTGCAATTGACAAAGATGGTGTCGTATTTGGATGGGGTTTGAACAAGATGCGCCAGACAGGTGTCAGCGATGAAAGGGATGGCTACGAAGACACTATCGCAGTTCCTACACCAATCGATGCTCTCCATCCAGACAACCACGATGGAAGCAGAGTCATTCAAATTTCCGGTGGAGAGCACCATACATTGTTCTTGTTCGACAATGGTGAAGTTTGGGGCTGTGGTAGATGCGACGGTAAAGAACTCGGTCTATCAAAGGATCATCCAGCTTATAAGGAAATCCTCGAGAATAACGAGAAGACAGCTCAAGAAGCCAGAGAAGAAAAGGCCAAGAAGCAAGGTACTTCAATTGAGGAAACTGAGGCACCAAAGACGATTGCGGATGAATTCGTCGAGCAGCCGGTCAGAATCCAATTCCCACCTCCACCAACAGAGGATGAACCAAATCCAGAAAACACACCATACGAAAGCGGATCATCAAAAACTAAGATTAAGCAAATCAGTGCTGGTCTTAGACACAACCTTGCTGTTAGCGACCAAGGTTATGTTTACTCTTGGGGATATGGTAATGCATGCCAACTTGGACAAGGTAATGCGGAGACTATTGAGGAACCAACTCGTATCGCCAACACCGCTTTGACGAAGGTCAACGCACTCTACTCAAGCGCTGGTGGTCAACACTGCGCCATTCTCGCTGAGAAGAAGGGCTCTACAGCTCGCGAGGAGAAGAAAGAAAATGACGTTGAGAAGAAGGAGAATGAAGAGAAGGAAGGTGAAGAGAAGAATGAAGATGGTGATAAGGAAGAATCAAAGTAGATTATTAATTATTACTAGACAGTGTGCTACCTGCTTATTAATTCTAAAGTGATGGACACATTTTACGCTCATTTATTACTTTTTGTTTAATTTATATCCATACATAAATGCTTGCTTACATTTAAAAATTAATGAAGTTGTTATGACGTCATTGGATCTGTGTCTTTTCGCCTCGGGGTTACACCTTTAAGAGATCCGCAAATCTGGTAGAAGGTGTTTATATGGTAATATTGTCAAATTGAATGAAAAATTCAAAATACTAATAATATGCAGTCACAAGATAATCACAGAGCAGGGCAAAGTCACAATGAACAGCAATACTCAGGACGTGTGGAAGCGATGCGACCAGATGCGAAGGCTATACATGATGAGCGTATGCGTCGAGTCAAAAGCAAGCCAGTCTTTGGTGTAGGTGGCCCCATGCCTGATCGGACAGACGAGAAGCAGGAGGACAAGCATCCAAGTGTTGGTGAGAATAATGACGATTCTGTGCGCTCCCCTATCGGACAGACAGGTGGACAGGTAGGCGGTGTCATTACAGATGCGACAGACGAAGATAAAGCCCAGGATATCGACAACTCGAAACCAGATCTCACTCATCAGAATACAGAGTCAACCTTTAAGCGAATGGGTGATCGAGAGCTCAACGAGAATGACGGTAGTACAGCAAATGAAAACGCAAGTCCTAGTGGACAAATCGGAGGTAACTTACACTCACAATGGCTTGATATGGATGAGACCCAAGAGAAATTCGATAACCCGAATGAACCAATCTATAATTTCTGGTTCAAGTGGCGTGAAAATTTTCGTGAACCATTGGCTGAATTCTTAGGTGCTTGTATATTAATCATTATTGGAGTGGGATCAACTGTTCAGACATTGGTTTACACCAAGGATCCCACAGCAGCATACTCTAATCTCAACTGGGCTTGGGGTGTTGCCGTTATGACAAGCGTCTACATCTCTGGTGGTATTTCCGGTGGACATCTCAACCCAGCATTAACGACCTCTTTGGCACTCTTTAGAGGTTTTCCCTGGAAACTTGTTGGATTGTATTGGATAGCACAAATTTTGGGATGTTTTGCAGGCGGTCTTATCGTATATGCGATGTATTACCAAGCACTGGATGTGTTTGACCCCAACAAGTCTGTCTCCCAGAGTGGGACAGCTGGTCTTTTCGTCACTATGCCTGCAACTAGTCTCTCACATGTTGGTCTTTGTGTTTTCCAAGAGATAATTGCTAGCGCTGTCTTGAGGTGAGTATACTTTATAGAAGAGTCACATTTACTTATAACAACCCAGTATTGCAATTCTAGCTCTTGGTGACCGCGATAACACCCCACCTGGTGCTGGACTCGGTGCTCTCGTCATTGCTTTCGTGATTATGGCTATAGGGACTTCACTGGGCGCTTTGTCTGGATATGCGATGAATCCAGCAAGAGATCTTGGTCCTCGAATCGCTTTATCCTGCGTAGGCTACAATGCAAGAGCGCTGTGGACACACGATAGAGCCTGGTGGGTGACAGGACCAGTTTGTGGTTCCCTCATGGGTTCTTTCCTAGGGAGTATGGTCTACGATACCCTAATATACTCCGGTTTGGGTTCGCCGGTTAATTTCACGAGCAAGCAGTGGGAAAGACTGCTCACACCTCACAACATGGTGAAAGCCGGTCTAGAAAAGAGAAAACGAGAGAAGGCTGAGCGCCAACGTAATGAAGAATCGTCCAGGAAGGGCGATAAAGCTGTATAGAAAGAAAATGGAATAAATTATTGTATTTGCATCTTATTCTACATTCTGTGCCGCTTGCTCGAGTACTTCGAAACCACCAGCACGTTTAACGCTGCATCTGTATTTAGAAGAGTATTATGAAGATTTTCATTACTCACGCTCGAGACAACTCGCCTTTGGTTTTTTGCCAGGTGTTTATCTTCAAATCTCTGCTTGCCTCCTCAAGATCTCTTCCGTGAGTTTTAACAATTTTGATAAGCCATTTCCATTCATCAGCTGAGGTGTTTCTTCCAACTGGGCGAGCCGTTGCTGCCTTGGCTTCGAGTACTGCGGATTCTGAGTGAGTGTATGTAGGATAAGTACTCAAGACTCACATTTTACGACGTCGGTGTTTGACGAAGTCTTGTCTTCTCTCTCATCGTCGAATGTGAGCGGTACGGATGGTGTCTCTATATGTGCACTGTCGAGTGGTTGACCCCATGGCGTTTCCTTTGCTTTCCCCTTGTCGGATGGTTCGTCGATAATAACATCTACGACGTTTCCTTCATCGTCTCTGACTATCCGACCCATTTGAGCTGCTGTATTCTTCTGTGCATCTGACTCCTCGTTGTCATCAGATCTGTCTTCCTTCTGCTGCATTTTCGATGGTAACTCCTTTTCTACACCACCAACGGCGTGCATCTTGAGGTTACTAGCTAATCCTAATCTAGCATAGCTAATGGACTGTTAGATTTTATTCCCTACTCTGCTGTACTACGCTTACTTTTCACGAAGAGTTTTGCTCTTGTCCCACTGTCTAGCCAATTCTGCAGGCACATTCTTCAGCGTTGTCTTCCTGTGTCCCTTATTCGACGTAGTTTTCGTTGGTCTGTAGCTTCCACTTTTCTGCTTTGAGCGCTGGCGAGGTTTTGCCATATTTTGATAGTAAGATAAGAAGAGAGAAGACAGTAGAAATAGAAATATTTTAATAAATTTATCATTTCATGGATACAGGTATGTAAATACAATACTCTTAATTTTGCTCAAGGATGATTTGAATAGCTGACCAGGCAGACAAGCCACCCAAGGACATGAAGGAGGCAGAGCTGAGGAATCCCCAGCTTCTCTTCTCTGGCTGACCAGTTGAGTATCCGAGAGTGTAGAATACACGTCCAATTACCCAAGCGAAGCCCAAGGCAGCTGCTGTTTGGGGGTATTTCAAACCAGACCAGAGGAGGGTAAAGAGGAAGTATGAAGCACTCTCTGTTGTGTTCATGTGAGCTCTCTGGGCGCAGTTGAAGCTGTCTCATGTTAGTGACGCACTTTCGCGATAGTATACACTCACATGTAGGCATCTTTGTTAGCGTCAATTTGCGCTTTATCAGCGTACAACTGTGGGTATTGAATGTTGGCTCTCTTTCTGGCTTTAACAACTACATAGTTTAGTAATAATCTATTAGGACATTCTAGAAGACTCACCGTTCAACATCTGAAAGACATTGAGGAAGAATGTGGAGCTGGCCGCTAAGCCTACCCATCCGTAGTGTTGTGGTAAACCAAGTGAAATAAGCGCTGTTGTGGTGTTCATTGTTTGGGATCAAGGGGGCCGATCAGCGAAGGAATGTGCATAAAGATCTATAAACACTTTTTAGCTTATATCAATTGTATATTAATTGTATAGATCATACTATTGCGCCCGCATGTTTTAGACATTCATAAAAGGAACCTAATCTAAGACAGTTACAGATACTAGCACTAGTAACTAGTAGTCATTATCAGCTAGACCATTGAACGCTATTCTTGTGCTATTACAGCTCTAGCACCCCTCCAGTAGTAATCACTAAGACAGGTTACCGAATTTCAAGATCTAGACTGCAGTGACAAGAGTCAAGATTTAGTCTTGGGGTGTGTCTCTAATTAAAACTCATGATACCTAAAACAAAGTTATAGAAAATGCACCCGTACGGCTTAGTGTCCCCGTCTAGTTGTAACTGCAGCTGCTCAGCTGATTTTGGGGTAACTAAGTAATTAAGCTGATATACTTTGTTTACCATTTGTACACCTCTTTTCTATCCCTTATTACTCTGTCACACCCTCTAATTCGAAAAACTTCAAAAATTCTGGTGACGTCATTTTGAGAGAGGTCGAGAACTAGTCCTAATGAATTTCAGAAACTGTCTATAAAACCTTGGGATAATACTGCCATCTGCTAAAAATGGATATGGACACCTACCAGTGGTAAGTACTATAGCAATCCGATAGCCTAAGGACGATATTCACAGCATCCAAACAGGCCAGTATCGACCAACATGAAATTAACTGATAGCGCAACATTTATCATAAACCTCAACAATCTACCAAAGTACATCTCAAAAACTGTGAACCCTACCGTAAGTTTGACAATACAGGCAAATGGCACCATTGTTTTGACTCACACGAACCGCAGTTTGATATACACTTGACAATATTACGTAATCTGACGGGCTCTACAATCGCAATCATAACTTCAAAAGACTTCGAGAATGGCAGCACAGAGATTGAGGTCACGCCGATCTCGGTAAAGGCTGAATTCTCTATACACGATAATCAATCGAATGCTTACATCAACAATAACAACTACTATTGGGTCGACAACACGTTCTACAACCAACATAAGCATCAGTTGGGTGTGCTCGAAAAGACAGACGATTGCATATCCATCAGTTTGCTTACGACGCTAGATGAGAATATTAAACAACTCGCTATACTGCTCTTATTATCATCTGTTATATATCAAGAGCGATCTACTCGCACGAAAAAGTTCAAATGGCCAACAATCAAACACAAACCGCTAGCTAAAGTTGGTTAAAACGCAACTTTTAAGTTATCAACCTTCAAAGCTTCTAGTTTCCTTATCTTCATCTATTTATTCGCTATCAAATGTTGTTGTAACACAAAAATGTATAATTTACTTCCACTGTGTTGTTTTTTTAAATCAGGTGGCGTCTTTAGATTGTTAAGCTATCAACTCACATAATCAAACTTAGAGTAGAAGACTTCACTATCTGTTGTTTCTTCCCGTGCACCTCTACGTCTGTCTATACTCTTTTCATACTCCCTTCTGTAGATTAAGTCTTCTCGCAACCATCCGAGGGCTAATTTCAACAGCGGTGAAGCTTCTATACTAGAACTCTTAATGATCTCATGTAGCTTTGAACCTTCCTCTAAAGGCCATTTCTCTGGGTTTCCGATGTTGCTACCCAATCTAAGGTGTAAGACATGAGTTGGGAAGTCAATTAGTCCATCAACTAGAGGGACAATTAGATAGACTGGTTGTAGGGGATATACGTACAAATATGAGTGGCGTCTGAGTTGCCTTAGAAAGGCATCAAATCAATGAACCATCCACTCACATAAGATAGTCGCATTTCTCTCCTTTGATTCTGTTATTAAGAAATTGATCAAATCACTGCGAACAACGACATCTAAATCGACCGTAACCTGTCTTTATTTAGTATGTACGTCTTTCGTATCACTAACGTACTTCATCAAGCAATAGCAGTGTCCAAGGAACCATCAAACCCATTACTAACTGCACCCTTCGTCTTTCACCATCTGAAATCTGATGCATACGCCAGTCTAGATCAACGTCGAGTATATCAAGTAGTATGTTTCTCCTATCTTTGTATCTAAATCCTCCAACTGAGTCCAAGAATTCTGAAACGCGTATGTCACCACGGACGACGGGATTCATAGCCCTTTTTAGAGCATTCAATGGGTGTTGATTGTATACCATGGTACCTACCATTCTGTACCAAGATATGTTATTCCCTAGTTTGTTTAGATATCGCTCGGGACTAAATGACAACATACAGCCGGTGGGTTCTTGAAGACGTCTCTATCGTATACTTTCACGTAGCCTTTTGTTAAGCGCTTACCGGCTAATATCCTCAACAGGGTACTCTTCCCAGCTTTTTCTATTAGGTAGATCGCCTAGTATGGAGAAACTCACCACCGTTAGCACCGACTAGTAAGCACCTAGAGCCCTGTTCTATATCGAGATTTATATTCTTTAAGGCATTATCGTCTATTTGATTGAACGAGAAGTTGAGATCTCTAACCGATATCGCTGGAGTCTTCATCGTTTGTCTCAACAACGACGATCTCTCACAAAATTACAGCGATTGAACAGCAGAAAAAAAGAAAATTAAATCCTGAGGAAATGGACATTAACTCAGACGTCAGATTGGTGTTAGGCGTCGCCGCTTTAGACCGCAAAGCGAGATCTAAACCGATGAGGTCAATATTGAACAGAATAATGAAGATATCGAACATTGAAGTAGGTTTTGTTGCTTGTTTTATAGTAAATATCTCATGTCTCTGCTTAGATTTGTATTTTTGGTGATAAAGTCATCTTAGACGAAGGTTTGTCGTTGACTTCTCTTTCCGGAAATATCTCTAAGACAAATGCAGACGTCGAGAACTGGCCTTTGTGCGACTATCTTGTCAGTTTCTTCAGTGACGGTTTCCCTCTTGATAAGGCAATCGATTATGTCAACCTTCGCAAACCAGTTTGTATAAACGATCTCACTGTATGTTTCTGTCTTTCCTAAGAGCTACATCTTACAAATTCAACAGATGCAGAAACTATTATGGGACCGCAGACTAGTTCTCTCAATCCTCGACTCAATTGGTGTCGTCACAGCCGAACGTATCAGCGTAGACAGAGATGGCGGTCCAAATATCGACCCTCAGTTAGCTGAAATGCTCCAAAAAGATCTAGGTTTGTCTTTCCCAAAAAATCCACATCAACCAGAAGTCAAATTGCGAGAAGACGGTGATGCAATCATCATAGACGGACTTGAACTCGAAAAGCCATTCGTTGAGAAACCAGTAAGCGGCGAAGATCACAATATCCACATCTACTTCCCAAAATCACAAGGCGGTGGTGCGAGAAAGCTCTTCCGAAAAGTAGGAAACAAATCGAGTGAATTTTACCCGGAAATTGAAGAACCGCGCTATGATGGATCATTCATCTACGAAAAGTTTATCAACGTTGATAACGCAGAGGATGTTAAAGTCTATACAGTCGGTCCATCGTTTGTACATGCAGAAACACGCAAATCTCCAGTCGTTGATGGTATCGTGCGTCGAAACACAGATGGCAAGGAGATACGTTACATAACTGAGCTTACAGCCGATGAGAAGAAATGTGCAACTAACATTTGCAAAGCCTTCAAGCAGAATATATGTGGATTTGATCTCTTGAGATATGATGATAAAGCTTTCGTTATTGACGTTAACGGATGGAGTTTCGTCAAAGGAAATGACTACTATTATGACAAATGCGCAGAGATTCTCTCCACATTTTGCCGCAAGACCGCTCCAAAGAGACCAATTACAGCTGTCCATAACAATTCACCAAGAGATAAGAGCAGCTGGAGACTAAAGGCAAATGCCACTGTTGTCCGTCATGCTGATAGAACACCTAAGCAGAAAATCAAATTCAGTTTCCAAGCCTCCGAGAAATGGGCCCAACCATTCATACGTTTGTTGAGAGGTGCAACAGAGGAAGTCATCCTCCGCCGTGCTGAACAGCTTAACTACATCACTGAAGCAGCAGATGAAGCAGTCAAACTTGGTTGTAACGAATTGGAAAAATTGGAACAACTCCGTATCGTCATTTCTAAGAAGATCGATTTGCCCGGCACAAAAGCCCAGTTGAAGCCAAATTTCAACAAGAATGATGGTGTTACACTTGAAAAACTAGCTTTGGTATTCAAATGGGGTGGTGAATTTACTCATGCCGCTCGCTATCAATCGAGAGATCTAGGATTTAGTTTTAGAGGTGACGCCATGATAATGAACAAGGATATGTTAGAGAATTGTAAGATATACTCTAGTTCAGAGAGGAGAGTTTTGGCATCAGCTGAAATATTCGCCGCTGCATTCCTCGAAGACCCTGAGAAGAGGAAGGAAGGCAAGGAACCAATCACCCATCCTCTCATAGTCAGGAAAGATCTTCTTGATGATAGTAATGCAGGAAAGGACATGATGGATTTCGTCAAAAAGAAACTCAAAACGCTTCTCAGACCTGGTGAAAAGGAGAAGAGACCACAGTTTCAATGGCCAAAGGATCTTAAAGGAGAGCCTGTTGAAGTAGTAGCTGAAATAATAGAATTGATGAGGTACCATCGCGATGTTATGAGGAGCAACTTCGAGAATCTTGAAGTCGATAAGATACAAACGAGATGGTGCTGTAATGAGCATCCACTCTTGTTCAAAGAGCGTTGGGAGAAACTCTTTGACGACTTCTGTGAGAGCACCACCCAAGAAAAGTTCGATCCTAGTCGTATTTCTGAGTTATACGATTCGCTCAAGTATGACAGCTTGCATAACAGTGTCTTCCTCAACACTATTTTCAGACCTGATGGCAAACAAGACCCTAATGATAGACGTCTCCACAGTCTTTACGGGCATGCGAAGGCTCTATTCGATCTTATCGCACCACAAGAGTATGGTATTGAAGCAGAGGAGAAGGAACAGATCGGTATTCTAACATCCCTGCCACTTCTCAAAAAAATAGTTCAAGATCTCCAAGAAGCGAGGGATGCAGAGAAAGGAGCATTCTCTATTTACTTTACGAGTGAGTTTGGTTTTAATAAATTACATAACTAAATGAAAACAGAGGAGTCACACATTCACACACTTGTACAACTTGTTCTATGCAGCGGCCTTCCGATTACGATGCCACACGTTCCTGAGCTCGACTACGTCGCTCACCTCACTTTGGAGCTATACGAGCGAAGCATAGGAGGTGCACATCGTGAGAAGGAATATAGCATCAGATTAGCACTTTCTGGTGGTGCACACACATCCAATGTCCTTGACTCACAATTAGATGCAAAGCACTCGCTCAATGTTCAACCTAGACGTCAACTGACTCACCATCTGGATTATGACCACGCAATCAAGATGCTTTCGAAGCACTTCGACAAAGATTGGGTATTTTCGACGACGCCTCTCGAAGGTGATGCTTTATATGGAATTAAGGATGACCACATCGAGCAGATTCGTGAGGTGAGACTCAACGGCGGCGCTAGCACGCCTAGAAAACATGAAAGCTTCGGTGATGACTCATCAACTAAGTCTGGTACTTCTCAAAGTTTTTAAATTATGGAATTGTACTTTAGGTTTCTTTATCAATGCAACTCATATTTATTAGCAATGTGGTAAAATTTTCAGATTGAATCACCCTTTTCCATTTTCCCACAATTAAATTGGAAAATTAAGAAGCATATGACTAACTTGAATAGCCACTTTGAAGTTCAAATATACAATGGCTGGTGGCAACCTCGTGCGTTCTTCTTAGACTTAGTTGGTAAACTAAAGACAGCGCAGGCGCTCACACAGCATCCATTCGACTTTGTCGATATACATCTTACCACACCAGGCTCAAGTTGGCAATGGGCAGTTTTCTCAATGTTTGGTGTCTCTGGCATTGTGACACTCTTTTTGGTGTACTTCACAAAGCGCTACATCAGGGGAATGTGGACACTTGCATTTGTCGTTTTTCACATTTCTTTCGTAGCCTACTTTGTCATGGCCTCTGGTTTGGGCTGGACTGCAATCGAAGTCCAATTTTTACACGGTAGAGGTACGACATTTGGTGGTACACGCCAAATCAACTACACCCGCTTCGTGCAACAAATTTTAGCTAGCCCTACCTATGTTCTAATTTTGTTATTGGGCGCTGGTGCAAATGTTGAAATGATGCTGTTTGGGATGTTCACACAGATTTATTTCTGGGTCTGTCTCCTCATTGCATCACTCATTAGCGACCAATATAAATGGGGTTTATTCACAATGGCCGTAGTGCTCGAATTTAATGTTTGGTGGGTGTGGATTTAGTATGTCTGACAACGCTAACAAACCCAGGGCGGTACTATTACACCAAGGCATGCATATGCTACCTTTGCGCGGCTCGACTACTAAAAAAGGTGTTTTCTACGGTGTCACTGGATGGTATATCCTCATCTACTTGCTTTACATCATCGCAGTCGGTGTGAGCGAACTAGGTAACGTTATAACAGTCACGGCTGAGGCTGTATTTTACGGAGTACTCGACCTTTGCATTCAAATCGTTATGCTCTTTGTTTTCATCCCAGCTTTCTCAAGTTACATCCCAGGTGTAGGAAGCAGAGGTGCGGCAATAGAGGGACAAGCACTTGACAATCCCTCATATGCACTACCTCGCAAAGAACCTCCGCAAGTGCAACAACAACAACCAGTTGAGCAGGTCACGCAACCAGCACAACAAGCACATACACAGGAGAAGGTCCAAATGCCACAGCCTCAACATACGGCTCAACAAGGACAGCAACAACAGCCACAACCGGCATAATAAGAACAAGTTGATCAGTCCGTGTTTCTCTGTTTTACTATCTTACTTTCACGAAAATAATAATAATGGTATCTTTTTGGTATATTAATACGCACTAATTATGTTTACTTCTCCTTACATCATGAATATATTAATTTTACATCCATAACAGAAAACGTTTTATAGAACAAAGGGTCGAAGTAGTCCTTGTGATCAAATCCAGAGATGAATAGAATAAATAAGAGAGAATATTGGGGTAGGAATAATCTACCAGGGAGTTTCAAGTGTAATTACAGCCTCTCTTATTCACCTTTAGCTGAAATTATTTGTTCTCACAATTAGCATCACGCTCTGCAAATACACGAGGTAGTTTCATAGAAAATTACTCAATCTAGTAGACATTTCATGGCATGGTAATATCTTCCTAAACATAGCATTTGGAAGCGTATTCCAAAAAAAAGAAGATGAGCAAATTTGCAAGGTTTGACATAACCCTAGAATACATATTCATAATAAGTGACATTATCTATAGATCTCGCCCAGCTTTTTATGGTGACATGCCAAGCTGCATAATATTCAGGAACGCTGGTGTTAAATTGAAGGCGATGTCGTTCGTTTCGGCCAACGATGTCCGCGAATATATGCCGAAATCCTGCCCCTGAAGGGCCTGCTTCTAAATTTGGCACCTCATAGTGCATATGATTAATTCAAGATAACCTGCTATGACGCAAAATTTTTGATGTAATTTCTATAATTAAACTAGATTGTACTATATTAGTAATATTTAGAACATGAATGTTAAAGCTATAAACTAAGAGAGGTGTAATGCGATACCTTATAAGCCATACAATAGGAGAATTAGCTTTCAACTAACTTTGGAAATGCTATTGCGAATAGCGTAGCCATCCGGCTAATAATGCAAGCATACAGTGCTAACACTAGTATTTTTGCAATAGCTGAAGTTATGTCGAAGAGACGTTACCAAGTTGTAGCATTTATCGCATTCTATTACCAATATTGTTGGGTCTAGTTTCACTATCTCTGGTCAAGAATGCATTCAAACATCCTATAAAAAAGCTGTAAACTAAAGCGAACACAACTCAGACTGTTATTAGTACCGACCTGACTATGATATCCGAGTTACCTAAGATCCAATATACGGACAGTTCCAATTTCTGTAGTAAATAGATGTGTGTATTTAGTAGAATACTTAGACGGTAAAAACAAAGTTTGACAAGTAATATATGTACGAACAATGTTGCTCAACACGATTTTTTGTCAAAACAAAAAAAAAAGCAAAAGAGTAGCTTCGCCCGGTTTCGATCCGGGGATCTTTGGGTTATGAGCCCAACGCCATTCCTCTTGGCCACGAAGCTGTGAACAGCTGTACTATTTGATTGTGAAGATGTTGTGAGTAAGCCTAATTATATTCGACTGTTTATGAACAAAGAAAATTTTACTTACATCATCAATCGACAGTTTTTAAACTGATTGACAGTTGGTTTTTTATAAATCAATAGCGTCTTTATGATAATGGCTCTAATATGACACTTTTACTATCTTATACATTTTTTCACTATCTCATATGGCATCCCTTTATCATGAAATGTCTATTATCGGTAAGCTATGTCCGTAATATACTGTTTGAGGCTGGTAAACTATGCACCGATTATATTATGTTTCTGTGATTAAAAATATCTTTTTCCGTGTGTGATGACTTGATCTAGTTAGCTACTCTCGACTCCCTAGCGACTAACTCAGTATGTTCAGCCCCTGCACCTCTATTTCAATAATAAGTAAATGAACCTTGTATAAAATCAACAGCTTATATGAGCTATATAGAATAATTGTTTATATAAGATTCAACTGTTTATCGTTTCAATACAGGTGCTGAGCATGCATCCTCAACTATTGGACAAGTCCAGGATAGCTTAATGCTCAAGAATGTGACTGACAAAAAGAACGAAGAAGCAAATAAATAAAGTAGCATATATAGGCAGTCGAATATTATTCCTTTGTAATATAAAACAAAATGTACATTGATCATCAACACGATATTTTGCAAAAGTCTATATACTGTTCACCACTGTCCGCATTTTTTCACCGTCCTCCTATTACTTATATACATCTTCGTACCTAACGACTAAAAGGTTTTGAATGAAAGTATGTTCAGCACCTGTATCCAAATTCCAACAATAATGTAGTGTAATATAATAATTAAGAGCTGTATTCATATATTCTAAAGAAAAAATTAAAATACTCATCATCCAAGGAGCTTTTCATTATTTCATTACCATTGTTGGAAATCTCTAGACAACATGGAAACAAATGACTTCAATGATAAGTTACAACTTCCTGTGAAGACGCTATATGAAGATCATAATAAAAATGATTGGGACATGAAGGTCTCTCAAATGGCCAAGACCGTTTCTTATTCAGCAATGATTTTTCTGGTATATTACGTTATCAATACGCTATTGACGTATCTTGTGTATAGTTATTCAAAAAGGAAAGTCGCTGAGATAGATTATGCTAGGGATCCGTCTGATATGAAAGCTCTAAAGAGTATGAAAGAGCCTATACTTTACGAAAGTACAGTGTCTAAGATCAAGAAAATAATCTGGCTATGTTTCATAATCATGGTGGTATCGTATTTAACATCAATAACATATCACCCGAATTCGTTCCTACCCGATAAGAGAGCTTTGAACTTGAAACAAGCTATTTGGAAAGAAGTTAGTAGCGTAGTGTTAATATTTTGGATTTCCAATACTGGATGGTGTGCTGCAGCAACTTTCTGCCAAATATTGCAGTACCATCTAATTACAGGAATTAGTATGGTTGGTATAATCTCTTCAATGCCTTTCATGAATCAATGTGATAAGCAGCGGGTAGAAAATCCAGATACTCCTGACCACTTGTATGCTGTTGAAAATTTGCAGCATGAGCAACTTATTATTACAGGCAATTAATTTAGGTCTAACGTCTAAGATGTGTTCGATTATGACCTACCAATTTATGACTTATCTATAATGTTACATGGTTTCTGCGGAAGGTAATCCTAGTTGTTGACGTACAAGACGCTATGAGACTTTAGGAAATACTATCAAGCAGGTCTTCGTTGATGAGGATGGCTATTTTAACTATAATGCATAGTTACTTGGTCTTGTAGAGGTATAAAGACGCCACATAGCAGAGACCATATGTTAAAGTCCGATAAACAGTGGGGCTAGTAATCTTGTATATGAATTTGAGCAGACCAGCTAAGCTTATGTGTTAGCTAGTTAAATAGCTAATTTGAATGTAATATGTCCCTTTTAGCTGCAGAATTAACGTTAGGTTTGGTATGAGTAGAGATATCCATAGGAAATTTGACGACATACGACACTATATGCCGATATTGAAATGTTAAGTTGGTAGTTGATACGTATAATGCTCAAAATTACCATAGAAAACTGAAATAAGGGCGATAGGTTTTAGCGTATGAGTAAATGTTAATATTATGTAACTGAATATGCATGCATGCACAAGATCTGGACGGTTAGGCCTAACTGAGAGCAAATATGAAGATATAAATTATCAAGACATATTACGATATTTCTCAAGAAAGCTTTAGTTGTTCTAGCAGTTTGTCCAAATCTTCTTACTATAAGAAATATTGATGGACTTAGTGAAGCGTTTTTATTATCTAACAGTATATCTTATTGAATTATTATTATTGGTATCATTCCTTTAATGTAGAACTTTGTAGAATTGACATATAATAAGAGACATCTCCAACAACCGTCACTACAATGACTTTGCTGGGAGTAACAAAAAGATGCATTTTTTGAAACCAACACGGAAATGTATCTGCGCAAGTAATTATTCGTCGAAATCTAGGAGTATCTTAATATACTACTTATCTCAATGATTGATAACATAATCGCTTACTGTGCGCGCTACCATTCCTGGTTTATCTACGGAAAGGGAAGTAGTTGTGGCTCAACCGACTACTAATGTGGATGTAAGACTGAAATATCCCTAAGCTATAGGTAATTCAAAATTTTCCATGAAGGCCTTAAATTGATGGGATATTAAGCCACCCTGATATCTACAAAAACCATGGATGGACAAAACAACTAAAGCTCAAGAACACTTTTAAATACACCTTCAAACTCTTTACACAATTAACGAGAGACGTATGTGTCCTAGAAATTGGTATCTATCGAGGATAAATATTTTTCAGTATATTCTTTTACATCTGTATCTCCTTAGATTGGAAGAATACGAATGAGTGTCATAACCCACCAACATACTTAAAAGTTTTGTTCTTATTTCTTATAAGTCAACGATAAACATAACCATCAGCAAGATAACTTTGTACTTTACATAAACGCTAGGAAAGCTCATAAACTAATAATAGAATGACGCCAGTCTGACTTGACAGTCGTTTGTTTTCACTGGTAGTGTGACCCTTTATATGAAAATTTGTAAAATAAAAACAATATTGTGAACCAACGATTATGAGGGGAAATATACCACATTTTACTGAACTTAGCTACGTATACCTGTTGATATACTAACTATAACCATCGAACATCTATCTAGCCTTCCTAACGTCTGAAACGAACAATAGTACAGCTGGATGTTAATTTTACGATTATCCTGCAACTAAGCTATAATTACATTGAATACCTCGCTATAAATCCTGAAACAATCAATGTAATATAATAAAGAATATAATTAACAATAAATATTGTACAGTAAGTATCTAATCTAATTACAGGAATCATAAGGTTGAGAGAGGGGTATATGTTATCTAATTACGCGTAATTGTATCTTGATTGATTTTCTAATAATCCGAATGATTGCTCCTAGACTGAGTAAAATGCTAAGAATACCCATAACTGCAGAAGCGGCGACTTGAGGAGTAGAAGGCGTTTCCAGGCATTCAATGTACTGCCTGCCTAGTGGGGGACCTAGACTGAGTAGGGCTATGCAGAATTTAGAATCCGGGGTGAGTGGATCGGGTGGTGGGTCTTTCAAGATGCTTAAGTCTATTTCTACAGGTAAATCATCAAATGGTGAATTTGCATTGCCACCCCTTTCTCCATTTCCTACTGGAAGATTGCTGAGTTGTCTTTTGCTGTATATGGCGCTGCTGTCGTCGGACGAGTGGGGGCTATGGTCTTCCTCCTGTGTATTCTCTATCGTTGGAGCCATCGTTGGTGTTTCTGTTCAAGAATGGCCTACATACCGAAGATAGTAGTAACTCAAATATGACACACATTCCAGTGACATAGTTGAGTTTTCGCGTCGACGTCCTTGGGGAATATAAACCAGATATTTAATGATAGCTCTACTATAATTCTTGTCATAATTATAGTTATTCTTTGTATGGTGTAGAATCTATAGACTCTCCTTCCCTGACCATCACCACGTAGACAGAGGATGAACTCAATATTGATACCAATTATTTATTTAGTTTTGCTGATAGTACCTTTGTCTTTATTCAGTAAAATCTATAGAAATTCTAAAGTAAAATCCTCAATCGATCTCATCTCTGACAGCTGGTTTGAACCACACATCGAGAGATCTGTATATATTACACTCCTACAACAAGAGAACACAGAGGAAATAGTCTTAAAGTGTGCATTGATCCGTAGAGCAGTCGAGGATGTCAAGAGAATATGGAAGATGAGGGATGACAAGGTTGCATTAGTTACTCTCATACAGAGAGGACAAGTCGGTGACCAGCTTCTCCAACAAATTCAAGCTGCAGAAAAGGAACTCGAAAGTGAAATCGTCGAAGTCGTCAGTGAGGCCAACACATTCAGAATGGGATGGGGACAGGGTATATTCCAATCAGCATCCGAAATCGCACAGCATGATAAGATGAAATCTACGCATAAATCTATTGATTCATTTGTTTTGACTACAGAATAAATATTTCATTATACAATCAACCAAAGCTAATAGAATGATCCACGTCCTCTACCACGGTATGGTCTACCGCGGAATCCGCCTCTTCCTCTACCTCTACCTCTGGCGCGTTTCAGAGCGAAGAAAGGCACATTCTTTCTCTTTGCTAGGATAACGCGTTAGACACATCATAGAATAGACTAGATGGTATACTTACCAACAACTTTTATTAATCTACCCTTGAATAAACTCTCATTAAGTGCAGATGCGTTCTCAACTAATGATGGCTCTGCGAATTCGATATATGCGTATCCTTTTGGATGACCAGTGAATTTATCACATAAGATTGTAACGCGGTTTATTGTACCACATGCAGCAAAGTGTTTTTGTAAATCCTCTGGAGTTGCGCTGTAATCGACCTATAACCTAATGTGAGACTATGACGGCGTTCAAGGCAAGACTGACGTTACCAACGTAAACTGATCTACCGTCGACATCTTCGCTCGATTCCTGCATCATTTCTGCGTCTTGTCCCTCGAATGTCGACTGTTCTTGTGATTCTAGTTGTTGTGGTTGTTGTTGTTGGTCTTCCTCTGGCTTTTGTTCGACGTTCTCTTGTACTTCACGCAATCTGGCTGCTTCTTCTTCCATTTGCTTAACCCGTTCCTTCATTGCTGCAATTTCCTATGAAGTATTCTATTAGAAGATCCATAAGCTAGGAAATCAGCTATACACACCTTATCTTCGTCATCCTCCTCAAATGTTGGCTCCTCATTCGTTGGATTGTTGTAGTCATTGCTGTCTGCCATTTTCGTTATCTTACTGGGTGGTTGTAAGCAATCAAGAAGTCAGAGAACGTCAGATGAGCATTTTGTCGGAATTTTTTATATTTTGTTAGTTAAGCTAGTTGTTATATTCTACATTGGTATCTTCTACCTCCTTTCTCCCTATATTCTAGTACTCATGTTGTATTTGATCATATATATAGAGATAATAGTAACCTATTAAAATAATTTATTAATACAAATAGTGAATTCTGCAATTTGGTATTCTGTTTTTACTAGATGGTTATCATGCTCTTGAGGTATTTTCATCTACAATGCTGTTATACGTTACAGGCGGTGATGGAGGTGTGCATCTACGCCATTCGTATCTAGCTAGCTCCTCTGTAGGGGTATCGTGTATTTCATTTGGAGGTGGTGGCATCACTTGTGGAAACTCAATTTCTGTATATTGAGCTTGTCGATAATATGAACCGTGATGTCCAATATATAACCATCTGCTTCTCTTGTATAAGTAAGCTGAGGGATGTGGATTCTCGAAGACAAGCTCTCTATTGACGTGTTGGTTAATGTCGACTTGACAAAGCGGTACGTTTTCAATCAATTCTAACTGCTCTTCGATAGTAATATTCGGACAATTAATAGCTTTCAGTTGTTCAAAGTCCGGATAATGTCTTCTAACACAGCTGAGTACGTCTTGTCCTTCTACATTTGTTCCACTGAAGTTTATATTGACGAGCTCTTTCAATCCACGAAGATATTTTTTGTCTTTGACGAATATATCGACAAATTCGTCATCGGCATATGACAAATCGAGTGTCTGCAACTCTACGCACCGTAGTAAATCATACCTCACGAGTCTTGTTATGCGGCCAAAACGACTATGAGCTAATGAGAGGAATCTCAATCGAGGGTTAAGTTTCCTGAATTGATTTTCAAGATCTGTACAACCTTCTAACTTTAATTTCTTGAGTTTGCATGTTCGTATCTTACATATAAATGTATTCACTCGTACTAGATGAAGTTCCTCCAATTCATCCATCGTACTTACGGGAAAGCCTCTGACTTGGTATGTACATGTTGAAAAGAACATCTGATCGGTTGAATTGATAATAGTGAATGATTTGAGATTATTGAATAGACTCGTTACTGCCAAAACAGTACCCGATAAACCTGAACGATTGGCTCGAAAATGTTGACTGTTAAAGCCTCGTGGACATTTATCTGTATATTCTAACTTGAGATTCTTACAGTTCGTTATCACGTCATATGTGTCTCGTTCGATAGTGACATTTTTCAAGGATAAACGCTTACATGATCTTGTATTTCTAGAGTATAAACAGATCACGGCGTATTGAGGTACTAACGAGTTATCCCACGTGTTATCAATGCTTATTTCCTCCGCTTCGACTGGAATATGAGGTCTAAAATCTTGACATAGACCAATCAATGATAGATTCTTCAATGGTCTTGAGTCGTTGATTAAACTGAAGAGACCTGTGTTGTAAAGTTGCGTGAAACCTGTATTAGAGAATACATCGAGTTTTAACCTATCAATGTTGTTGCTATTGCTTCTCATTTGATTAAAGTGGAATTTTCTAAGTGTTCTGGCTATATTATTCCTCACTTCAAGTGTCAGAGCTGAAAAAGCTGTATAACATTGGTATCAATGTCGTCATATAAGTGTATGAACCTACACCTGGAATACAACTTCACAATGCTAGCTAAATACCTATTCACCTGTGCTAATGTATGGCCAATATCGTATATACCGATCTCGTGTGCGCTGTCAATAATCTGCATCAGTATATCTGGGTTCATATCCCCGAGTGAAGGTTTAATTGTTACTTCCATGCGCTGCTTTGTTCTAGCCTTACGTCTATACCCTTCCTTTCGTCTAGACTTGCGTTTTCGTGTCATTTAAAGATCGTCGTCGAGAAGGAAGAGTGTTTGTTTGTAAATTGAGCTCTTTGTTTCCTACAGCCATCGTCTGACAGCCAAATGGGCGTAGATATTGTCGACGCCGTCCTAAACACCTACCGTAAGCTGCCAAAGCGAGCTCATCCTGGTGTACGTCCAAATGGCAGTTTAGAATGTAGGTCGATTTAGTTTAGATCACAGATGGTGACATAACTAGGGTCTATTCTCGCAGGATTCGTAATTGAATACAATGGGATCTTTGAATGTGTAGCTATTGGAATAGGTGTGAAATGTCTATCAGCGATTAAGATACCATTACAGGGCGATGTGAGTCACTGGCTTGCCAACGAGAACCCATTTGACACTAGAAGATGGTACATGACTGTCACGCTGAAATACTCGCCAAAAGGGCTTTTATTCGCTATTTGTTAAACGAAATGATGAACATAAACAAAGGTGACCAGTCACGCTATCTTACACTCCAGGAAGGAAAGTATAGACTCAACGAGGGTGTTAAACTACATATGTATATCTCTGCCCTCCCATGTGGAGACGCTTCGATGATTTACACCGCCGATCATCAGAATGACGATGAGGCAGCCCTCTATAGCGCGATACCGAGCCTATCGGGAGCTTCAAATGAACATACAGACTTGGTAAGAGGGCGGATGAACTACTCACGGGTTGGAGCGATACGTACGAAACCAGGTATGCCTCTTTTGTTCGTTGTAGTCAGACTCTCACCCAAAGCAGGACGTGCAGATGCTTCGTCAACTTCTAGTTTGAGCTGTTCTGATAAGTTGGCTACATTATGCTTGCTTGGTGTACAGGGAGGTTTACTCGCGAACATAATCGACCCAATATACATAGACAAGATCATTATTGGCGGTGTGTTCGATAATCGCGAGAAATACTTGTCAGAGTGTCACAGAGCTCTTTACACGCGTTTAGAAGCAAGTTTGTCTGGTTGCGTACCTGGTTAGTTATCCTTCTACTTTACTGATAATGTTAACATTCTCAGACACAAAGTATAGATTCCACAAACCTGACATATCATTCACGGATACCCCTTATGAGCATTCAAAGGAACAAGTAGAGTCGAGGGCAGCTGGTGTAGATGTACAGCCGGCAATCGAATGTGGGAATATCGTCGTAAACATAGCTAATCTAATCTTACTCAAGGTGCTAATTATATCGCGAACGACATCCAAAAACCGACAGAAATTGTCGTCAGTGGTCTCAAAAATGGCAATTTCAAGCGTAAAGGTCCTGACACGCCTTATTTTTGGAAATACAGGTATGCGATAAGGTTTATCGCTATATTTTAACCATTTCACCCAGATCACGCCTTTGCAAGCTGGACATTATGCGGGCATACATGTCATTGAATGCTAACCCTGGACCAAGGTGAGTGATAAGAACCATTGTGAGACCTCTTTAATGAAGTTTAGCAATTTAACGTACTACGATGTAAAGAATACAGCAGGATCGTCGGATTATCGTCAAGTTAAGGGTGCAATACGCAGCCATCCATCTTTATTCGCAGGATGGATAATTACAGACAAGAAATACACCATGTTTGACTGTGAAGGTAACCATCGGCTGTGATGTACATCGATTGAAGTGTATTATATAAATATATAGACATTGCATAATTAGAATAGCTATGATAACTAGATAACTAAGGCTGTGGTCTCCAGAACCGCACCGACATATCATCTGAGCAACTAGCCAGCTGGATGGTGTGAGAATTGCATGTTTGAACATAGAGATACTCACGACATCGTCTGCCCAGTCGACAGAACCAACTTCATTGCTCGTTCCATTCGTGCCTTTCGAGTGAAAGAGTTTGACGGCTTTGTCTTGAGATTGTTGCGCGCGCTTTGAGTTAGAGATATCCCAGCTAAAGACCGTACCATTTTTGCTTCCACAACTGAGATACCGTGAGTCTGGAGAGAGAGCCATGCGGACCCAAAAGGAAGCGCAGGTGAGTTCGTCGTCTTTGAGTTGTATGCGTGCCTCTGATGTGAGATTGTTAGTAGGGTATCCATATATACTAGGATGTGTTAGAAATAAAAACAATACACTACTGCACTCACATTGAGTTCGTGCAGAGTGTCCAAAGCCACGATCCATCAGCTGCCAAGTGAGACACACCGTGTGGACGACCATTGTTCTCTGTCATGTCTGGGGTTTCAGATGCTGGTTTAGCAGATTTGGAGGATTTGCCTGATGCCGTGCGTATATCCCAGAGTTTGACCGAACTTCGAATGATTGTTAGTATAATGTTCATGAAAATTAACTTCGTCCTACCCGTTAGCTGAGCCCGCGCTGACGAGTAAGTTATCCTGGTGTTGCAAATACGCGATTGAAGTGACAGACCGTGTCACGCTTCTCCCTATGCTATTACGCTTCCTCAACTCGGAAGCAGATGCATGAGCTTTGTCAATCGTCAGCATTGGATCGATTTCACGTGGACCATCCGTGTGTATGACCGCGCTTTCTTTTTGACAGGACGTCCGCGTATCCCATACCCGAACAGAACCATCTCTGGCAGCACTCGCGAATATTGAGTCTGAGAAGTTACTCCAAGAAAGTGCCTTAATCGATCCAGTGTGTCCGTGGCACGTCCCGACATGTGCTTGCGTCCGCGTATCCCAAATACGTATCTCTTGATCGGCAGATGCCGTGCAGAATTGAGCCGAATCGCAACTGAATTTCAGATCAAAAATCGCATTATCGTGCGCTTCAAGGTATCCAACCAAGCGGCCTGTCTCATGTTAAGGAATAGTGAGATAGGTTTGATGAGGGACTCACGATTTGATCGCTGTTTGGCGCGCGGCTGTGCGTCAAGGAATGAGACTGAGCCTTCCTCGTCACCGACGACTAAAACGGGGGCGCCGGATGTCTGCGTAGATGGTATGAAAGTCGTTGTCAGCGGTGGCGCATAAGTTCTATCAGACAAGCGGCTTTGGAAGGTCATTATGTCTGACCGGCAAGTGTTTCTGAAATTTCGTAGGAAGATTGCCGACATGTCCACTAAAGAGCGTTAGAAGAACATGGCATCCAAGTGAGACGTACAAGCGCGTGTATTTGGTTTTCCGCCTAAACGTATTTGTTTGTAATAGGAATGGAAGCTGGTTGCTGCCTTTGTCCTCCGAATGTAACTCAGTTCATCGCCATCCGACGCGTTATCGATGGATGAAATCCGACTAGTCGAAGTGGAAGTGGCTGATTCTTCGTCAATCGCGCTGTTTTTGCGCTTTTTGGTGTCCTTCGGCGCGAAGAAGTGTGGATCGAACGCGAGCTTTATCTTCACTTTCGGTGCTGGGTTTACGCGTACATTTTGTGATGTTGACGGACTCGAGCTACTGCTATCCTTGTCTGCAGCTGTGGATATTGGTGATGAGGGTATATTGCTCGTGTGTTCTCTCAGACCGCGTGTTTGAGTAGATTTAGTCCCTGAATTTATCATGTTTGAAGGACTATATTGAATTGTATTGAAATGCAGCTTATCCGTCTGCTATGTTGCGTCGTTTTCGGTAATTTCTCGCTTTAAACACCGTCGTTGAGAGGAAACGCGTGAATGGGAGAAGAGAAGAAAAGTGAGGATAGAAACGTAGCTTCTGAAGAAGTATTAGAAAGTGAGTTTATGTATTACTACTGATTGTGCACTCATACCCGCCCTACAGATCTCTTTGAGTTATCCCAGACACTGAACACAGGATTATCTAAGGAGACACTCTCTAATAGCTTAGAACTGATAGACGATGGTTTAGATCCGTCTACTTTGGCTGTGAGCGGTCTTTGTGTGATGAAATAGCATCTAATTGAGGTCATAGGACGTTATACTAGCACTTAGAGATGGGGAAGATCAATAAGATGGTGATACTCTATGATATATCGCATAGTTCTACACAAACACGCTTCTTGTACTCTAACCACCATATTATGGCTGCCATATATCACTTATACCTTCTTAACCACGAGGATACGCCGATTTTTAAGGATACATACACTTCCACTCGCTTTACGACCTCCGCTGAACCACTTAGTAGCCCAGCGAACGCAGCATCACCGACGTTCAACGATATGATATCTGCGTTGGTCGGTACACACAACAGACGTACGAGCTTGCCTATGAATGGCGAACAGGGGGGCGAATTCCACCAAGATGTAATGGATCTAGTTGCACATGCTTCGCTGGACGTCATCGAGGATGTACAGAGTAAATCGAACAATATGTAAGCAGACAGGTTGTAAAAATAGCCATATATCTCATTGAGAATACGCAGGTATCACAAATGCGTCGACAAGTTCAACGGATGGTCTATTTCAGCTTTTGTAACGCCTTCTAGTGAGTTGTTTTTACGAAATTGCGACAGCATCCTCATGTAGCACAGGTACACGATTTGTTTTGCTGCATCAAGTCAAGAACGACGATAACATTCGCCTGTTCTTCCAAGAATGCTGGGAAGCGTATCTCAAGGTTGGTACATCATTGAAAAGCTCGACGACTTCTCATTAACCATCCAGACACTCTTAAATCCATTCTACACCTCAACCGATGCTATCAGAGCGCCAGGATTTCAAGACAAACTCGTGAAATCGGCGAGAAAATACTTATAGAGAGAAGATTCAGTTATTGTTGTATTTATATTCTATTACACGTCCTTAATCCTTTATTGAGCAGCTTCTTGGGTCTGGGTGAGCACTTCAACCATACCAAGACCGAGAGCTGAGTTGATTGTGACCCAACCTGAAGAAGAGTTAGATATGAGAAAGCTGGCAAATAGAACACATACTGGCAAACCACCATCCTTCTTCTTTGACGATTGTTTTGAAGCATTCAAACCAACCCTTGTATGGCTTTGGACGGAGTGGGACGACTAGAGGATGTTAGAGTGAAACCGATAAATAGGATACCTACCAGAGTGGATTTCTTCATCCTTGCCAACGTATTGAGCACATAATCTAGCCATGACGAGCGATTGGGTGAGGTTTACGACGATACTAGCAAATCTGACTGGTAAACCGAAGTAGCTGTCAGGAGGCAAGAGAGCGAGGAAGCCAGAGCTGACGAGACTAACACCTGTGCTTATCAAGCTAGTTTGTAACAAAGAAGGCAACAAGTGAGCGTAAAGGGCAGTAGGGTCGTTTCTCTCGGTTTTGCTGAAAAGCTCAATAGTTGGTCTTGAGGAAGGCAAAAGAGCAGCTCTAGTCATAGCAACCTTGAAAGGCAAGAACAAGGCATCCAATCCGAGTGTAGCGACGAAAGACAAGGCAAAGGCGCCTGGTGCGTAGGCTAACAAGATTGAAGTTGGACCGATGCTGACGTTAAGTCTACCGTATGGGAGGATAGGCTGAAGGAGGAGTGCTAAACCGTAGTCTGCTAATGCAAATAGTCTCTCTGACGCGATTCTAGCTACGGCGAGTCTAACGATTGGCTTGAGGATGTCCTTTGTGACGTATGTCTTTATGTTAGGCCAGCTAGCCCTTGATTCAGTTGATGATTGTCCAATTGGCTTGTAGAAACTCTCTACCCTGGTGCAGGCGATATTTGGGAGCATGGAAAGCCCCAATCCAGCGACACCCAAACCCAATCCAACGGTTGCCATACCAAAATCTCCAATAGTCGGCGTCTCCACGGCTGTGGCTGTACTTTCTGACATTTTTGTTCTTCGAAGTTCAGAAACAAGAGTTCTTCCACAACGTCATTATGGGAAGTCACCCTTCTGGGAAAAAGATAAAAGCAAAATATTCATCAGAAGCACGTGCGTTGACCTTCTATATTGAGCGTTTCTAATCAACTACTAGCATTCATTTCCTATGGTCCAACTTACTTAGCCCAACATCTACCGCGGCCATACAACAAGGTAGACCCTCTAAACCCGTTATCGGAGGACGCAGACAGCTCTTCGGGAGACTTTAGGCTCGCTGAAACCGCCCAGATGCTCATCCCCTGGCGAGCTGCAGTCGATATTTCCCGGCGAGCGAACCTTTTCCCATACGATAAGGACGTCGATCAACCAAGCACCAACAAAGACGACCTGAGGAACTGGCTTGAGGCATTCTCCAATCACGCTTGGAGAAGGCTCCCAGATCAGTGAGTGGGCTACATCATCGTCTTCTTATCTAAATAGTGTAGCGAGGGAATTGAATATCTCCCCCAACAGCCTCCTATAAAGCTTTCAGCTGGTACTCTGCACTCGCAGAAGGACTACACCTTCGATAGATTCACCCATGTCTCGCTCGAAGAAATATCGTCATCGCCAGGCTGCATATTCAATGCAGGTGGTCCAGTAATAGCCCTCGATTGGTGCAAGACGCGTAGATTATCTCACCGTTAGTCAATCTTTCGTCCGTAGACTACCCACTGACACCAGGAAGCACTCAAGAAGTCATACGTTGCAATCTCAACCTCATCCAGCAACCAGTCTGTCAATGGAATAGGCGCACAGGATCTCAAATCCTATAAATCATCTATCCAGATATGGGGGCATCTGCCTACTCATATCCCAGATCCTGCTCAACCACAGAACATAGTTTCAGCCAAAGCTCAGTTGCTCGCTGTCCTATGTACAAACAAAGGACTGCCTATTGACCTCAAGTTCGCGCCTACAGATGCGCCTGATATGGAGTATGATGATCCTTCTCATTGCACTGCTGGTGCTCTAGCTGTTACATTCAACAATGGCGAGGTCGATGTCGCTGTTCTACCTGATTTCGACTTATTGAGGTCTTTCTACGGTGCCTCAGATGACGAAGCTCTTTATCGTGAGTTATGAGTTTCTAAATACTCAGAGTTAACCCGAAATAGTCGATTTTATTCCGACACTCTCGATCGAAAAACCAAAAACAAAAGGGTTATCATTAGAATGGGCCAGCTCAAATAGACTAGCCGTTGGTTTCTCAAATGGTGAGTTTATTCTCGTTTCATTCTTCAGCTGACTGACAATCATGGAGGTTGTCTTGGAGTTTACGATGTTAGGAATCCAATTCGGAAGAGACAATCGTCTGTTCGCCCACAGTCCTACTTTCCAGTACACCAAGCTGGTGTAAGTGGTATCGCATGGGTCGCTATACCCGAACATAACTCTAAAACTCTTGGCCTCAGGGTTGATAAGGACCTGACGCAGCTGGTGACATCAGGTTATGACGGAAGTATATTCATCAGTGATCTGCGAATAGCCGGCAGTGGAAACAATGGTGGAACAAGTATGTTTGATCATAGTAGAAGTGCGTTATGTTGTATGATGACGAAAAGAAACACTCATGTTAAATAGGTCTGGTATATAGTATCAGCTATCACATATTTGCTAGCAGCATTGTTACTACAAATTTCGACGATAATATCCAGCTTATTGGCTTGTTGGGAACTGATTACAAGCGCGCCAGCAACTTTGCTGAATTCAGATCGCCAGTATGGGTTAGTTATGAGCTCTAAGAACGCCATCAAAGCTAACGAGGATGCTAGAATATAGCTACATCTACTTGTCATCCATTTGTCGCTATATGTGGTGCGAATGGACATGTGGAAATCAATAACCCGGTAGCAGTCATGGAATCTCGCTACAAGCGTAAGAACGTGAGTCGAATCGATTATTAGGCATGTCGGCTAAGAAGATACAGATTAATTTCTCAACTGATGTTTACGGGATTGAGTATGGCAGATCGGAAGACAAATACAGGATGATCGACAACCTCAGTCCAGCAGACAACAAGCTAGGGGCTACGAAAGAGAAGGCAAAACCTACTAAGAAAGAAATTGAGCGTGAGGAGCTAGGGAAATACGCGTCAGCTTTCCCGACAGAATCTGGTGTCAAATGTTTAGCGTGGAATCCAGATGTTAACAGGTCCGCCGTACTAGCGTCTGGGATGCTCAGTGGGTTGGTACGCATCGATGAGCTCTGGTATTATGAATTTTAAATTATTGTACTATTAATACAGAAATTGTCTTTATCAGTGGCACGGCCATCGTCAATCGTCATGAAGAAGTAAATCTCAGGGTAATTCTAAATAATAGCTGACGACTTTTAGTACGACTAGATTTGGTATAGTTTTAGCTATCAGTTGCGTGTTCTTCGTGTCTGAATTAGTCGGTGAGTACAGTCTAACATATGATTTTGAACTAAAGGAGGAATGTAGTCGGATTGAAGACACGGTCATTAGCATTGATTGCAGACTCCTGTGCGTTATCGAATAGCTTCCTATAGCATATCTCATAGCCTATTTATAGTCCACTACCTTTCGGATCTAGTAGCATAGTGAGTAAAACTTTTTTTTCTCTAGTGCAACACAGCTAATGACTTTATAGTATCATTGCATTCACAGCTGCATACGTTAGTCCACCTCCCTGCATCATTTCATCATGTCGGCTCACATGCCAAACCTTAGCTACGCGAACACGGCAAGAGATTACCTGGCTGGACATATGGATGGCACAGAGCTGAGTATGTCTTGCCGTCTACCTGCGTACTTCCTAGTTAACGCTCGCTGCAGACTCGTTGGTGCATTCTTTAATGGTGTTTTCCTCTTAGGATTGGCATTATCAATCTTTTTGCAATCAATTGAACGTTTCTTTAACCCAGAAACTGTAGACCAACCATTGGCTGTTATTGTTTTGGGTGCTGTCGGTTTGGCACTCAACATTGTCTCTGCAGCTTTCGTACACGATCATCATGGACACAGCCATGGACATAGCCACTCTAAAGGTCATGACCACAAGCACGGTGATGAAGAAGGTGATGACGAAGAGAATGCCGGTTTACTCTCCAGACACTCCCACGATGGACACAATCACGATGATGAACATAACGAAGTACACCCAGATAGCGAATCAGAGAATCTCCATCAGATGCATAACCACGTAAGATTACCACCACCGATTGATCCACATGGTGACCTCGGTATGTTCGGTGTATTCATTCATGTTGTTGGAGACGCAATCAACAATATCGGTGTTATCATAGTCGGTTATCTTATTTACCACCTTAAATCAGCAAACAAATACTACGCTGATCCTGCAGCTAGTTTAATAATCGCAATAATAATTTTCGCATCTGCTATCCCATTGACTTTGAGAACCGCAAGAATTTTACTCGAGGTCGCACCAAAGTACTTAGATATGCAGGCTATCGAGAGTGATTTACTCAGCTTACCAAACGTTCTGAGCATTCATGACCATCATATCTGGCATCTTTCACAATCTGATTTATTGGCAACATTGCATGTACGTGTACCATCAACGCTCAGCTTAGTAGAGTGGCATCAAGTCGAAAGAGAGATGAGACAGTGCTTGGTTGGATTCGGTATCAACCACGTGACGATTGAGGTTGAAGCCAACGATGTGATCTCAAGAGGATGTTCAGAAGGGCAAATTACACGCCAGAATTCGATTTGTTCAATAAACAACTAAAGCAGCTTAAGTTATTAATTATACTTTTTATATAATGACACATATGTTTCTGATATTCCACGTGGCTGCTAGTGTGTATGTTCTCATGAACTAAAGTTGTAAAGCTATCATGCAGACTAAAGTATCCCATGACGGCTCTGCCGACTAGATAATAAATGCCAAACCGGAAAAGAAAACCGGGCGAATGAGAGTAGTATAATTTAATATGAGAAATGAGAAATGAGAATGAATGAATAAATGAATTGACTAAATAACTGATTCATGCCCCTTATATTTATCACATTTATCACGTGACAGTTTGTTATGTTTAAATTCCTACCCCGCTTCTTGTCTCCACACAATTTAAATCTGAACAACGATGACGGCGACGCTGATTGAAACCCAAGCTAAAACTAGCTGGTTATTTAATAGCAGGCGTTTAAGAGTCTTATTTTGCGCTATTTTACTTTCCCTCCTTTGGTTCTTCTTAGATGATTACAGCAGGGAAGAGGACAGTGCGACCTATAGGGCATCTATCGCTGCTATTCCACAAGCGAGAACTCTCTCACAACATAAAATAGTTGATAGCAACAGCTGTCAGGACCCTTACAGCAAATTCGGGAGGTTACAGGTGGACCTGCAGACGAAACAGGAAAATGTCTGGATACCCTACGACAAAGACTGCCAACCGCCGAGGCTGATGGCTAGCCTCCTTAATAACTTAGACCTCGACAATCATTGGTCTCCAGCCTCTTCTCCTTCTACTCACAGTCAGGATTTCGAAGACATCTCTTTCGTCAAAAACAAGACTGTTCTGGTAGTTGGAGATAGCATCGCAAGAGAAACAGTCAGATACTTCTGTGAACTCCTTGGAGAGGACGTTGTCAACCTCAATGACGACCACCCTTGGTCACCTTTTAAAGAATACACGAGCGGTGAGAGAACAAGACGGCGAGCACCACGCGAGAGTAGCTTACCAAACGTCTGTTATATACCCTCAATTGATTTCATGATCATACAAATGTTCCATTTCGGTTTAGACCAGGAAGAATTCTTCAAAGACAAGGAACAATATAATCCACCAAACAACTTCGAAGATAGACTTAAAGTACATGGAAGAGATGTCTTCGATTATATCCACAATGACAAGAACCCACCTGAAATGTTCGAAGGTGCCGTACCACGCAAAACACCAAAACCGGACTTGGTTGAAGTGAGCTCTACGCTTTGGGATCTCGCACGTTTTGCAAAGATTGATATAAATAAAAATACCTCAACATTAACAGATTTGGAAGAAGATAGATTAGATTTCTATATGAATAGAATGACGGACGTTTTGGATACGACACTTGAAGAGTTTCCGGATTCACAGCTGGTCTGGCGTACGTCTCACTATCCTTCAGATTGTAACAATAATAAACTCGACTGGATTGGAAGGGATTTAGCTAGACTTGAGCAAGAGCGAGAACATCAAAATAAACCCTACTTTCATTCAAATAGGTTGTTTCAACTTGAGCAAGCTACTAGGCATGTTCTCAGTCAACCAGATTATCAAGACCAAGTGAGAATCAACGAATGGGGACATCTCATGTGAGTGAAAACTAATTGATGTAGGAAATTTCCTAATAAAACTACAGGTTTGGTCAACATGCTCACCAAATAGATCAATTACACCCATCGATGCTTCCAGGAGGGTGGCTATGGGGAGATACCATGCTTTACGAGCTCAGAAGGGCTGTTGAATTAGCCTCATACTATTAAGTATGAAACATAACACAAGGGCAGGTCCCTAGTGCAGTTTTAAATTATACTTGTCGAGCTTACTATTACTCTTCAAATGTACCGTAATTTGTACTGAAATTGTTGTATAATAAAATGAAATTACAATGAATAACTAGTAACTAGTTTTAAATATTTTGAATGTCTATATTAATCCGATTCGTTGGCAATCTTACGCAATGTACTAAACTCTTGTGATCCAGTTGCTTTACACATTTTGAAGAATCTTGAAGTTGTCTGCGAAAGTAACTCAGATGGTGATGCAAGTTCGACTATATTTCCATTGTCCATAACTGCAATCAAATCGTAATCTATAACCGTACGCAATCTATGAGCAATCGTGAATATAGTCGATTGACCGAATTCTTCACGTATTGTGCGTTGAATTAATTCATCAGTTTTGTAGTCAACTGCTGATGTTGACTCGTCAAAGATGATAACCTTGCTACGATTGAGGATTGCCTTCGTTATAACGAGTAATTGACGTTCACCAGAACTGAAGTTTTGACCATTCTCATCTACCTTGGTATTCAAATTGACGAACACATTCTTATTTTCCTTTTTGTCGTTGTCTTGGTCATCAATGAGGTGAACACGACGAAGCGCTTCTAAGATTTCTTCATCACTGAATTGGTTGTAGAGATCAAGAGCCTCCCTTAATGTACCAGACATAATAGTTGGATCTATATAGATGAGCATCATAGTTCAATACGCCAGTTCTACTCACCTTGTGGAACTATCTGTAACCTTGAGCGTAAGTCTGTAAGACCAATAGTCGAGACGTCAATACCATCAATAGTGAGTTTTCCAGAAGCTGCCTCAGTGAATCTAAAGAACGCACTGGCGAGAGTAGACTGTAGTATTTTTGTTAGTGATTTCCCAGTAATTGAATAAACTAACCTTTCCACAACCAGTTGGACCAACGATACCAACCTTGGACTTACCAGGTACCTTGAGGTTTATATCCTTCAATACGAGCGGTAACTCAGGTGCGTATGCCAAGTTAAAGTTCTCGAATTGAACCTCACCAACGTCTGGCCAAGTAGCTGGTGGGCGTGGCTCAACGTACTCATCTGCCTCGGATGGTAACTCTGAGTATTCTTTGACACGCTCAAGTGCAACCATGGATTGCTCAAGCGATGTGAGACGTCTTACAGCTAAGATGAGATTCTGGGACACAGTCATAGCGAATGCCAATGCGAAACCTGCTTTACTTGCACTTATGTTACCCTTTGCGACAATAACAAGTGCAGTGCAACCAATTAAACAGGAACTGAAAAAGTTGAATCTACCACTGAGCCATCTTGATAATGTCCAAAGCCAGTACCATGGCTTGTTTGAGTTATCGATCTTCTCAAGCATCTCTGACATTTTGAGACCATTACCGAACGCACGGATAGTAGCTACACCAGATATAGTCTCGGCGTATAAACTGTAGACAGGAGATTTATAAACAGATTCAATTCTTCTCAGCTCGCGTGAAGCGGTGTTATACATTTTTCCAACTTGGTAGTAAAGTACTGAGAGGAGTCCCAAACCAATTATGGCAGGTATACCACCAATAAGCATAACTGAGGCAAATGAAGCGACAATACCAAGTGCATTAACTATAGAGCGACCGAGGTTGTCCGCCAGAGATGAATCAATACCTTCGAGATCTTTACCAAATCTGTTGAGAAGTCTACCCTTTGAAACCGTATCGTAGAACCTAAGTGGTGCTCTCATGCAGCTCTCAAGCATATTATCGTGGATGATCTGACTTGCTTTGATTGAACCGAGGTAAAGGATAAGCCAGCGGAGAGAACCAACTACGATACCGATCATGATAACAACACCGTAGACAGAGATCCAACGAAGAGTGGATGATTTTGATACAACGCCTCCAACGTAACTATTTGACCATTGTGACAAAATCCAGTTCTCGACCATTGGCGATACTGCTGCCAATACGAACATGGATGTAAACAATGACCAGTACATTCTTCCACCCATGCTCTTGAGTAGTGTGAGATATACATCCTTGCTTACACGTCCGACAGCCCTTGTCTCATCCTGTATAAGCTTACGAGGAGTCTTTTGCTCAATCGTTCCCGAAGATGATGTCTGAGACTTTTCTTGAGAATCTCTCCTTTCCTTGTTTTCGCCTACAGTCTTTTCACTATCGTCGTCAGATCCAGAGCTAAGTTCAGCCTCGTACATTTCCTCCTCATTGTCAATTGTGCTCATTGAAGAGATGAGGTTGGTGTAGAGTTCACTTCCATGGAAGTCTTCAGCTGAGCCAGTGTACATCATTTGACCATTGTCGAATACAATTACATTGTCAGCCGCTTGTCCAACTAGTTGGATATGATGTGAGACCAAAACTACATTACGGTTTTCGAGCAGAGGACCTTTAATACACTTCTCGAATATCCATGCAGAAGTGTGCGAGTCAACAGCAGAGAGAACATCGTCGAGGAGGAGTGTCCTGGCGCGTGAGTAAACTGTTCTTGCAAGTGACACTCTAGCTTTTTGTCCACCAGAAAGGTTAAGGCTAGAACATATTTAGTAAGGAAAGACATTTAAAGAACACTTAACTCACCCTTGTTCACCAATTTCGGTCTCATCTCCATCCTCCATGTAGTTAATATCAGATCTCAATGAACAAGCATCCAAAACTTCGTTATATCTCTTCTCATCGAATGGATGGTAGAACAGGATGTTGTCTTTGATACTTGCATTCATCAACCATGGAACTTGAGGTGCGTAAGCTACCATTGAATCAATGAGCCAATCAGCTTCAGATGGTTTCTCCTTAGGGAAGTTGACCATTGTGTTGAAGTCAGATCTAGGAACTCTGAGTGATCCACCAACAAGGTCAGCTTCACCGAGCAATCCATTCAAGAATAATGTCTTTCCTGAACCAAGCTTACCACAAACGAGTGACAACTGACCAGGTATAGACTCAAAGTCGATGTCATGGAGTGTGAAAACCTCATCAGTACCATTTGTAGGCCATGCAAAAGAAGTTGAGCGGAGAATAATATGACCATCATTACTGATCTGTATGAAGGAGCCTGGATGGCAGACGTTGTCGACATCTTGACTAGATAGATAAGCAGCTATACGACGTACACTGACGAATGTCTGGAGGAATCCAATAAAACATTCAGGAAGACCATTGAGCGCGAATTGCATCTCATTGAATACTGATACACTCGCGAATGCGATCGCAGGTGTCAGTGGAAGACCTCTGTAGAGAGTGTAATGCATAAATGCAGTCAGTGAGACTAAAAATGGTGATGAGTCCCAAATTAAGTTGAATGCAACTTCAATAAGGTAGTTGAGCTTTTGTTGATAGAGTTCAGCTCTTCTTACACCCAATACACGTGACATTATCTGGCGTTCGCTACCAGCTAACTTTATTATCCTAATTGAGGAGAGAATTTCTGTCATTATGCTGGTCCTGCGATCGCGAGCTTCCTAGAGAAAATGTAAGTAAGTGTCTCATCGACATAAAGTAAGTACCCACCATCAGATTGTCTTGAGCTTTAACGACAAATTTACCAGAGTAGTGGTTGAGTGGTAAGAACAAAACGATAACGAGTAATCCAATAAGGGCTGAATGACCAAGCAAAGAGTAAAGGAATATTGATCCCACAATCAACTCGATCGGAGCGTCCATGAGAGTAAATACCATTATGCTAGACTGGCTAATCCTGTCAGCATCGACAGTCATGAGCGTCATTACTTGTGATTTAGACTTGACTTCAATCTCATCCTCTGCCTCATCATTGCTAGATGACGCAGCTGAGATATCTTTTCTCGACATCGTTTTAGCGAAAAGAAGCGAATTTAATTGGGTTCTGATTCTACCGACAAACTGTGTAGCTGCAAATGACCAAACTTGTCCGCTGAAAAGAGATAATACTATTGATGAGAAGAACAGACATGTCGCGTAATACCATTGCCAACTCCTGCTCTTGTTCTCTTCAATAGATGACAAGAGCTTCTTGAGGAATATGGCAGGCGTATAATATAAACTTGCAATAAGAAGGGACAAACTGACAAGCATGCCAATTTGGTATCTGTTTGCCTTGAGGATATTGATGAAGAGAGGCATTGCACTGACTTCAGAATTCTTCGAATATTTTGGAAGTGGGTTGAGTCTTAATGTTCTTCTTATCTTCTCGAAGAGCGCCTTACCGCGTAAGTAAGGTGGTACGAATGGTAGATCGTCAATCGTCATGGACGATGGTCTCTCGTAACCAAATCTAACAATTGGTGTAGCATATGTGAAGAACAATGTGTCGAACATCGATCCGTTAGTCGATTGACAGACTTCCGATGATTTCACTTCACTCTTGTGATCATAGTCAGGGTGATGCAAAAGATCAGGACCTGGCTTTTTAAATATAACGGCAATGAGCATGCCAGCGATTGTAATAAGTGGAACAACGCTCGTGGTCGACTTAGGGTGCAGGTAAATGACAGTATTGGTGAGCAGGCTGAGTGCAGATGAGACGGCAAGCAGATAGTTGAATGAGAAGCTCTGAGTGCCCATATATGCGAGCGCTAAAAATGAAGCTACCTGCAGCCAACCAAGAACACTGAAGCCGACATCGTAACCTTCCATCAAGCCAAAACCGAATTCAGAGCTGTACCATGCTAAACTGAGTACTCCTGAAGAAAACAAGAAGTAATCTAGCATTCTATTACGATGCTTGTAGTTGTTAGGGTTGATTGGTGCATCATTATATACATATTCGTCCTTCGTAGGCAGCGCAACTTTATTAAATTTATGGTTTATGATTAAGCCGCCGAGAGTTGATGCCACCGCTATAGCCGTATTGGCAAATATGCTAGTCAACCCTAGTCGGCTCATGGTGGATAAGGTTCACTGAAGAAATTAAGGTGGGTGGAGGGGTACTCAAGGGACCTTCGCCGGCGGTGTCAATAAATATAGAAATAAACTCGGATGTATTTTGAAAATTTAGTTATCGACAATAATTGATAATATGTCTCAATTTGACTACAGTTGAAGTGCCTAATTCAGGAACTACATGAATTTGAGCATATCCTTCAAGTCGTCATCCAGTTCTTCCAAGCCTAGCTCTTGATCGAGGTTCATGATATCTTCTTTTGTGGCTTCGTCGCCGCAGAGTGCGTCACGAACATCTTTGTACTTCCTCAGCCTCTTCCTATAGAGCGTCTTCCACTTTATAAATTCCGAATCAACCTTCGCGAGCTCCTCAGACGATACCATGTTATTGAGATCTTTACTTTCGTTGATGTACAAATCTAGTTCGATAATGCGTTTCTGTTGTTGTTCGATAAGAGCTGGAAGCTCATTGAAAGCTGGAAGTTTCTTCATTGCATTAATTTCTAGTGCTTTATTAGTGTCACTAAGTGAAATTTAGTTAAGCACACCATTGTCGAAATGACCAATCTGTTCATTGAGGCTTTTGCATTCTTTCGACAGGGTGTCATTATCGACTATCAACGCTTCCTTTTCTTCTGGCGATATGTCATCGTTATCGTCATTTTGATTAGCTACGAAAACCGACTGCTTTCCTGGGAATTCTACATGAGAGAAGAGCTCACAACCAGTGTCACACTCACCATAAGTCTTAGATGTTATCAAGCCTCTCTCAGCGCATACATTCAGGACTTTCTGAGTAGCAAGTTTGCTGACATTCTGACCGAGGTTTGCAGCGATATCAGCTGCATCGGTTTAGTAGAGCTTTAAAAGTGTCACTAATCATCATACTTGCTGAATATGGTCTGTTACGCTTCCTAAGGTACTCAACCACTTTGTTTTCAACTGTATTTTAGCATCGGTAGAGTGTACCTGTATCTACTAGGCACATACGTTCATCATCTCCCATTTTTGATCTTGCCATTGTGCTATCTCTTCGTTCTGTTTATCTCAGATGGTAGTAGCGGGAAGTCTGAAAAAAAAGTGAAATTTGTATTTAATGAGGGTGTATATTACATGCAATAATAAAATGTAAGTGAGTATAGTGTGATGAAGCCTTAAAATTGAAATGAGTGTGGATGTTTGGGTATTCTTGTTACGATATCTCCGCTTATGTTTTGTTACATCTGCAGGTGCAAACTCTCGATATTTTCGCTAGTACTATATAAGGTTTACTTTGCTTCATTTGTATATACTTTGTGCGTATCTTTGCACCTTTATTTGTCTTGCTTATGGATTTCTCGCTTGTGTTTTCGGTTGTCTCTGCTTTCGGCGTCTTCCTGCGACGAATATATCTCTTAGGTTGTGACTCACAGACTGGCAAGCCGTCTTCAATATTATCGTTAGATTTTGACAGTCGCTTATGCTTCGTCGTTCTCGATCTAGACAACGGTGATTTCAAAGGTGATTCTGGGAAAGAGCCAAAATCATCGAGTTTTCCAATAGCCAGTGCTGTATTAGGCTCATAGAAATAATCGCATTCCTCTTTTTTCTTCTTCTTAGTTTTCTCGCTCTTGGAGAATGTCGACTTGTGCGCGATGTTGTACTTTCCGATAGCTATACCGTTGTCGGGGTCAAAAAATCCGAGAACGAGTGACGATGGTGGCTTTTTTAAGTTACGCCCGTTAGAATCTATCGCTGAATCGTCTTGTGTCTCCCTCTTCCTCTGTGGATGTTTACGGGGTTGGCCTGAAACAGTGGCTGCTCTTCTTAGACCGCTGAGGCCACTAGTTTGTGTGCCTTTCTCTGGCGCACTCTCTGTGCTCCTCTTTCCTTCATTTTCACACTCAGGTTGCTCGACTTCCGGCTGAAGCGAACTGAAACTTGATTTCTTTGTTCTTTTAGTAGCGGTGCTTACTGAGCTAAGTGTTTGGGATGCTAAAGACGTCATAGAAACTTTCCTCTTGATTGACGACCAGATGTTTGACTTCCTTTCATTAAGTTGAGTGTCTTGATTTCTCTCCTCCTTCTCGCGGTAGTGGAGCTCTCTGTTTATGTCAAGATTAGCGTACTTCTCTGTAGCGCTCTTTTGTCTAGTTGTCGCCGATCTAGAGAGCAAAGTTGAAGCAATATCAGATGCAGTTCTCTTCTGTGGATTGTCTGTTATAGATTGCTCTTCATCTTGCTTATTCGCGAATATGAAACCAACTAAGGGTGTGAATAATATCCATGTTTATCTAAACTGTACCTACTGTCCTTGTTATCTAATGCTATCGCTGTAATCACGTCGGGTGCGCTAGATGTATATCTGTGTGGCATGATAGCTGTATAACTAAACCGATAATAAACGTCTAAACTAAGAATCTAAATCTTGGCCCAGAAAGTACACGCCTGCCATTGTCGATGAATGCCAGACTGTGGCTGTCAAGATTGTCGTTACATTCCAGACAATAGGGTGATCAACTCAGTAGTAACTGGAATAATTTATGATATAATTTCTGTCTTGAGCTTATACACCTAGAGTCCTTCGTTCTATTCAACAACCAAGTGCTGCTATGTTAGGAGGCGATTTAGATAGCCAAATAGCGCAGCTTAAGAAATGCGAGACAATATCAGAGTCTCAAGTTAAGGAATTGTGCTTAAAAGCTCGTGAAATTCTCGTCGAAGAAGCCAATGTACAATACGTAGATTCACCAGTCACGGTGTGTTTAGCTGCTTATCGCGTGATGAATTACTCAATTTAAACTAGATTTGCGGTGATATACACGGTCAATTCTGGGATCTGATGGAGTTATTCGAAATAGCGGGACAGTGCCCTAGCACGAACTACCTCTTTATGGGTGACTTCGTCGATAGAGGCTTCTACTCCGTTGAAACTTTCTTATTACTTTTAGCACTTAAAGTTCGCTATCCTGATAGAATTACTCTCATACGGGGAAATCACGAATCGAGACAAATTACCCAAGTTTACGGCTTTTATGATGAGTGTTTGAGAAAGTATGGTAATATAAATGTATGGCGATATTGCTGCGAAGTGTTTGATTATCTCTCGCTCGCTGCTATCGTTGATGGTAGGACATTCTGTGTTCATGGAGGTCTCAGTCCGATGATACAGACTATTGATGAGGTTCGTATTCTTTATATACCATAAGCATGTTCACAAATACACCACAGATACGTTCAATCGACAGGAAGCAGGAGGTTCCTCATGACGGTGCGATGTGCGATCTTCTCTGGTCAGATCCGGATGATATAGAGAGTTGGAACATCAGCCCTCGTGGTGCCGGATTTCTATTTGGTGCAGAAGTTGTTCGCCAGTTTGTGCATGCGAATGACCTCGATTTGATAGGTTGGTATCACCACAGATGAACAAGTGCAAAGCTAACAGAATATCCAGCACGTGCTCATCAGCTAGTTCTAGAGGGATATAAAGTAATGTTTGATAATTCGATAGTTACCGTATGGTCTGCGCCAAATTATTGCTACAGGTGAGTAGATAACGCGTTGAAACATTTCCACTAACGAGTAATAGATGCGGTAACGTGGCTAGTGTACTAAATTTAAACGAAAATGGTGAACAGGTATACAAAACCTTTGAAGCAGCACCTCAAGTGAGTTGATTTGTCGTATATGCCAATGCTAACAATCGATCCCTAGGATACCAACACAGTGCCATTTAAAAGGCCAACACCACTGTATTTTCTCTAATATGTTAATGTTATTATACTGCATACTTATAATATATATTAATTGCATACCGATTTGTCTTCTCTCTTGGATTGATACGGTCATGGCTACTCTTATCCCACCACCACGCCGCAAGAAGGCTAAGACTAGTCACGAGGATAGCAGCAACACCGAAAATTCTATAGAAGCTCCATCAGTCGTCGTACAGTTCACATCTGCAGATGATGGATCAAATTTGGGACCAGCGGTGAATCTTCCAGCTGATACGCCCCGTGAAGCATTAGAAGTGTTAGTTAATCAGTTGAAGGGTAGCGTGAGTGTGATTTAATACTCAGAAATGCTCTAACGACCCACAGTCAGACGATCCAGTACCATTCTCATTCCACCTCGACCTTGGGGATGTTAACCAGAACGTAAACCCAGAGGAGCAGAAGCTACAAGTGTCTAGGTTGCCTATTAGTAATAATATACTCACAGACGCACTCTCGCAGAAGAATATAACGACCTTTGGCTTATCTACAGAAGACACGTTTAAAATAATATGCGAACCACAGGCTGTATTTAGAGTCAGACCTGCCACTAGGTGTTCATCTACGCTATCTGGTCACTCCTCGCCGATCCTCTGTGCATCGTTTAGTCCAACGGGAAGAATGCTGGCTACTGGTGGAGGAGACTGTACAGCTCGTTTGTGGGATCTCGATACAGAACTGCCAAAACATACACTCGTCGGTCACCCATCCTTTGTTCTCTGTGTTGAATGGGAACCACGCGAACGAATGCTAGCATCCGGTAGCAAAGACGGTAGTTTGCGTCTCTGGGATCCAAAGACAGGTAGTGCGATTGGTGGTGCTCTCAAGGGACACACTAAGTGGATAACGAGTATAGCATGGGAACCAACACACCTCAACGCGAAGAACCCAAGATTTGCAACCTCATCCAAAGATGCAACCGTCAAGGTTTGGTCTAGCGACACTCGTAGATTGGAGTACACTCTTGGTGGACATACAGGTTCTGTCAATATCGTCAAGTGGAGCGGTGAAAATGTCCTCTATACCGCTAGTCAAGACCGGTCAATAAAGGTATGGAGCAGCGATGGAAAGCTTATTAGGTCATTGAATGAGCATGCTCATTGGGTCAACACTCTAGCATTATCGACGGATTTCGTTCTTCGGACTGGTCCATTCGACTGGCGGGGCTCTAAGCCAAACTCAGATGAGGAGGCTATGGCTATGGCCAAAGAGAGATATGACAGCCTTGTAAAGAGGGCTCCAGAACTTGTTATTAGTGGCTCAGATGATCACACTCTCTATTTGTGGTCACCACTCGCACAGAAAAAGAGCATTGCAAGATTAACGGGACACCAGAAGCAGGTCAACCACGTTGTATTCTCTCCAGATTCTAGATATATTGCTTCAGCTAGTTTCGACAACGGTATCAAACTTTGGGATGGTCGTACAGGAAAATTCATTGCCAGTTTAAGAGGACACGTCGCACCAGTTTATCGTATTGCTTGGTCAGCTGATAGTCGTATGCTCATATCAGCTTCTAAGGATTCTACACTTAAGGTTGGTGCCATTGTTAGTACATCTCAAAAACTAACAAATTGTTACAGATTTGGGATCTCAAGACTAACAAGATCAGAGTAGATCTGCCTGGTCACACAGATGAGGTGTATTGCGTCGATTTCGTTGCTGATAAGGTTGTTTCCGGCGGCAGAGATTGTACGGTTAAAATGTAAGTCTATTAGGAGTTTAAATAGACAAATCAGCTAATATAAACGCTTTAGATGGAAAAATTAAATTATATAGAAGATATTTGTAATGTAATCTAATTTACTTTCTTGCTGAGTTACTATGACGCTTAGATTAATAGAGAGGCAGGCAATAGCGATCGTGTGTGAGAATCTAATAGTATATAACATACACTAAAGCTTATATAGTGTAATAAACCACTCACGAGGTCGCTAGCTACGCAACACAAGCAGTTGCCACCAAAGAGTGATAAAGACACAGAAAGTGTCGCAAACCGCGTACGAAGGAAATTGAATGATGGATTAGGTCTCGATGATTTCTTAAAAGGACCTGAACACCTCACTGAGGCTATCGAATCAGTAAAAAACGAGAAAGAAGAACGTGTACAACTTGGAAAAACAGGTGAACCGCGCTTACCTGAATGGCTGAGGAGCAGTCCAGGTGAAGCTGTACCAACTTCAAATTCTTACAAAAAGATTAAAAAGGATTTGAGAGGTTTGGGCTTACACACCGTATGTGAAGAAGCTCGCTGTCCAAACATAGGCGATTGCTGGGGTGGCAGTACATCAGACGATCCAAATGAGAGAGCACATGCAACAGCAACTATCATGTTAATGGGCGACACATGTACTCGTGCATGTAGGTTTTGCTCAGTCAAGACAAGTAGAGCTCCACCACCGCTCGATCCACACGAGCCAGAGAACACAGCCGAGGCTATTAGTAGATGGGGTATCGGATACGTCGTTCTCACCTCAGTCGATAGAGATGATCTCGTTGATGGTGGTAGCCATCATTTCGCTAGTACGATCAGGAAGATCAAGCAGAAATCACCTAATATGCTCGTAGAGGCTCTTACTGGTGACTTCCACGGTAATATGGACTCAGCTAGAACGTTAGCTATGAGTGGTTTAGATGTATACGCTCATAATGTCGAAACTGTCCCGGAATGTACCCCATTTGTTCGTGATAGAAGAGCATCATTCGAGCAGTCTATCAAAGTACTTGAAACAGCGAAGGAAGTTAGAGGTGGTCTTCAAAATCCAAAGGTGAAGGGTATGCAGGGTCTAGTAACAAAGACGTCTATCATGTTGGGTGTCGGAGAGACTGAAGAAATGATCGTGAACGCTCTTAAAAGACTCAGACGGGCGGACGTCGATGTCGTCACTTTTGGTCAATACATGAGACCAACGAAGAGACACATGAAGGTCGACAGGTACGTGCATCCGGATGAGTTTGAAAAGTGGAAAAACGTGGCTGAGGAGATGGGATTCCTCTATGTTGCTTCTGGACCGCTGGTAAGAAGCTCCTATAAGGTGAGTAGTGTATGTGTGGGTGTGATAAGCTAAGAAGACAACAGGCTGGAGAGTTCTTCATTGAGAACGTCCTCCGGGGGAACAAAAAGCAAGGACAGGAAATACCAAGAGAGGTGAAGAAAGCGGTTGCTGATTTGAGCGCTGCAGAGTCACCTTTGAGAAGGAGGAAGGAGAGGGATTCTCTCTAGATGATAGCGAAATTGTATGACCTAAATATTAGCATGTATAAAGCATTTCAACAGTGTAGCTGTAACTCCTTAGTCGATTTAGAGAGACTAAAGAGAGGAAGGGTATGTATTTTTGTGTATTTAAATAAATAATTAAATTAATAAATAAATTTCTTTAAAATAAGATTTTTTGTCCATCGAACAACTTTTCCAGATTTGATACGAGCTTCTTTTTCTTAGCGGTCATCTCAGCGTAAATAAAATGGGTGGGTGAATAGACAAAAAACAGACGTTTTACTAACAATGCCTTAGAAAACGACAAGGGAGAACTCGTTGATCTTTACGTACCACGCAAGTGCCATGCTACAGGTCGTTTGATTACACCAAAGGATCACACTTCCGTACAACTCTCAGTCGCTCAAGTTGACGCTAACGGCAAGATGACCGATGGTAGAGAGTTCATCGCTCTCTCAGGTGATGTTAGAGCTATGGGTGAAGCTGATGACTCAATCAACAGACTCGCTACTGAAAGAGGTCGTAAGTCTGACTTTATAGCAACTCAATAGTAGACTAACCACTCACTCAGTCCTTCGTAACGTTTTCACTTACGCCAAGTAAGAAGGTTTTTTTGTAGCTCCTCGAATATAAACAAACTTTCTTAAAAAACAATAATTTTTGACAGAAAAAGTAACATAAATTCAAATGAAAATGTAAAAATGAAATACAATTTCTGTCCCAAGCGAGCTAGTAGACAGCTAGTTGACATCGTTGACATCTTAAGCAGTTGCCTCTGCAGCTGGTGCAGCCTCTTCATCACCTTGGTACTCGTTAAGTACGGCGATGGCTTCGTCAACCTTTGATTTCAATGCCTCTTCATTCTCGAGCAAGAATAAAAGTTCAGAGTTCTCCATTTCTAACAACATACCTGTGATCTTACCGGCTAATTCTGGTTGGATGTTGAAGATCTTAGGGTAGAGTGCTTCACCGAGCATTTGCTTTTGTTCAGCTGGTGGTGCGTTTGCTAAAACTGATGCGCTTAATGGGCCACCAGCTTCTTGCTTGGCTGGCTTAGCAGCACCTTGGGCAGGTCTAACTGGTACACCGGCAGGTCTTGGACCTGATGCTGGTACAGCTGGTCTAACGTTGTTAGCAGTTGGTGAGCCACCTTGAACTTGTGCACCGTTTGCACGAGCTGGTCTTGCTGGTCTGTAGTTTGCTGGCATGTATCCTTGTGGTGGTGGTCCATATGGTGATGGAATTGGCATACCTGGAACTTGTTGACCTGCTGGGTAACCTCTTGGTCTTGGTGGAGCGAAACCTGGTTGACCGTACATTGATCTACCACCTGGGTAAGCACCTGGTGGTGGTTGGTAGTACATTGGTGCACCTGGCATAAATCCTGAGATTGGTACACCTGCAGCAGCTTGATGTTGTAATCTCAATTGGTTACGTTGAGCGATTTGTGACTCTAATTGTTGACGTCTAACATCTCTACGTTGTGCTAATGAAACGTAAAGTGGCTTAGATCCAATCATCTTACCAGAGAGTTCAGAAACTGCTTTGGTTGCTTCATCTGGTGAAGAGAAACAAACGAAACCGAAGCCCTTTGATGTACCCTTTTCATCTCTCATAATCTTGGCAGAGGTGATGGTACCAAATGGTTCGAATTCACCGACTAATCTTTCATCATCAAAGTCGTCATCCAAGTTCTTAACGTATAAGTTAACACCTGCATATTTAGCCAACTTTTCTAATTTAGCTTGCTCGTAGTTTCTGCGAAGTTCTTCTTCACGCTCATTCTTCTTTTGAGCACGAGCAGCAAAGATTTTCTTGCCGTCAACTTCAACTTCATTGAGTGATTCAACTGCTTTAGCTGCCTCTTCGTGGTTCTTGTAGTTTACGAAACCGAAACCACGTGAGTTGCCTTGCTCATCCTTTTGAACGACTGCTGAGAGTATTTCACCGTATGGTTCAAGAATTTGCTTGAACTTTTCATCATCAACAGAGACGTCAAGGTTCTTGATGAAGACATTAGTGAATTGAGACTTTTGTTCATCAATCTTTGCTTGACGTTCCTTCTTTGAGACGTGGTGACCGACGTAGACCTTCTTATCGTTAAGAAGCATACCATTGACGTGTTGAATAGCAGCGGAGGCGGATTCACCGTTCTCGTAGTGAACGAAACCGTAACCACGGGAGTTGCCATTTTCATCGGTGGCGACCTTACATGAGAGGACGTTACCGAAGGCAGCAAAGGTGTCGTGAAGTGCCTGTGAAAATTTTATTAGCATGTTATATTAAAAATAGAAAGAAAAACGAACCTTGTTGTCAATAGCCTCATCAAGGTTCTTGATAAAGATGTTGCCTTGGCCGGTCTTACGGAGCGCAGGGTCACGTTGAGACCACATGATACGACAAGCTCTGTTCTTTATGAGGGAGTAGTTGAGCTGTTCAAGCGCACGTTCACCGTCTTGGAGGTTGAGATAGTTGACGTAGGCGTATCCTAAGGAACGTCTAGTGACAGCGTCTCTGCAAACACGGATACTGGCGACTGGACCAATCATGTTGAAGATCTCGAACAACATAGCTTCAGTGACGGTAGGGTCTAATTCACCTACGTACAAGCTGGCAGATTGTGGAGTGCCATTGTTGTTGTTTGATTGATCAGCCGCTGGCTGAGCTTGAGCAGCTGGTGCTTGTGCATCTTGTTGAACTTCAGATGGAGCTGGGGCTTGGGACATTTTTATTAATATTTTTTGAGTTTTTATTTGAATTTATATTTATAATAGAAATTCGTAATACAGATCCCTTTGATGGAATCTCTAGCGAGCTCTTGGTTGATGTTACCTGAGAATGTGGTAGATTGACTATCGGATTTTTGATAGCGCAAAAATTTGTTTAATACTCGCTAGCCATTTATGCAGGTTCTCTATCTCATAGTAGTTTATATAGACACTCTTTCTCCCCCTGAGAAGTCCCTCACTGCCCCTAGACTGGCACGAAGATCTAAGATTTATATATATTTACATCTGTACAACTAGGTGCGCTCGCCTTCGAGCACTATCTCTAGCTTGGCTAGCTGTTCGCCTCTTTCCTCTTCCGTTTCCTCCCTCTTCAGCTCCGTCGTCTTCCTCCGTTTGTTCTTCTTCCCCTCGAACTTGCGAGCCGACGGACATAGGTCTTCAGCTGATAGCTTGCAGTCCTCACACTTTGGTCCAACCGGCAGGCAGATCGTCTGTCACTCGAGTCAGGAGACTGGCAAACATGCATCATAACAAACTCACCTGTCCAAATCCAACTAGCAGTTTATTCACATCCCTATGCAGTTCTTTTGGCAGCCATGACTCAAGGTTCAGTCGTGTCTGCTCAGGTTGCTTTGTCGGAGGTTGGTGCCATCCTAGCCTGTTTGTTATTCGATGGACATGGACATCAACACCAATTCCATCATTTCTACTCTACTTGAGTGATCATCGACGATAATAGTTCGACCTACTGATTCCAGGCTGCCTGCAACGCCAAGAAACCCATTTTTGGACTACAATTGTCAGTATATAGCACACATCCATATGATAAAACCCACCCAACGCCAGGAAGCGAACATAACTCGTCAATGTCTTTCGGTACATCGCCTTCAAAGTTGTCCCTCAACATAACAGCTGCTTTCTTGAGATATCTGTCTCAGATTAGCTTCATTCCTTTAGCTCATAAATCACAGACTCTGTTTTCCTTCGCCAGAATCCAACTTTCGCAATTGCGTCTTCTTAATGTATACGTCAGATGTGATTATAAAATGCGAGTATCTTACGTATTTGCTTATCTGTCGCGGCCAAGACACTCTCGAGGGTGAGGCCACCTTCGAGTTGCTCTCTGAGGTTATTCACTGCATCTGAAGTGACTGCATCTAAACCTTCTGTTAATACTTGCAAATGTGACGTTAGATAGTTCTACCCTTTGTCTGAGATGAGAGCATAAGCGATACGAGTATTTGGTATCTCTTTGTCTGTATAATTGTTGGTATTTGTATATTAACATGCGAGTTGCTCACCCTAGCGTCCAAGTTCTCAGTTGGTGCTCGCTCACAACCGAGTGTGTCTACTGGTGCTAATTGTGTGGATCTCATTTCTTTGATGAGATCGTATACCTATATGGCTGTTATTACGTGTTAAAATGATGCAATGGCCACCCACAGTCTCCCAATTCTCTGGTGCTTCGTGAGGAACGTCTAATTCACGCTGTATTCTTTTCTGTTTCGTAAACGACGACGCAGATCTCTTCAATGGAGCTCTCTTGGTGTCTTTATCATCAATCTCTACCATAGTAAGTCGTGTGTCTGTCCTGCTCGGCTTATATCTCAACCTTGGTGTCTTTGAAGGTGGCGGTGACGGTGAGGATGACATTCTAGTAATAAATCTCTTGAATAATCTCACTATTTGCTCTTATCTCCTAGCTTCTCGATGTAAATGGAGAAGACAATATATTATAGAGTAAATTGATATAAGAAGTAATATATTAATATATCGATACAAAAGATAACTATTTATTTACACATTCATCTCCTCATCTCTATATAATTTTTTTTCTTCCCACTCAAATTCCACAAATCTGCGATGGACGACGGCTAGTTAGCAACCGTCAACTGATATAATGGCTAAAAAGGCGTGTTTTTACAAAAGTTCTATAGAGAATACCTTCTAATATTTTATTAGGCAGCAGCTGCAGCTAACCCATCAGCTGGCAAGGGTGGAGCCAAGTCAAAGAAAAAGTGGTCAAAGGGTAAGGTCAAGGACAAGGCTCAAAACGCCGTCGTTCTCGACAGACCAACCTACGACAGAATCCTTAAGGAAGTTCCAACCTTCAAGTTGATCTCTCAATCAACCCTCATCGACCGTCTGAAGATCAATGGCTCTCTCGCCCGTATTGCTATCCGCCACCTTCACAGAGAGGGGTGAGTAGTATTCTCTTCCTCTCGCTTCTCTAACAGCCCAACAGAGCTATTCGCCAAATTGTTCACCACAACGGTCAACTCATCTACACCCGTAGTGGCCAAAACTAAGCTCTTCTGATGTGTATACGTATGCAGATAGTTAAAAATGCCTTAAATTCTTGTGTTCTATGTCCCATTTTGGAATTTCTTCAGATGACGACGTCTTCTCTCTTTATCTGCTTGCTTTTGCGTCTTATATTGCTTTAGCCTTGATGAGTTACTATATACCTCTTTATTCTTTAATGTTGATTGTTCTGCAAAATTGTCGAAGTAGTTTTTGTCGAGAAAATTTTGATACCATCGAATTCAATAGACAACAACTCTCAAAACTACTAATCTTTTTCTACATAAATACCTTAAATTTCTGAATTCAAAGTGGGATTGCCTTCTAAATTGGGCGATTCGTGTCAAATTTTCATATCTCGAGGATTGTGTATGATAGCATCCTTAATTTAAACTGATATATGTATTTATTAGCTTGATGTTAATTTGCTGAGTTGTTTTTCTACCACAATTCTAGGTATATTTGTAAAGATATAGCTACTAAATACTTCGATGTGTAAGGCTATTTTAAGAGTAACGATTGTTTATAATTTGTATATTTCATATAATGTAAACATCACAAACAATATAACACACTCTTAAGCTGATCATAATACACTTATAGGAAAGTACTAAGCATAGTTTGCAACTCAAAGGGCCTTCTATTAAGCAAATATAAGGAAGTATAGATACATATTTCGCTACAATATATCTATTACTCCCATTATAAATGCTCTTACGTTAAAGACACCATCTCCGAGCGTTCCTGTCTTCCCAAGCAGATGTAATGCAGGAAATGCAAGACAGAGGTTGTAATAGAAAAATAACCAATTCGACGCGTAAAACAAATAAAATGATGGATTAATTTTATCATAGAAGTTATCCTTCAGAATAGATCTCTCGCTCGGACCATCAGCGAAGTTATAGATGCAGCTATGAAACTAAAATCAGCGACGAAGAAGCAATCAAATAGTGATATTAAGACAAGCGCTAAAAAGAGGCACGTGTTTTTTATTATATAGCGCTATTAATCTTACGATTATCCCAGACATTCACAACGCAAACCAGTGAATTATAGCAATAATCCAAATAAAGACTTTATGGAAGCTGCACCAAAGATGTCCGACGAGACACCTTCTATACCACTCTCCGTTATTGACACCGAGCTCGAACCAATCAACATAACACCCGAATTTGAGGTCATAAATGATCCAACCCAGAAAATAGAGCCACTTCATATACCCAAACGTACTAATCAGGTTGAAGCGAAGCATATGACAGCGGATACACCACCGCTTTCTGCTTCATTCAACGCGTCCTTCAAACCAGAATTTGATGACTTTGGTCCTAAAAAGATAGACCATGATTCCGTGAAGGAGGATATGAAAAAGAGGCAGAAGCAGCAAAATAGGAAGATCACCCCTTCTTTGCTCTCCTCTCCGCTTGATTCTAACTTCGACACAAGGGTAAAGAGGGAGCCTGAAATAACATACCCTGATCCATCTCCTCTGCCACCACCGGAGCTGCTTCAATCAACAAAGAGTATGTATTTGGAGCCTCCAAAACATACTACTGCCCGTCCAGCAACGTCCTCTAGTTTGGCAACTCAGACACCTCTCGCTAGCCTTTATTTAGTTAGCGGTCTACCGAAAGACCCAGCTGCCTGGACTTACGCAGACGAAACCTCGATATCAAGTGTACATCACTCTCCAAATGCCGTCGGGAGATGGTGGAGAGCTGAAGCTCTCGGGACGAGTGCTTCTCCAGGTATCAGTATACCCGGTGTAGACTCCACTGGCAAGAAGAAACGCGTTGGAGGTATGCCAAAGAATGAAGTTAACAAGGTCCTCGCGAAGGCATTGAAGGTGGGTTAATCGTAGTTGGCTTATGACCATAATTAACTGATACATAGCTTTCTTTCACACAAGAAGTCGAAATCATCTCATCCTCTCTTCAACCTCCTTCAACTATGCACTCTTTTTCTTTCAGCGTGTCTACCCAGCAAAGCAACAACGGTTATGCTGCACACTCCATCAACTCACAGCAGTCAAATTCATTTAAATCAGCATGGGCGAACACTCAGTCATCTAATGGGTCAAAGAAATACGATTCTAATAGCTATTACCGCCAACCAGACCCCCTCGGACTAAATGATGTCCAACCAGGTGTTGATAGGGACGGTAGAAAAACATACCATGGTGTAACATTACAAGTATGGTCACATGCAGATCCAACACGTGCACAAGCGATCAGGAAAGCTTTATCAACCCATCCGAGAAGGTCAGAAAGTGTTTCTGTCGCATCAACAAGTGCAAAACGCGATAAAGTTATGCAAAAACGTTTCGGTACTGGTAACATGCATGGAAATGGTGGTGCTGATGAAGCTTCAAGGATAGTTGCAAGTTCATATAACAGTGATAATGATGAGTTTGACGAAACGCTCGATGAAATTGCAACAATTGGTGGTACAACTGATATACTTAGTGATGTTAATGATGTTTTACCAAATCAACTCAATGCCGGTCTCGCACATGAGGATGCACCTCTTACTGGTGAAGTTCCGGAAGAAACGCTCTTCTGGTTACCATATTGTTTGACATTAGTATCAACTCATCCAATTTATGATATCTTGGCTGATTACTTATCAATCAGTTGGGCAATTTTCTCGAGAGATATCTCCTCTCATAGTGCACAGATGAAGAGATTGCTCGAGATGCCAGCACCTAAGCATGGTGACATTATAAAGCTCCCAGCAGCTGGTCCAACTCACAAACATCGTCGTGTTACAGATGAAAAAGATGGTAAAAAGCGCAAAGAAAAGAAAAAAAAGAATGAGTCTTCTTTGACAATTATAGCCCGTATGCCTGGTGCTATAAACTTTGGACAGAATCTTGTTGAGACCAACTTCTCAATGTGGCCATTCTTCAAGGCATTATCTATTGACAACATCCTTACTATCTGTGAAATTGCTCTCGCGCCAACAGGTCGTGTCTTGTTTTTATCAAGACATCCACAGATGTTAGGTGTTGCTTGTCTTACACTCCAATATATGGTTGAAAGCCGTGGATGGGCTGGCCAAGTACATCAAATAGTCCACGCTAGAGATTATTCAATTCTGCTTGAAGATCCTGGACAATCAATTATTGGTGCACGTACAGAGGTGCGCTACTCACTTAAACCACCTGCGGAGGTTTGCGTTGTTGATCTCGACATCAACTTTGTACAATGTATCAACCCACCTATTGGCTACGTCTCTACTGGTAATCAAAGAGAAAAGCTACGTCGTAAATTAATTGCGTCATTCGGTACATTTAGACCAGACGAGTCAGTTCCATCAGAATTCAAGGAGGCTTTCCCATCTGGAAGATTCATGCCAATGTGTCACATTGAGTCTAAAGGCAAAGTACCCAACACTATTGAAAAAGTTCAAGCACCATATTGGTGGGATCCACAATCTATTCTTGGCGCATTTGATAGTGTCCTAGCCACTAGAACTAAACGTCCATTCAGTATAATGAATTTACTCAGCAGATCCGACAAACGAAAATTACCACCTTTGAGCCAATCTGAACAGAAGACTCAGCAGGCTATACGTACACGTGCCGCTCAATTTGTCGATAGTAGAGACGAACTTGAAACTAAGATTGGAAAATTGAACAAAAGACTTGGATTTTTGGTTAGTAAATCTGAGCAATGGAAATCACGTTTCGAGCAATTCGAGAGCTATGCCGAGAGACTTTCCGCAGAAGCCTCTGAATTGCGTGGTAAAATCGACAGGGAGAGAAAGGAGTCTAAGAGGTTGTCCGGGATGGTCATCCAGCAGACAAAAGCACGTGATAGCTTGGTCAATCAGCTCCGTCAAACTGAGTTCCTCAGAGCTGGTGCACTTGCTGAGTTGGATGTCATGCAAACTCAATTGCGTAAGTTGGAGAGCGAAAGAGATGAAATGGTTTCCCATATCACTACACACATCTCTGATGCAATCGTTCAGCTTGATATCGCTAATGTAAAAACGCAATCACGGTCGAATAGCCCATGGACTGACAGCGATAGAAGATACTCACATCAGAAATCAAACTCGGTCGAGTCGACTATTCCAGAAGAGGATGACTATGTTGAGAAACTATCTAATGAGGATGATCACGCTAGGGCGTTATCACCTAATGGTCAAGCAACTTCCATAGATGGTGTCTCGGATATCGAGAATAGCAAGTCTACTTATGAAGTCCAAAAGACTATGTCGATGATACAGGATAAACTGGAGAAAGCACTCAGTGATCTTGAGGCATCGAAGAGACAATCTATGACTGAAGAAACTGCAGAACCTATCCAGGAGGACATCAAGAAAACTGAGATTATACAGAAAGAGTGAGTATAGTCCATTTTATCCATATCAAAAGCGCTAATTCTGGTCATAGTTTGAGGAACATTCAACGTTCGCAGCAGTTCATTCGTCAGTCCCAGCTTTTGCAACTCGCCAAAGATCAGGAAGATCATCTCGCGGGTTTACAAACGAGAGGAACAAAGACAATGAAAGAGAATTTACCAAATGGTGAAGTCCCATCAACTACCTATGCTCGTAACTCTAAGCGTCGCTCTGTACATGCTCCAGCACGACTTAGTCTGCCTCCACGTAACTATCATGAATTTGGTGATGATGAGCAGAAAGAGTTTTTATTCGACAATGCCACCGCCAAAGACCAAGCTGCTGAAGAGTATCTTAAACAAAAGAATCAAAAGAAAGAGTTCCGTAAGAGTCTCGCCCGTTTGTCATCTCAGCAACCAGGTAGACCTGCCTCAAGTCTGAGTGAGGATGAGAAATACATGTCTAGTGTCGAATCACCAGAGATGCTTGACAAGAAGGAGTTAGCTGCTGCACCTACCAGATCCAACAACCCTGAGAGGAAGGAACATAAGAATATTACAACGCTTAGGGATGGTGAAAAGTCTGAAGAGGAGCAAGTAAGAAATCGTTCAGAAGCTTTGGCGTTCTTGGAAGGAAGCCAAAACTAATGGATGGTAAGGAAGGAAAAGGAAAGAAAAACTAATGGAACAATTTATAAGCTCGGGATGAGCTACTAGTCTTTTTAAGACATTACACTCATTTATTGGATCACACGTTCGTTTTATATAATACTTCACTTATTAATTGATAGTTTTGTAAATACATAATATTATTGTTTTCAGATTATTGCAACCGAACTTCTTAACTTCTTTTGACGCGACGTTGATCATCGGGTGGTGTCGTAATGGAGGGACAAATTGAGAACTTGATAATGGATACGATTGATATAGTGAGTTATTATATCTTAATATAAAAGGCACTCTTTAATATCTCACAAGTTTACTTCAATTCGATGCACCTCCACCGAGCGCACAACCCAACTTGAGCGATTAGAGCGTGGATTGGGACATTTTCTATCAAAGGGTAAAACTAGTGCATTAGACTTTGAAAACACTATTAGGAATCTCGGTAGCTCTCTAGATAAACGTGAGTTATATCACGAACTGACTTCTTCCGAGCTGATTATGAGAAGTTTTCGCGGTTTTGTTAGGACATGTTAGAGTTTTCGCATTGAACTCTTCAAAAGGTTTATCATCAGCAAGTTGTACAGAACTTTCACTTTGCTTGTCATTGTTGCAGGTATTGTCTCTCCTGAATGCAGATGCACAACGCAGTTTGTCATCTAAACCTAGTATAGACGTGAGTATTTGTTGGTGCTACTCGACACTCGTTAAAACATAGGTAGATATTACTGGAAGTCATACAGATGTCAGTTCTTACGACCAAACCGACAGACTTACAACCAGTTGTTGCTGCCGATGCACTAGACGCTTTGTTATGCGCTGTAGCAGGTTCTAGTGTGGCCATACGCAGATTGGAGAATATCAAAGGCTTAGAATGTATAGTTCGGGTACTCAGACGTAAGGGTGTTGATCCAGCTGTCAGGTGGGTATAGATACTAGGGAATGCAAATGAGTCTTACAAATCAATAGAGTGAAATCCCTAGAGCTGCTTTACTTCTGTGAGTCTGTCACCTAAACATGTACGTCTTACTGACGTAAACTCAGATCTATTACCAGAGAAGGATACCCAAGTAGAAGACAATAAAGAAGTTAGTGATGATGAGGATGATGGGATGCTGTTAGATGATAATATTATAAGCCGACCAATTAACAAAGCGATACAGAACATTGGTCAAGTACCATACTCACCAAAGTCACCACTTAAAAAGCACAAATCGAGTTACAGCATGGATAGAACCCGTCGGTCATCATCTAAATTGCGATATACATCATTTGCAAATACACCGGCTGAAGTTAGTGATATTCATAAGGTTAAACACACACGTTCACAATCAGATATACGAAATGAGAATATACCACCAGTACCACCAGTACCAGAGTTTAGACAGCAATCATCGCAATTACCACTTCCGTTACCGAAAACGCCTGAAAAGAAGAGAATAATACCTTCGTCACAATTATCGCAGTCATCTCAAACGCCGCAAGGAGGACGAACGCCTCGAACGCCACGTACGCCAAAGCTAAACGGAGAAGTAAGAATACCGCCACCGAATAGCCTTGATAATACCCGAACAGTTGAAGAGAAGAAAGCGATACTGAGTAACTGGCTTGGGAACGTAGACGCACTAGTGAGAGGTATGCAAGACGCGGGTGTCTGGACTAATTAATAAATAATTTTATAATACATTTTAATAATTATTTTCGCTTTTAAACCAAAGCAGTGATGACAGAATTGAGCCAAAAGGTTGAAATAAGTAAGCAGACGGAGCAATCAAACCAAATACCGCAATTAGGCGCATTAGAGGAGGATGATGAGTTTGAAGAGTTTGAAATCGATGGTTAGTCTCTCACACCAGCCTAGTTTGCTATCTAATTACCATATCAGACTGGAGAGACGATGAATGCGAGTTTAGCAATCTTGGTACGAATGATAAGTTATGGCAGGATAGCTGGGATGACGATGAGTATGTCTTTAACTTACCTTTATACGCGTCATTAACAACTCATACAGCCAGGACGACGATTTCAGCCACCAACTTAGAGCTGAGTTAGAAAAGAGCAACGCAGAACCAATGTCACAGTAATCTTATTTGTAACCTAACGTAATGAAATATTATAAACAAAAACTATAAACAACATGAACTTATGCTTGTGCATCAAAATAATTCGTAAAAAGAAACAAAGATTCTATGAGGTATTGGGTTATGACTGTTGCTGTAGTTTGAATAATGGTGTTGTGTGCACGTCATGAGTTGTTGAAAGATTTGGTGACGTCGATTGATTTTGTGACGGCTGCACGTTTGAATTGCTTGATGAAGAAGGTGATAGTGATGAATTCGATCTTGATAAATCCTAATAGCGCAAATATGTGGAAATAGAAGAGGTAGATACGTAATTTAGAAATGTGATGTGAAGATAAGAGTTAAAAGTAGAGGTGAAGAGAGAGAAGAGAGAATAGTTAGTCCATGTTCTTCCATAATAAGAGCGAGGGGAGGAATAGGGTTAAGAGGTAAGGTGGGAGATAAGAGAATGGGTTAAGATAGGTGCGCTATGACAACTTAATGTCTAGATTGCGGAAAACGAAAGTCATCAGGGTCCTTATAAACCCTTTATCAGTATTGTCCATTGTATATTTAGACACGGTTTAGTTGTTTGCCAATGTTGATTCCTTGAGAAGCAAACTATTTGCGCAAACAACCTATCGAGGTTTTAGTAAAAAATGATTACTCACATGTTGTGGAACAACACCATAACCTTGTCCGTTTGAAAGAAGATCGCTGACAGTAACTCCTGGTGCATTGTTTTCATAACTTTGGAACGATGGCCTTGGTTCATCATCTTCTCTGGTATTACCCCTCAAAGCGGCCATACCAACTCCTGTGCTGGCATCGGCATCGGCAGTAAGGTGCGTAGAGGATGGTTCCTCTTTGTATCCCCATGTTGGTGAGCCTTCCTGTCCGGGATCAGTTTGCTGCCAGGCACCAGCCTTTTTGTTCCTGCGGACGACCCATGCGACGGCCTGCAGGTATAATTTGTCAGTAAATTCGCTCATTCAAATTACACTTAGGGAGAGGTTTGGCCGAGGTTTTATCGTAACTTTCTGGAAAAAATGTGGGTTAAAAATGAATGTATCGTTAAAACGTTTAATCAAGTCATTCAGAGACAAATTAACACGAACTGTATCCGACAGATACGTACGTCTAACCGTCAAGAATAGAACTCAATCATGAGAAGAATCTGTTCAAAATTGTTTGATATGGTGTATCTGATTAGCTAGAAAATGAAAGAAGAGTAAAGTGAAATATGTAATTTAAATCCAATTGTTCTATGTTTTGAAGGCGTTTTCAATTAAAGTCATGATAAAACCTCAGAGAAAAAGAAAAGATGAAAGGTAGAGGTTGAATAAGTCTAGATACTAACACCAATGATAGCGAGACCGACAACACCGACGACTACTCCAATTGCAATATCCCTTTTGGTTGAGCTTGAGTCATCATCACCTTGTGAATTGTTGATATCATCTGGGTCGCCAACATCTGGGTTTTGACCGTTTGCAATTTGGCTATAATGAGTCTTAATAATGTCAGCTGCTTTTTCAGCGATACCATAAGTGGTGGCCATCAAGTGTGCTGAGACTTCCAATGGAATAATTGAAGAATCAACAACTCTAACATTTGAGGTACCGTATACGATAAGAGAAGTGTTAACGACACCACCCTTGTCAAGTGGCAACATAGAAGCTGTACCTAACGGGTGGTACTCAGTGTGAGCATCATCTCTGATAGCAGAGTCAATAGCATCGTCAGAATCGTCGTTGAAGTTCTCTTGCTTGGTTATGTAATCAGCCATTTCACCAGCTTTTGATAAAGCAATGGCGAATCTGACACCCTGTCTCATGATTTCCATATCAGCGTTGTGAGTCAAGTAACCCGGGTTGATCTGTGGATGAACCCATGGGTCAGTTGAGTTGATTTCAATGACACCACGACTGAGAAGCTTTGTTAGTAAGGCCTTATACAAAGATTGGGTACTAACCTAAATGGATGTTGAAGTGCAACTTGGAAACCAATTTCACCTGGACCACCACCAAGCATAGTCATGAGCATTTCTAATTGACCAACCTCACCTTTGAGGTAGGTTTGAGTAATGTCCCATTGTTCACGCATACCAGCAAGAACGGTATCATCTTCACCATACATTTGTTTAACGCTCTTTGCGTAATCTTCAATGTTGTTCTTGATGTTGCTGACAAAGTTATTTACGTTTCCAGGCATAATATCATTAGCATCTGGGTAACCAATAGCTTGGTTGATGTAGGACCACTTTGATTGACCGTTGTCGTTCTTCCATTTGTCTAATTCAGTTTGAGCGGTTTGCTCGTCCTTCAATTCATACCAAGTTTCAGCGACGTTTGTGTTAAAGTAAACTGCAGTGGCTGCGTGATCTTGAAGGTTGTGACCGACACCAGGTAAAGCGTGCTTGATTGGAATGTTTAATCCGTCAAGAAGGCTTTCTGGACCAATACCAGACAATTGTAAAGTTTGTGGAGTGTTGACGGTACCACCTGATAAGATGACTTCCTTCTTAGCCTTAACATGGTAGAGATCATTCTTGTTTGAACCATCAGCTTTACCGAAGTAAACACCGCTTGCAATAAGGTTACCATCAGCATCCTTCTCGTCTGACCAATCGATTGTAGTTACCATGTGTCTAGTAAGAATGGTAAGGTTTGGACGTGGAGGAAGTGGATCGATGTAACCAGCCTTTGGATCAGATCTTGACATGTTTGTTGGGTTAAGAATTGATGGGGTGATCACAGGACCGTGGTTGTTACCTGAAGCACCATCTTGTGGAATATTGATATCAAGAGCTTCGTAAGCAGGTATCCAATGCTTAACACCTTCGTAAATGTAGTAAGGCCAGCCGACTTGGATAGGACCACTAGTACCGTGATCATCCTCGTTGAAAGAAATGTGGAAAGTATCAATTTGCTCTTGTGTTGGCTTATGGAGCGTTTCAGAATATTTCATGTACTTTTGCATTTCATCCCAACCCCAATCAATTTTGGAGCCTGGGTTGAGTTTATTCCAAGCATCATATTCTGGGGTTGAAGCTCTACACCAGAAAAGTCCGTTAATTGCTCCCGAACCGCCTAAACCTTTACCACGTGGCCAACGAGAACCGAAGGTAGCGTCATTACCGTTAATAACTTGCTGCTGTTCAACCTTGTAGTCCCAATCATAATCTGAGACTGTCAAACCGTGAAGGTATGAATAACCAGGAATGTAGATTTGGTCCTTGACATCAGAACCATCACCACCTGCCTCAATGACGGCGACGGTGAGGTTAGCTTCCTCGGACAATCTTGCTGCAATAGCCAAACCACCTACACCACCACCAACGACGACGAAATCGAATTCCTTGTCGCTAACTTTCGAAGCGTCGTCTGAGGTGTCGGCTCTGGAGGTCAACCAGTGCTTCTGGTGGGAGTGTGGGTTGTAGGCAGCGAGCGCGGTCGTCGCTAATAGAAGAGTTGATGATAGTTTCATAGTAAACGAGTGCTGTGTCGAAGTTAGAAGGTTATTAAATTAAATTTAAAAAGGAAACCTACGTTCAGAAATATATACAAAAGCGTTTTATTTGTTTATTATTAAACGCTGGAATATATTTTTTATGGGAATGTAATTTTAGTGTAAAAAGCGAGCGAGTCTAGAGGGGGAAGTCAGAGGAGGGGAGATATAGCGAAAATTTTAGCGCTCGTCCGCTTAATTAGTTAGGCGATATATAAAAATAACGCGTAAAATTATTTATTATCATTTAATGACTTATATTTTATCGGGAAATAAAAAATAAAATAGGAAGTTCTTGTTCCGAGATTTGCCTTTGATAACGTTTGGTTTTAGTTGTTCGTTTTGACAACGATTTAATGTCAATTATAATTAAGAACCACTATAACGAGCAACCAAGGGGGGCTCTACCTAATAGCCAGCTCATATCCAACCTCGAGAGCATCCCTTCTATCAACAAGTCCTCGAAATCACTCATCATCGAGTACCTTCTATGGATAAACACAAACAAGCTCATAGATAAGAAATCAGATAGTGTACAGCAACTAAACAACAGTCTTTTGCATTTGTTAGACAACTCTATATTGGATGATACACTTAGATACAGAATTATCCTTCTACAAATATTGAACACACTAAACAATGTCCCTACTACAAACAGCAATTTAGATTTCCTCTTTAAACTCTACCCCCACTCCCCTTCATTTGAACCAACTCTTTTACCACCTAAGGGTTCTATTTTCAGCTCAATCCCTAGAGGTGCTGGTCCAGAAGCTGCTTGGGCATTCGGTGGTCTCAATCAACAGCCTTCTCACAACTACAAATCGATGCCTCAAATAAGGAGAGCGTTTGGTTACGTCAAAACCTTATATTATAAAGGTTGCCATGGTGTAGATTACGTAGATCAACAGCCAAACAACAACATCGTTAACCCTTATAATAATCTCATAGACATTCTGCCTTTATTCGTGAGGTTATCAAATCATTTACTCAGTGACATACCAATCAATTACAAAAGTCGCAAAGATCACCTCATCAAAATGATGCAATCATCAGAAATATCTTTTGATAGATTCAACCACTTTGTTGATCAGTTGGAATCTGACTTTACGTTCCACAGATCTTTTGGTGAGTCGGACTGTTGAATACTTTACATAATCTCATACTCCCTATAGAAAGAAAAGAAAGTCTACCGCATAAGTCATCTTCACAATTCAAGGAACATTCAAAACCTAGTAAAGATTGGTACTTATTATTGGCAGATTTACTCACTTTCTCGACTATACAAGGATATAAAAAGTCATTCTGGAAAGGCACAAAACCAGTTGAAATAATAATGTCACTTGGAAAACCAACATATAGAAATAATGACAGGAATTCAATCGATCCAGATTCTTTACCTTCATTCTCAGATTCTTTGGAAGCTTTATTTACGAACAGTCAAGATGATGATAGGATGCAGTTTGATAAGATAATGTCAGATAGATTATCGGATTTCCTGACGATTGAAGCAGATTGCAAGGACCTGTCTCAACATTTTGATTACCTTGAAAACAAATATAATAAAGCTCAATTTGAGAGATCAATGATGCAATTCCTTGATGATTTCAATATATGGTTGGGTGTTGCCGAGCTCGTACAATCTAATGGTAAAGTTTCACAGCCACGTTATAAGGTACATGAGCCACTTCCTGAACCACAACTTAGTCACCCTGCAAACCCATTGAGTATTGCAGCGTTGCTAGGGCCATCTGATGATAACAAACGTAGACCATCTACACCACGCCTAAACATGAATCGTGGTAAAGGAAGCGCTAAATGGTTTACAATCACTAAATACGATGAAATGAAATCCGCTAAGGAAACCTCCAATAAGAGATCCAGACCAGATTTACCAACGCCTTCACCTTCATTCTCTTCTAACAACTCATATCAATTAGTCAATGCCCACACATTAAGTTGGCCAGGTCCATATGGTCTATGAGTCAGTTCTAACGTTCTTATTAGTCAATTTTAACGTTCTTATTGGAAATGTTAACGTTTTTAGCTTTACGTTTATCTTGGTTTTAGTTTCTTATTCTTGTATTATATTGAATGCAAATAAGTGTATGCAAAAATAAAAGTAGGAGAGTATGTAAAAGTATATTAAAACATTTATTCACTTTCGACGTCAAGAATCTGACCAGCGACGACAGTACCCCAACCGACAAGACGCCAGTGTCTTTCGATACGCTATAAGATTTGTTTAATCGTTATATTTAAGAGGAGTTAAGAAACTTACACGTGACAATGCAACCTTTTCACCAACTTCAGTACATGCTGGACTTGTGAGGTAAATCTTTGCAAGATCAGCTTTAACAGACATAACACGACCACCTGTTGAAGTAGAACCAATATTAACCATTAGAACTTCATTCTTTGCTAATTTAGCAACCTTAGTTTGTTTTTTGTCATCCGATTTTACACCCAATAATCTTCTCAACAAGAAGTAGTTAATTTCAAGTTCAGTGTAGATTGCAGGAAGGGCATTTGGTGCACCAAGAACTTGACCGACTAATCTATCAGCTCTACAGAGAGTTGGGTCAATCTTTGTACCAACACCGATTAAACCACCTGGAACGGCGAAGTTTAACTTGTTTTGTTCAGCTAACAAACTGACAATTTTTGATTTAATTGGTTTACATTTAATGTTTCCGTCGTTGTCCTTGGTGACGATACCAGGTCTAACTTCGATTTCTTGACCAATGTAGAGAACACCTTGAAGGATAGAACCACCTGCGACACCACCCTTAAGCTCATCAACGTCTGAACCAGGTTTGTTAACGTCAAATGATCTAATAACGATGAGTTTTGGTGGATCAGTGAAATTCCTAGATGGAACTGGAACTCTCTTGACGAGGTATTCGCATACGGCGTCAATGTTGTACTTTAATTGAGCTGATATAGGGACGATAGGAGCTGATGCAGCTGAAGTACCATGAACGAATTCGACGATCGACTTCCAATGATCTTCAGCTTGTTGTTCACGGATAAGGTCAACCTTGTTTTGTAAAATGATGATATCTTTAAGTTTCATAATTTCAACCGCAGCTAAATGTTCACTTGTTTGCGGTTGTGGACAGCTTTCATTTGCAGCAACGAGAAGCAATGCGGCATCCATGACAGCTGCACCGTTCAACATGGTAGCCATTAAAATGTCGTGTCCAGGACAATCAACGAATGAAACGTGTCTAATGAGGTGCATTGAGCCTTCACAGCCTGGCTGCTCACACAATGGGTTTGGCTCCTTATTTGAAGGGTAGGATCTATAGCAACCAGGTCTAGGGCAGGTTGGTTGATCGCATTTGTAGATTTTAGCGTTAGCGTAACCTAACTTAATAGTAATATTCCTCTCTAATTCGTTTTTAAATCTAACTGTGTGTACGCCTGAGATTGCCTTCACAACTGTTGATTTACCGTGGGCTACGTGTCCAATAGTACCAATATTTATCGTAGCTTGTCCCTGCAAGATTGTCTGGTGTAGTGGGTGTAAATCCTCCAAGCTTAAGCCATTGAGCGCCGTTGTGAGTGCTTCCGTCATGGTTTGTCAAGAAGAAGATGAAAAAAATTGGTAGAATAAAATTATTAGATAAAAAATAATTTTACATTAAAATACAATAGCAGTTTATTTACTTTTCATTCTCCTTTACTCATTTCTTCTCCTTCTTGGGCTTCATGAGCTTCCTGGGCTTCCTTCGCTGCTTGTAATCTCTCGTATAGTATACTGTTTAGTTTATTTATTAGTCTTTTATTAGCTTATTTCTTCACTCACGCTTTGTACATCTTGGCTCTCTTTATATCCCACTGTGTCTTGAGTAATTTGAGATATAACTTGTCGTTCTCCTTTATTCGCTATATGAACAAAACTGATATGATGTTATAATCGCTAGACTCACCGTCATCAAACCCTTCGTCTTCTTCTTCATATCTCTGAATTTGAGTATATACTTCTCGTCATCTGCTTGGCTAGCGACCGTTGGACCGTTAGCTGATAAATTCCTAACCCGGGCTTTCTGATTCCCCGCTGGTATCTGTGCTGGCATAGGAGCGATTGATGGATTCATCCCCATCCCCGGTTCTACAGTTTGTGGCATAGCTTGTAGACTATCTAATACATTCAAAGGTGGTAAACTATACTGTTCACTCTCTTCTTTTACGCCTGGTGTGCTCATGGATGTTCTTCTTAATCCGCCGTGATGTTCAAAAAGCGTAATATCAATAAATCTACAAGAAGGGAAAAATCAATAGAAGAATCGAACAACGTAGATAACGACGATGATAGTACGATATCGTAAGTTCTTTACTTCTATTTACTAATAAACTAACTTAGTTTAGTGATACGATAGAGGAAAAGCATCTGATAAGGAAACTTAAGCGACAAGCTGCAGGTATAGACTCTGAAAAATTAGTACAGACTACTTCAAACTCCAAGAAACCAAAACTAGACAACTCACAATCTAAAGAAGCTCACGGCTGGTCAGCCAGCAGCGGTGGGATCGTAGACAACACTGAGAAACTCAAAGAAGCGTGCGTTTATATTATAAACCAGCTTGCGAACTCTAATAGACTCACAGTTCAAATCCACAAGATAAGCTCGTCAAAACTAGCAACTTTACTGGTCAGTCAGCCACAATCGACGTTGATAAGCATATGTTGGTAACATTTCTTGAAACTATTCATCTAACAACCATAAAGGATGTCATACATTGAAGAACAAATGCTCAAAAAACATCAACAGCAGGGTCTTCCAACTGATAATCTCAACTTGGGCATCACTAATGAGCGTATTAATAATCCACAAGATGAGTTATATGATATAGCACAAAAGTACACCTATAAGTCGCGCAATTTGGATGACGGCAGTATCACAAACTCTGAAAGTATGCTTACAAAGATCCCGGAAGTGGATCTAGGTGTAGAGTGAGTGTAATCAATTCATAAGATAACCTACTAATGCTCAATTAAGAGCAAAATTGAGGAATATTCAAGAAACAGAGAAAGCTAAACAAAGGATGAGAGACCTCGAGAAACATACATCAAGAAAACCAGCCAACACGGATCCCGATTATACACAAACTAGATGTGAGTTGTATTGTTTTAGAAGGTTGTCTAACAATATCTAGTTATGCAACCCTCACTGGCTAGATCACGTATAGACACCACTTCCCTTGAACCACTCAAACAAGAAGACGCTGTGAATGACTATAGACAACAAGGAAAAGCATCCGATAAAGACCATTACACGCGTTTCAGGAGTGCAATGAGCAAGAAGTGAAAATTTAACAATTTGTAAACTATTGTAAACTAAGGGGTATTTATATGTACTTTATTATTACATTAAGTTGTTTTGTTTACTACTCCACCCTCAGAGAATACGCTAAGGAGGGCGAAACATGCATAGAGAAGCCCAACAGGATAGGCGACGAGAAGGCGTTGTTCAGACATTTGCTGTACTGTTACAAATATTCCACTAGCTGAGAATGTACACCAAAGGGTAGTAAAAGCTGACAAACCATACCCAATCCAGTTACTGACGTGTTTGTTAGATAAGAACGTGATATAATACCTTCTTTCAAAAGAACTTACTCCATTTGAAATGGTACACTTATCACTGAGAGTATAACCATCGGAAGAAGGCAGTATCCCAAGACAGAGGCAGTTCGGGATACTTCAATACCCTGTGGACTCATAACGTTGAGGAGTGAATAAATACTCAAACTGCCTATTAATGCTACACCATAAATGTAGCCAAATTGAGCTTTTCCAGACTACAAAGCGTATTAGATGATGTCAAATTAGATGTCTGACGACTCACTAACAACAAGGCTAAACCGAAAGCGCCCCAGAATACCAAAGGACCAGCTAAATCAGCATCATCCATTAATCTATTGTCTATTTTGTTGCTAAAAGGATTGAGAACAGCGAGAGACTTTGTAGTGATATGGCTGAAGTTTATACCAAGCTCAGTGAGGAGTGGATCTTCACCGTCGAGACCGCCACTACCGAATGCGTGATACCAAGGGCCACTATAGCTGCTACTCATGTATCCAGCTTGGCTGGGTGATATTGAAGAGAAGGTATTACCCATAGAACCAGAAACGCCATCTAAACTAGAGGCAGATTGTGGATTGCTATAAAATTGTAGATCTGGCTTATAAAATGCATTTTGATTTTGATTTTGGAATAAATGGGATGTCATCCTCGTCGTTAACTTTTACCATCAAGTGATATGGTAAGTTGCTTTAAATTTACTATAAAATACTAACAATTTTAGCCACAAAACGAATACATTGAAGAGCATCAAAGGAGATATGGTAAGAGACTCGATCATGACGAGAAGCTCCGTAAGAAGGAGGCTAGATCTGTACACCAAAACAGCAAACTTGCAAGACAGACCCACGGTTTGAAAGCTAAGTTAATGCATAAGCAAAAGCATGCTGAGAAGGTACAAATGAAGAAGACGATGAAGAACCACAGCGAACGTAACGTCAAAAAGGATGAAGAGAAACCAGACGATAGCGCAGCCCTTCCAACTTATCTTATGGATAGAAATGAACAACGTGACGCTAAGAGTATTTCTTCAGCTATCAAGCAAAAGCGTAAAGATAAAGCTGCTCGTTTCAGCGTACCACTCCCTAAAGTACGCGGTATCGCAGAAGAAGAAGTATTTAAAGTTATCAAAACTGGTTCGAAAAAGCAGAAATCTTGGAAGAGAATGATCACGAAACCTACATTCGTTGGTGAGAACTTCACCCGTAAGCCACCAAAACTTGAAAGATTCATCAGACCATCTGGTTTGCGTATGAAGAAAGCAAATGTCACACATCCAGAGTTGAAGACAACCTTCCAATTACCTATAATCGGCGTTAAGAAGAACCCTCAATCTCCACTTTACTCACAACTTGGTGTTCTCACCAAAGGTACTGTCTTGGAAGTAAACGTCAGTGAATTGGGTATGGTCACCACAGGCGGTAAAGTCGTTTGGGGAAAGTACGCTCAAATTACCAACAATCCAGAGAATGATGGTTGTGTCAACGCCGTCCTCCTAGTTTAAGTTATAGCTCTCTTTTGTATATTTATATATATTTCTTACTCTTTTGGATAGATAGATAATTTAAATTGAATAATATACAATTGTCATCAGATCTCTTGTATGAATCTTTTTTATTTATTTAGTTTATTAAAATGCCTATATTACCTATTATTGAAGTCTAATTCAACTTCTTGAAAATCTTCATTGTTATTGAACGTTGCTTTGTTCATTTGTTCAGGTGAGTGTACCAATCTAACTGTCGATGACATTGGATTAACTGTATCATCTGATGATATATTACTATGCTCTAAACCTAATGAGTCGCTAGTAGCATTTGATGTTGAAGTTAATGAGAGTGTTGGCGTCGATGATCTACCAAAATTCCTTAATTCCGTTATATCTCCTGTTGTATTGCTGTCGAAATCATCATTGAGATTCTGTTTTGATCCGGTATGGTGGTTGTGCGTTGGTAGTATCCATGACTTTCTATTTGAATCGTCACGCTTAGCCTCCTCAACTACCATCTTTATTTGATCTGATGTTGGTAAATCAATTGGCACAGCTGGTGGTAATGTCATCGCTGATCTGCGACGGTGACTCTTGCCATTTTCAGAGTGACTGACTTTCATTCTTTGAGTTTTATCAGAGATGATTTCAACTTGTTTAGAAGTTGATGGTATTGGTTCTGTCATTGCTCTTCCTTTTCCGGATGACTGTGGTATTGATATGGGTGAAACTACACCATCTGGTGTTTCCACATTCACAGCTGGTGGATCTTCCAAACCTAAACCAATCTCTGACCAGTATTTAATACTTTTATCAAAGAATGCTTCTATAGTTTCCCATCCTTTATAATCGCCACCAATTTTCAAGCCAACTCTGCTGGCTGAACCAAGGTAATCTTCGATACTATCGTATGAACTGCTTAAATAATCATCATCATTTTTGAAATTGACTTGATCACTTTCCAATAGATCAGCGAAATGAGACATGAATTTACCCCAACCGCCAGAACCATCTGAATGACAAACGACGACTTTTGTATCAATATCTCTACCAAATAAGATAACTTGACCTGCAACAGCGCCTGCCTGTTCGCTAGGTGGATCGAGGTCTACTCCGATATAATTACCCATTTTATCAGTTGCAAGTGGTAACCAAGCAGGATTTGAGTATGCACGATTAATCCAGCCTGGTGGAACAGATTTCATACGTGATAATAAAATCTGATTATTATGTACCTGATAATGATCATCAACTCCTCTCCAAAATTCGTATTGTTCGAGAACGTCGTCGATTGGGAGTAAACGTAAACCGAAAAGTAAACCATCTTGGTCGTTCTCAACGTCTTGACCATCATGTACTAAAAAGTAATCCCTTACAGCAGGTGGAAGTTGAAAGCCGATCTGTAATTCAAGGGCATCTAGAGTTAAGATGGATGCCGGGATGTTTAAACTATCGTAAAGTTCAGGACATCGCCTCTTTGACCATTTTCTTATACGTCCGCATGTATGTTGCAGTGGAGGGTAAGGACTTGGTGGAGGAAATGGGTGTAATGCAGGTGAAGTTGGTGTTACACTGTTAAACGTTGTTGTGCTGGACATTGGAGGGGTACCAGATGAAGATCTATTTAGATGCGGGTGTAATGGTACCACTGATGGCGTTAATGGGTTGCTACTATTCGATTGATTCCGTGTCGGTATAGATGAGATTGTTGTTTGTGGGTTGAAGAATGTAGAGATGGCTTGAAAGAAAGACATCTTCTAATAAATATTAGTAAACCTGCTACTTTAATATACGACGTATATCTCACCTTTAACGCTAAATTCAGAAAATCGTCTCTTATATGGTGTAAGTGCAAGAGGCATGCACGCCGGATAAGTTAGTTATTTAAAAAATTATCATATTTCGCACTTAAACGCGTTCATAAGTGTATATATAGTTTTAAATCGCAGTTAAAACCAAAGATTTTCTAATGCTGTACCATATGACACAGAGAAATAAATCGTTTTTATTTAACATAATTTTATGTACATATTTATTATCTAGTACATTATACAGTCATGCTATTATCTATCTCTAGCTATCTCGACTTCTGGGTTGGCTATAGTATAGTAGTCAATGTGGTTAAGCTAACCTAAGGGTTCAGAGGAGATAACAGTCTATAGAAATAGGAAATAAATAATGTAATTAAACGTTCTACTAAAAAATATTATTTAGTTCAAGGAAGCACTCTTAAGGCTCTACTCTCAAGTGAAGATCAGGCTAAAATATGTACAAAACTGCATTGTTAAATATGGGTATTCCCAAATCACTTCCACATATGCCTAGCTCAGTACAAATCCATCAAGATAAGGATCTCTTTAAAGGTTTGCGAGATGCTTATTGGTCTGATGATGAGGTGAGCTTCACGTTGCTATGTCAGATCGAATACGTATTAAATACATTATAGGAGGATAGGGATTGCCCACTTTGCTTGGAAGAGATGGACATCTCTGACTTGAACTTCAAACCCTGTCCATGTGGCTATCAAGTGAGTACTTATAAATCTAATACATTCTTCTAACAATTACAAAGATATGTAGATTTTGTTGGCATCATATAAAGGAAAACTTGAATAGAAAGTGTCCTGCTTGCCGAAGAGAGTACACCAACGAAGGCGCTAAATTCCAGCCAGTAGCTGCGGAAGAGTACGTATATTACATCTATACGCGTATGTTCCCTAAATTTCTACAGTGTCAAACGTATCGAACGTCAGAAAAAGTCAAAAGAAAAGGAGAAGAAGGAATTGGAGAATCTGGGTAGAACGAGATTAGCAGACGTTAGAGTTATACAAAGATCATTAGCTTATATTGTCGGTTGGCCTCAATCTTTTACAGAGGAAATGCTCCCTTTGTTGAAATCTCCAGACTACTTTGGCCAATACGGACGCATATTAAAGTTGTCACTCACCAAAAGGCCTCCTTCTAGTCACTCTATATCAGATAGTCCAATAGTTGGTATTTATATCCTCTATCAGAGATCTGAGGATGCTTTACGTGCTATAAACTGCGTTGATGGTGTAAACCTCGTTGAACCCTCCAAAGGTTTCATTTTAAGAGCAAGTTATGGTACTTCAAAGTATTGCACAAATTATTTGCGTAATATTTTTTGTTCTGATCCAAGTTGCTCTTTATTGCATGAACCTGCGGATGAAAATGATACTTTTACAAAGGAAGACTTGACGTCTTCATCTTTCCCTGTTGGTGATGGTACAGGTGCTATAAGAAGGCCATTAGCTAACGCTAATCCTTTACCTACTCCACCACCACCTCAACATTATTATCAACATTCACATCATTTCAATCAACATACATCCACACAACAACAACAGCAATCAACGTATCATACACCAACGATTCGTAGACCTCAAATTCATGATATTGATAGTAATAATACTCAGCAGTTACCTAAATCTGCTTCATGGGCTAAACCTGGTAGTCAAGCACCTAGTGCAACTACAGCTAGTTCAATAACTAATCTTTCATCTTCACAATTCCCTACACCTTCGCAATCTTCAAACTTATCTTCAATACGTCGTACACCAGTTTCATCTAATCCACCAAATAGAATAAGTCGACCACAATTGCATAGTCAACAATCGAATCAAAATATACAACAAGTTATGCGGTCAAACGGATCTTACGAGAAACCATTATCAAGACCTTCTTCTGTTGTTCAACAGAATACTCAATCACCTAATTTGAATAACCTTATACCAAAGCAAGAACAACAACCATCCAATGGTCCACCACCTGGTTTAGCAAAGCAATCACCTGCGTTAGCTCCACCTGGGTTATCTTCTAAACCAGTTTCTATGTTACCACCAGGTTTATCATCAGCTTTAACCCCACCAGGTTTACCAAATTTGACGCCGCAACAAGTACCTGTGCAACCAATTAAAAAGAGTCGGGATGACGAAATTGATGATGTTCTGTCATTGTTCAAATCAGGGGGTAATGATTTCAGTTTCAGTATGGGTATTGAAGATAATGTTCATAAATCTCCAATTCAACAATCTAATTTGAATAGACCGGTTGATTCACAAAATGTTTTATCATCTGTCAGTTACTTATTTGGTAATGATCCTTCAATAAGTTATATGTCAACTTACGATCATTTCCAACGCAAACAAGTTTCACATCAGAGAGAAAATCAACAACAGGAACCAGCTATTCAAACATCACCTGGACCAATTTATACTGGAGCATTTAATCCATTCGATGAAACATTTGCCCCATTCAAGTCGTTCCAACATACTCAACAATCACAAGTACCTCAACATATAGATCAGCATAGTCATAGTAGTATAGAAAAACAATTTGATCAGATGAATTTGGCAGGTTTACCACAGCAGTTACAACAACCGCCACCACCACCAGGATTGAGATCATTTGGATTTAGTCAAGATGAGAATATTAGAAGATCATCTAGGTTCGACTTCGCTAGAAATGAACAACAGTTAGGTTCAAATGAGGATCCAATCCATGATTTATTCTTCGATGGTGCTCCTCCAGGTCATACTACTAATGGTGCTCCTTCAAGTGCTATAATGTTTGAGCAACAACAACAACAACGCGGTTCACCTGCATTGTCCCGTGGTAATATTGCAAATGGACCACCACCTGGTATTGCAGGTCCACCACCAGGTCTGGGAAATAATTCTCCAATGCCATCACAAGCATCTCCATATGGTAAGTAGTGGTCTTGAATTCTTGTTTGATATCTAACAATTGACAGACATACCATTCCAAGATCCAGCAATTATGTCAATGTCTTCTCCATCTCCACACGCTGAAATGATGTATGCTCAGTCCCAACAACAACAACAGCAACAGCAGCAACAGCAACAAGGTACACCAACACCACACTTCTCACAAATCCAGCAGCCTCCACCTGGGTTTGGTATGGGTATGGGTAATATCTCATTGAATCAACTTTTCAACGTACCTGCAAACAGTTCACCTTCACAAACAAACTTACCACCACCTGGATTATCACAACAACGCAATCAAGATGATGCACGTGCACAATTGTATAGTTTATTGCAAGGCCGTGCAAATTTAAGCGGCATTTGATTGTACATAACTTAACCAACAAATTTCTTTAATCAAACCACTCTCCATTGAAATTTTTACATATAAAAATACATTCTTAATGAATTAAATTTTCTTTCCAGAAATAGCTATCATCTCATTAGTAGTTTCAGTATCAAATAAAATGCATGTCAATGTTTTTATTTCTTCGCTAGATTAGCCATGCGGGCTTCTGCTGCACGTGCACGTCTTTCTCTTTCTATTTTCATTTTTACGTCTTGACTGAGACCTGTGGTTGATAAGGTATTTGAGGCACCACCTAGTGTATTGGTTGTCGCATGTGATGGTAATTTACTAACGCGTTCTCTCTCTTTGCTTTCCTCTTCTTCCTTTTGTTTACTTTCTTGCTCTTCACGTGCACTTCTCTTCTCTTTCATCCTGTCTCTGAGATTTTTCTTTCTTTCCTTGTCTTTAGCTGATGTTGTTGATTGTGCTAACTGTTCTGGTGTCAATGCACTAGGTACTCTTGCACCATCGATCCAATTCCACTTGTTAGGAAGCCTACCCATAGCTAGTCGGAATGCATCCCTACTTTCTTTACCTTTAGCCAACTCATAAGCAGTTCGACTACCTCCATGAGCAGTTGGATCTACTTCTTTATCAATTAAAAGCCAATTGATGATATTGTAAGAGTTATTCAATGATGCTACTTGTAATAAATTATTGTCATTGTCTATGGAATGGTCTAAGTTGCTGAAAATTGTCTGATTTTTATCTAGATGAGTTTTCAAAGCTTCTAATCTGTCCTTCGATGTCATTTCTATAGCTTTGTTTTTTATGTCATTGATACGGATCTCTTCTTCTTCTTCAGGTGTTAATTTACGTGCTGTTTCGGTCTGTGACAAAGTCTTCTGTTGTTGTGGAAAAACTGGCTTCGGCTTTGGAGCTACTTTCGCAAGCCAAGCTTCATCTTGTTCACGCAGTTGGTTTTGTGTATGGTAGGTTACCCTTACTTTCGTTAACTCTTGGAAGCATCTGATAAGCTCATTGTGTGTAGGCCTGCGAGTAGGGAATGGGAAACCACGTACACGAGGATCAGCTAGAGTTATAATCAGATATATTATTACATTATTAAACAAACTTACTCTTTTTCATGATGCAATCGTCATTATTTGATGATCCAAAGAGAATGCGGCGATTAGCGCTACTCGTCGCCCTAACGAATATGCGTTCAGATGCATCCACGTCTTCTTTCCATTCATTGAGTAACTCGCGTACATCCTAATAATCATAAGATGATTTCACATGACTGTCATGTACTCACATCGGCAAGTGCTTGCTCGTTGTAACGTCTTATCATGGCACCAGCTGAGTTGGCCTTTCCCTTTGCCATATCATTGCTAGATTGAGCACCACCTTGTTTTCGACGTGCTGACAGGCCAGTTAATCTTGCTATTTGATATGAGACAATACTCACTTGTGTATCTATGGAATGTCTTCTGTTTCAAGACAATACCGATGTCTACTTCAGTACGCTTATTTCTACGAACAACTTGTGGTACTATTGAAACGACGCAAGCTGCAAAGTGACCACCACCAATCATTATCAATGTCCATCTACGCGGTGACTCTGTAGCACTCAATTGAGACTCGCTTAGTTGGATTTTATGTAAATAATTAGTAATTTCATCACTTGGTGGTGTTGGTGAAGGGAATAACGCTCTATAAATACCCAATTGAGCACCTGGCGTGTCATCATCAAGATTATCGTCCTTGACATCAAACCAGACGAGTGGCGTACGGTTGAGAGCTTTCTGGGCATAAAATGCATCGTCATCATCTATCTTGCTATTCGATAGAGTGTTTAACTTCGTTTGTTTATTAAGTAACTTCGACAGTCTGTCTTCTTCACCTTCCTCATCGTTGCTATCTGATAAATCGTCTAACATTTCCTCAAATCCATCTTCGCTGACTGTATCTCTGCCGTCCGCCTTTAATTTGACACAATATCTATACCAATCTGAGTGGAAATGCATACGTAATTCCTCGATTGTATCAAATGAAGCTTGAGTGGTAGAACAGAAGTATTTCTTCCTCTGTTGTGTATCTGTAGTAACTGCAGTTTGCTTATCACCTTCTATCTCAACTTTCTCTGTGGCTGCATCGATATCTTCATCTTGTGCATCAACCGAGCGCAGTTTGAGTATTTCTAAGAGATCATTCGGTATACTATAAGCATATAACGGTTGATGAGATTTTACGATCTCCGCTGGTCTTGATTGCATCTCTAAAAGAAACGATAATGACACTCATCGAGAGTTCGTCTATAAAAACACACGGACAACCAACGTCGATACAGAAACCGCATTCTACGAGCTATCTCACTGCCATACAACCATTAGAAACTTCTTTAGCTGTGTCTTCTCAACAAAATGTTCTTCTCTTAGATAGAACGACTTTCAAACCACGAAGCGTAATCCCACATCAGACGAGGGTTTCTAAATTGACTGGATGTTCTCATGATTTAAACGCTGTCGCTTCTGCTGATTTTGACGGTAATGTATGGATTTGGGATCAAAGAATGAACGGTGAGGAGGCTACAAGTATCACTGTGAAATCAACCAAAGGAAAAAAAGCACCTATACAAGCATTAGACCTTGATACTTCTAATCATGCACTTGCTGCAGGTACTGAATTGGTGGGTGAGGATGCTAGCGTTGTTATCTGGTAGGTAATTATCCTATTTGATGAGCCTTTCTTATTTTGTCATAAGGGATATACGGAACACTAGTCAACATATGAGAAGATACGATGAGTTGCATTCCGATGACATATCTGCACTCAAATTCTTGCCTAATAAGCACCTCCTCACAGCGGGTACAGATGGATTGTTGATGTATGTTGATCCCAAGATTGAAGATGACAATGACGCTAGTTTGGGATGCGTGAATGTCGGTGCTAGTATAGCAAACGCTGGCCAGTTCTCTGATGGCAGTATTTTCGCATTTACAGACATGCAGACTGCTGGAATATATACTTTAGACTCTGAAAGTGTTAGTCAAACTAGAAAGTACCCATTATTATACTTAAATTCAACACAGGAACTCACTTTGCAAATGGATTTGGGTGATATTAGACAGCGATCGATTGAAAATCGTTGGGAGAGTGATTATATCATAAACATGTCAGAAATTAATAATGAAGCAGTATTATTTGCTGGTAAAACTAGGTTAGTAGCCATTTTCATTAATGAATTAATACTAAATAAGTATATCGTAGCGGGGAATTCTCAATGATAAGGGATATGCAAACAGATGCTATGAAACTAGAGAGAATAATGAAGGGCGGTCATACTGAATTAGTTAGAGCTGTGACGTACGATAATCAGCTTAATGCGATAGTATCTGTAGCCGAAGACGCCAAGATAGCAGTTTGGAATGTTCAAGACGCGTCTGATGGATTCAGACTCGAAAGACCACGAGATGATGACGATGAAGACATCGAGATGGAGGAAAACTCATTCAAAAAAGCCCGTCAATGATTGTAGCTCTAATTATACCACAAGTTAATTATCAATGCAAATCATAGATTTATAGCTTATCACTTTTTATCGGGACTTTATTGTACAGTTTTGATTAATTTAGATTGATTGATGCTGTTGGCTATTGGGTATACTAGTAATTATTCTCTGCTAAACCTGCTTGTACACCTTCAATGAACCCTTGGAAATCATCGCCATGAATCTCAACAATGGCTGTATCAAACCAATCGTGCTTGGATCTAGCACGTGTAGCTTCAGCTGATTCATAGAATATAGTGCCTAGTTTGCTAACTATGGTGTCAATATTGCATATGATTTGCATGTATAACTTACTTCTTTCTTGCGTCGTCAAAAAGCGTAGATCCAGTGACACCAGCCACGAGGTATGTACCAGTCTTTTCGTTAAGGCATGCGACGATGAATGGTAGGTCTTTTAACCTCTTCTGACTACCAGTTTTTAGATCAACAACTTTACCTTTCGTCTTAGACACTATACGATCTCTAAGCGCTTCAATTAGCCATTTTGCCAGACGTGAAAGTGGCGCAGGGTTGCAAAATAATGCAAGGTCCGGCCCTTCTTTTAGTATTGCTAATCTGAACAGACTGAGATTCTTGATTACTTTCTGTTCTATCAAACTAGCACCTGTTCGTAGTATCGCTCTATGGAGAGAAATGCAGAGTGGTATAGATGCTCTTAATCTCGACACGTTATTATTGAGAGCATCATAAGCGATCCAGAAGTTTCGCTCCCAGCTCCTTTCATCATTTCTTTTCTTGATAAGTGCAGCAATATCCTCATCACCTTCTTCCATCTGGCCGAAGAATGTGAGGTTTCGTTTATTCTCTTTGTTATCGATGGTGTTACCGAATAGACTTGTTATTTCCCACAGACGAACATTGCTGAACATTTCACCACCTCCTTGTCCGTCATCGACGTAGATGCTAATACCTGTGGCTGCCTGTAATAATGCATTGATAGCTTCAACAGCATCAGCTGCTGCTAAGGGAAGCGACCGCAAACCGAAGCTTCTAACGAAAGATGGGTAAGAGAGATCAACTAATTGATGTCTAGGTGCTGTATTCTCTACTTTTAATGGCAAAGCACGCTTAAGATCGGTGTCCATGTGTGCAAATGACTGCTGTGCTTGTACTAATGGTAGACCCATCTCAGCTAAGAAACCATGCAATCGCTTTTTACCACCTTCTTTCCATATACCAAGTTTGCTCGCTATGTACTCTGAATGTATCATACTATCGTAAAGACTCCAGTGACGTAGTAGTGGAAAACGCAATTCCTCTTTTACTGAAATACTGTAATCATCCGGATTGGTCTTTGTTTCGCCAATTGTGGGCGGGTTTAAACGTGAAACTTCATCTTTTAGAAGTACATATCGATCATCATACTGTGAACGTGAAATTTGCGCTGATGTGTACTGATATGTCAGACCTAGTATAGCATACCATACTAAATCGTTGACTGCTCGCTCAAGTTCTACCGTTAAAATGTACATAACACAGCTCACACTCATTCCGTGTGATGTACCATTACTGTAGTACTTTGACATTTTACTCCTGTGTAAATGTCTCTCTTGTTTCATTTTTTTACGTGCTTTCTGTTGCCATAATGAGACAATCGGATATAAACAAAGAATAAGATCCCACCTTAGGATTCAATTTAGCACGTTTTGCAGGTGGATTCCCATCTTCATCGCTCTGTTGATCGTCTTCGTCTGCGTCATCGCTTTCATCGTCTAATGAGTCCTCAGAATCATCAGAATCTTCTTCAGAGTCCTCTGGGTCATACTTGGAGGATGTGTTAGACATAGACGTCTAATTGAGCAGTCTCACCTCTAATGCCTCCCAACTTTTCCTCAAGTCTTCCATTTCTTTGGCATCATAATAAGCATCGTCCCATACTAATACTTTGGCTTCATCACCTTCAACACCACCAAAGCCTCCAAACGCGTTTGCTAAATTCCATGGCCTGGATGAGTCAATGAGGTGTATTGTCACGCCAGAATGCAAGCTGAACTGAGCTGAGAGGGTGAGAAGGCTACCGAATCCTAATATTATTACACTATGAAGCTGATTGATTTATTAAATATGCTCTCTCGTATTCCAAGTTCACATACCTCAGGATCCTCAACAATTTCAGATCTAATAGTTTCTAATTCTTTATAACCGTTGACTACTCTAACATTGTGTAATATACCATCAATTTTAAGCATGTCTACTAGTATACGCACGCCGCATAAAGCATCTACATCTGGTGAAGCTAATATCACGACCGCGTTTGCAGAAGACTGGCGCTTTCTCGACGTATTAACTATTTCCTTATAGGCTGTTCCATAGGATTGTTCGTGTGGATTGCTTGTGTCTGGGGGTGCAAGCAGCATTCAAGCTGAGAAGACGATAGTGATAATGAAAGCTGTTGAAAGCTAGGAATTGAGAGAAAGAATAATAAATGTTAATAAAATACTAAGTTACACGTAATAAGGTTAATCTACACGTAAAATACACGTACAGAATATTATCAAAGTTATCAAATTAATCAAAATCACAAACATAAAAATGTAAAGCACAAACTGTTCATTAACATGCATATTATTACTAAACTAATTAATTAATAAAGCCTGAAATCCGTAATTCAGCTTAAAATCCGCCCTTTTCCCTTGCAGCATCGTAAAGTCTTTGAAGTGCTGCCTTCCAAGCATCGATATTAGCTTTTGATACGTCTCTGCTGTATGAGATAAGACCGTTGATTTCACCTTCCGTGTCAGTTGTTTGGGTATAGACACCTGCAGAGCATTTGTTGTTTCTGACTTGATTTGTCAAATTGTCAATAACTTCTATAGAACGATTGTTGTACGAAGCAGTATCTACAGCAATCTCGTATGTCTCTGGGATTGTAGCAATAGCTGCCGGATCTGGCCAAAGTTGATCGGCAGACATGTTGAGACCGACACCACCGAATTCACCTTGTACTTGAATACGTGCTTCATCGTCAATCAAACCACATTGACTGTCTGAATAAGTGTGTACATCTTTGTAGTCACCAAAACCATGGTCATTCCATCCACTGACTGAATCAATGTTCCTCGTTGAGTCAGCATCACGGACTTGATTTGTGATTCCTTCTTCAATTGGACCGTCTTGCTGACCCCAGCCTTCATTGTAGAGAACCCATGTAATAATTGATGGGAAGAAAGCGTGTGTTTTAATCAATTCGAGTGATTGTCTGTCATATTCTGCCGTTTGATCATCATTAGGAGTGGTGTCGTGAGGCATAGAAGGCATGTCTTGCCATACCATAATACCTTGTTGATCAGTGTAGGCGTAGTATTCATCTGGCTCGACCTTGATATGCTTTCTGATAGTGTTGAATCCGATCTCTTTGAGGTAGTCGACATCAAACTGCATTGCTTCCTTGGTTGGTGGAGTGTAGATACCATCTGGCCAGTAACCTTGATCGAGTGTAGAGAATGGGAAGTACCACTTTCCGTTTACTGTTGGGCGTAAAATGCCGTTAATCTCAGCCTTTCCGACGGTACGGAAACCAGCGTATGATTGAACATTGTCATCCTTGAAATTGACAACTATATCGTATAATTTTGGTGCACCAGGTGCCCAAACTTCGACATTGTCTACGTTTCCTTTAATAGCAGTATTGATTGGACCGGTTAACTTGGCGACTTCATCTGATGAACCTTGTTGACGGATACTGACTGTAACATCTCCAGAAGAACCATCTGATCCAGTGATTGTTGCTGTAATACTACCATCAGCTTGTGCATCAAAAAGCACGTCCGTGATATAATCTGTAGGAACACGCCTAATTAAAAAGTTTAATTTATTTTGTCTAGTATTGATAATTCCGACTCACTCGATCCATGCAGATTGCCAGATCCCTGAGCATGGTTGGTAGAAAATATGAGATCTGCGATATCTGCGTTGTTTTCCAAGAGGTATATTTATGCCTTCTGTGTCTGATGGATCATGTACGTGTACTAAAATCTCGTTTTCATCTGTCAAAACGTTAAGTCATGTGCTGCACGTGCATAAATTAAGCTTACCCTTAATATGGTCCGTGATATCGACACTGAATCTAGTGTAGCCACCCCTATGGAATCCGGCATTTTGACCATTGACAAATACAGTTGCTGGCGTTTGTGTTAACTTGTCTCACTTTTAATGTGTGATGCGCACTCACCTTCATAATCGACTGCACCGAAATTAATGAGCGTTTTACCGGCTGGCCAATCATTAGGAGCTTGGAATGATGTTTTCCACCAGCTAAATTCCTGATCCTCTTGTATTCCTGATAAACCTGATTCGATACAACTTGGTACTAAAATTTGCCTCTCGAGATTTTGTCCAGTAGGAGGAGAATCTAAACCTTGTGCATCTGTAGGGCTAAACTGCCATAAACCATTTAGGGTTTGCCAATCTTGTCTAAACATCTGTGGGCGGGGATGTGAAGGCCAAGGGTTTGTCCCAACTTGGTCTGTCCATCTGGTTTTGAGCGGAGGGCCTTGAACAGTATAAGGCTGCTGTGCTGCTACAGCAGCTAACAAAGTTGAGATTACAACCGCCGCGTATTTCATCGTCGTAGTTAAAGATCAAAGACAAATTGTTGCCTTTAAATATAGACTGGCACGTAGAATTTCGATTGCCTGAATTGGCATTCCAAAGTTTCAAACATTCCAAAGTATTTAAAATCTCGTCATGTATGTGTTTGACAGCTTGTCCGGCTTGTCTAACCATGAACACTGTTTTGTCGAAAAAAGGAAGTTTTTCTTCCCAGTTAATTTAAATTGGCTGTATATACACGCTATTTGTTCGTTAGCCCTGATCTTTGTTCTTCTTCTGAGTTAACGCCCATGGCTATGGCAGATATCAATCGCAGCGGGAGCGAATACGAGTCTGGCGATGATGACCTAACATGGCCAAGTGCATTCACTTTAATAGACGGTGTGTAATTATCCCTGTATAAGCTCCCCTAATAGGATATAGTCATCGACACATACGTTGATGCAAGGATAGACCTCATAGAAAGGCGGATACACGAAACGTCCGATAAATTGCGTGAGAGAGCTACATCTGCCAAGGAGAAAGCTGCAGAGATAATAAGAACTCGGGGTAGTGGTACACGCATTGACGACTCCACTAATGACGACGACGGTGAAAAGAAGCTCCAGCCAGCTGCAGCACGGGCTAAAGATTTCTATGAGCGTGAAGCCGCAAAGTATAAGTTATTGGTGCGTTACTTATCAGAGTCGTGATTTATTTTGACATTGGGCAGCTCAGCAAACGTGTGCAGCATTTATCCACCAAGTGGAAGGACGCTAAAGTCGTACAATTGCGCGATAAACTCTCGTTCTGCTTTGGGTTGGTAGTAGCTTTTCCTATGACGTTAACTAAAATCGCTTAAGTGTATTTAACGTCCTTGGTAGTGCTTTGCTTTACGCACTTAACCCAGAATGGTTACACATTTCTTATACTATCCAGATACTCTACTTCTTACCACTGTAAGTGTTGATTCAATTTGCTGTCATTTTCTCACATCATGCAGCCGCGCTTACACCTACAAGCGTTTAAGCTACCACTACTTCTTATTTGATATGTGCTACTACGCTACAATCCTCAATTTGGCTTTCCTTTGGTTATTCTCGTCATCTGAAGCTGTCTTTGTCGCAGCTTACTGTATGACGATGGGTAGGTTATATCATTGATATAAGCAGACATAAGTAATTGACAATTCATAAGGACCACTTGCTCTGGCTGTCATTACATGGAGAAACAGTTTGGTCTTCCATAGTTTCGACAAAACTACATCGCTTTTTATCCACATTTATCCACCATTGGTCTTCCATGCTATTATTTTCGACTATCCAAACAGTACTGAGCGTTTCCCTGCTCTAAAGAATCTCCACAAGTTACAAACAGGTAAAGCTCTTCTGTATACCTCAGTCATATATCTCCTCTGGCAGGCGCTTTATTGGAAATTTATATTAGTTGAACGTCGCCATAAAATTGGTGAAGGAGAAGGCAAAAGAACGACCTCATTTAGTTATATGTTACACCATAATCATGGTTTGATTGGACGTACCCTCAGCGGAATAGCACCAAAATGGCGTGAAAGTGCGTTCATGTTTATGCAGTTTGCGTATACAATGGTGACTATGTTACCTGCTGTTTTCATTCTGTATGACAGCAAAGTTGCAAGTGGTACTTTCTTATTGTTTATCTTTGGTGTGTCCACATGGAGTAAGTAAGATTTGATACCGGAATAACGCACTTAACTATTGGCAGATGGTGCTTCATACTATGTGGAAGTATTTGGAAGGAGGTATGTTATTATAATGTCCCCCTAGCACTACTGATCAATTCTCAGGTTTGAGAAAGAACTAGATGCACTTAGAAAGGAACTCGAAATAGCAAGTTCAACTAATGGAGATGCAGAGGATGACACTTCGCCGAAATCAGAGAATGATGAGGTAGATAATGGCAATAACGTATCGTCTAAGAAGGATAATTGAGGCATCAAATTGAATCAGTTGAGTAATTTAATTGTACAGAAGTTTATTATTATTACATGTTATCATTTGCTATTGAATTCAAGGTGGTGAGGGTGATCTAACAGCGAGACTACGTCTATTAAGGAGCAAACCCTTGAGGGAGCGTATCTCAGTACGTAGATCGACAGCGCTCTCAACATGTGAAGGTAAAATTTCAGTTGGTGATCTTCCTGCTGGCATAATTTCCTGTTTTGCTCGGTTTGTGCGCTTGAAAAGATCCTGTAAGAGTTCATGGACATCCTCACTAAGTATACTGGATGATTCGGTTGAAGTCATTGGTGTAGCACCTGGTAGTTCATGGACAGATCTACTCAGACTTTCTAGTGAATCCGAGAGTGAATTCAACAGCAATGGAGTACCTTTTTCGGGATCGTCCCTATCCAAATCTTTGGTTAATCTATCGTTATTATAGTAACTAAGAAGTATAGTTAACAGGGTAGAATGCCGATCGCGGAATGCTTTGGTTATGCTTTCCCTAGACGTCAAAGAGCGGCGGTATTTGTCTTCTGCGTATAGCTGCGGCTGAGTTTAGATATGGGATTGTAGAATAACTTGTAAATACCTTCCAAATTGATACCAATGTAGCTGCAAATGATGATGAAATGATGCAGCCATAAGCGACGTTCTGAAAGAATTGTGGAAGCGTACTAGCCGTACGTATTACATCAACATTCTATGGATAAAATTAATAATAGATTTTATTAACTTACAAATTCACTCACTTTGGTCATGATAGTATCTTTAAAAGTGACGATAACGTTCTAATGCAAAGACTATTTGGATTTAATCAAGCGAAAGCACCTAAAACTAGTTTAAATGACGCAATAAAGAGTGTAAATTAACTTCACAGTTCTATCGCCTATCTCACTCATATTAGACAGAAACTAGAGCCTCGTCAATTGAATCAAAAGTGAAGAAATGTGATCAGGAGTTAGCGCAATTTAAGCAGCAGATGAATAGGTTACGTGATGGTCCAGGAAAGGTATATTTCCTCTTTACAGCCCCTGCCGTCTATCTAACCGTCCTGACAGCGAGCAGTACAACAACGCGCAATGCGTGTACTACAACAAAGAAAAGTGTATGTTCTTCATTCCGTTCGATACCAACTTATTTCTTCCTTTATAGCTATGAAGGTCAACTTGAACAACTTCAGCAACAAACATTCAACATGGAGCAAGCCCAGATGACAACAGAGAACCTCACTGGTACTATGGCGACTGTAGACGCTATGCAGACCGCCAATAAACAAATGAGGAAGCAGTACGGCAAGATCGATATCGATAAGATCGATTCCATTCAGGATGATATGCAGGACCTAATTGAATCGGCTACAGAAATACAGGAGACTCTAGGTAGATCGTATGGTGTGCCAGATGAAATTGATGAGGCTGATCTTGAAGCTGGTATGTCTTGCCTTCTTTGTTTATTCTAAGCTAATAGAAACTATGCAGAACTGGATGCACTAGGCGATGACCTCAACGAGATCGATGAAACGCCGTCGTATTTACAGAATCCAGATAGTAACCCCCCTGAGACAATCCCCGAGCTTTTGGAAACACCTGTGAGTCAAATATTTCATTTCCATTTTCATATAAACTAATACATTTTATTTAGCAACAAGACGCCACTGCACAGAAACAAGCACAAGCTAATCAATCGCGTAGCGAGTCTGCCGTCGTTTAGCTATCTCTACTCTTTCTTGATTGCGGCTTTGACGTGATCAATATAATCATGAACACCAATCCACTACAAATTCATCTCATTAGCTTTCTTTCTTTGTATACGTTGATCAACAAACTGAAATACCCACATATTCTAAAATATCTAGTACGAATTGAGGTAAATGATAGTACCAGCTAGCTCCATGAACAAAGTATGGCGAGCGTATATCACCAGTGCGTCTCGTATTCAAATCTACAATAATTCTTCTCGCGAGATCGTTCGGATTAATTGAAGGTAAGGCTAAATCAGTCAACCAACTAGGTAATCTGGATGATTTGCTGTGTTTTACATTACCAAATAATTGTGTTTGAATCAACCCTGGTAAAACAAGACTAGTTTTGACATTTCTAGCATTATGCAAATGTTTCAGATCAACTCTAAGGCATTGGAATAAAGATATGACGGCTGCCTTACTAGCACAGTATGTTGCTGCTTGAGCTGCATGAAGTTCACCAAGAATCGAGGCTATACTGACTATATGCCCGCTATTTCTTTCGATGAAACCAGGTAAGAATGCACTGAGGATTTCCAGATGGCTGGTGAAGTTAACGTCAAGGGTACTTAGTAGCATGAGCACTATTTAAAAGACTTATGACATGCTTACTTTCTGAAATCCCTAGTTGTGCTATCAACGAGTGATTTTGCGTCAAAAGCGCCAGCATTCAAGATAACAACTGTCGGTGTACCATGCTAGAATATTTGTGATGAACACTTAATTATAATGCTATCTAATCTCCACTAACCTCTTTGATGACAGTTTTACAGACGGACTGAAGTTGTGTACTGTCTGCGATGTCGCAATTGATTGTTTGAAGTCCTATTAACTCGGTCGTTAAGCTAAATTACAATTAAGCTGCAGGACCTACTCTCGTGAGTGATATCATTATCGGCAATATCAACATTTATGATTAGTTTAGGACGCATCACGAGGAGTTCTTTGACGAGAGACTTTCCTAGCCCATTTGAACCTATATAGCGTCTAAATTAGCTCTTTGTTAACGTGAATTTGACTCACCGCCTGTCAAGAACACAACTTGGTTATTCCAGTCGATTTTAGACTGACAGCCAAGAAAGTACGCCATACTACCGTTCAAATAGGTAATTTTCGCCCGTCTATACAAAGATACAAATATGATAGCGCATAGGATGATGGTCTGGGTTTCTGAACAAATTCCAAAGTGATAGCTTATAAAATAATACACGATTGTTAGAGTTACTATTCTAAAATTATTTGAATCCCTTTTTGGTCTCTGAGTTTCGGTCATTTCAACGTTGACCGTCAACAACGATCTAGTTTTATAGGATGACGTCTGCGTTACATTTTGGAAATCCAGAGCATTTGTTACCCCCTTCTTGGAGATCTCAAGTAAGTTCCTAGCCGAAAGCAGTTAGTTTTCTGATCTTCGCTTCAGGTACAACAATGGCTTAGCGAGGATACACCTTCATTTGATGTCAGTTTCATTTAAACCTTGAGAAATCTCCTAATAAACTTTAAAGTGGGCTGGTTTCGTCGTCGGAGAAGAATATCGTGATGCCAAATTACTCGGAAAGAGGAAGGTTTGTATGGCATAACATAAGAAGTTATGCTTATATTGCTACGTTAGGGTGTACTTGCAGGTAAACCATTCGTAGATGAGATTTTCAAACAATTGAATTGCACGTAAGCCGTCGGGGGTACTCTTTGTTCAACAATTTATTTCGCTATAGCATCGAATGGCACGTAAAAGAAGGAGAGTCATTTGAACCAATCAAGCACATCGCTACTGTTAGGGGTGCAGTTCGCTACCTTCTCCTTGGTGAGCGTGTTGCTCTCAATGTATTATCAAGGTATGTTTTTGTGAACGAATAGTGTCAATCTGACATCTACAGATGTTCTGGTATTGCAAGCATGTATGTATACTTACATGTTTACTTCTCATTCAACAAAACGTTTTCACAGGTCCCGTTGGTTCTTGGATACTTCTAGAGACGCAGGTTTTAAAGGTATAATTGCTGGAACACGTAAAACTACACCTGGTGAGTTGATACCTTGTAAAATATCTCGTTAAGTCCATCAACTAGGTTTTAGATTAGTCGAAAAGTATGGTATGATTGTCGGTGGTATAGATGCCCACCGCAATGATCTTTCTTCGATGGTTATGCTCAAAGAGTGAGTTACTTATTGCTTAAGTTCTATTTTAACACAGCCTAAGTAATCATATTTGGTCAAAAGGTCAGAGACGATACAACCCACATGCAAAATAACTTTAACACGGTTTAGGCTCTATTACAAATGCCATTCAAGCGGTCCGTTCAGTCGCTGGTTTCTCTTTGAGATTAGACGTCGAAGTAAGAGACGAAAAGGAAGCAAACGAAGCAATTGACGCAGGTGCAGATGTAATTATGCTTGACAATTTAGGTATGTCTAGACCACAGAAAACATCCGTAGAATACTCACTTTGTATACCAAGATGGTGAAGAACTACACCTTGTAAGCAAGAGATTGAAAGAGAAATGGACAGGCAAGCGTCACTTTTTGTTAGAAACAAGTGGAGGGATTGAAGCGCACAATCTGACTGAGAGACTGGGTGACAATATTGATGTGAGAATTGCTTATATCTCCTTTACCTTATTAACAACATTGTGAAGATTTTAAGTACGAGTGCAGTACATCAAAATGTGCAACATATAGATTACTCCATGAAGATTTCACGCGATTAAAAATAATAAGCATATATGAACTTCGTATTTGATTATAGCTACAACAAGATATGCTGAGCGGGATATTAATTACAAAATAGAAAACGAAATGAGTGTGGGTAATTAATTAGATTTATTCGATGTTCTCTTTTGGTGCTGAGCGCTTGAGAACCTTGATACTACCTAAAAACGCGTAAGAAACACGTGTTTGGTTGTGCAGAAGTGAAACTTACGAGCTCTGATACTAGGAAGCTTGTAGATAGGCGAGTTTTCATCTTGCTGGTACTTTTGGAGGCTGTAGTCTGCTTCAACATAGAGAAGTGAGCTGTATGTTGTTAGATAGACGAGTGTGATGTGACAAACATACCCCTTTCTGAGGTTACGTATTCTCTCTACTTGTTCACCAAATGCGAATACGGTGTGCCAGTTTGTTTCCTCCTGTGGTTCTATGGAATGTGAGTGACAGCTGAGCGAATAGCAAAGTACTCACGACCATCTTCAGCTGGAGCAACGGAGACAGACGTAGCTAAAGGGAGTCTAGTAAAATATCAGAATAATGCTTCAAATTGAAGTAAAGTGCGCACCTAGCGTAGTCTTTACCGTTCTTGCCGGTCTTGATCTCAGGCTCAGCGATATTTCCACAGAGGGTAATCTTTGCAAATGTGGATGCAGCGCGTGTGCCAACTACTGGCTGGATTTTTGGTAGGAGGTTTCTTAACATTTTCTCAGATGGTCGTTCTTAAACAAGAGCATCCATGAGCACGGCGAAAGTATACTGTGTGAACGGACAACCAAGCTCTGGGGCATCCAGCCTTCCACAATGGATTTCCAAGCGTAGATTAGCCGCTGAGCGTACTGCAGGGAAATCGAGAAAACGCTCGAAGGCGAAAGTCAAGGAGAGAGGTCTCGAGGAGTCACAGCTGACACTTATTCAAGAGTTTGGATTCCCTGAAGCCTCAAATAAAGTGAGAACGACGCCTGACGGTGAATTTGCACTCGCGACGGGCACCTACAAGCCACAGGTGAGGTGCTACGATTTGAGAGAATTGGCACTCAAGTGGGAAAGGCACACATCTTCAGAGAATGTCGACTTTCAGATTCTCTCGAACGACTGGACAAAAAGTGTACACCTCCAGAATGACAGAACAGTTTCAGTGCATTCGCAATCCCAGCTTCATTACTCTATTAGAGTACCTAAGTTTGGTAGATCACTCGCTTATCACTTCCCCTCTTGCGATACTTTGATTGGTGGTACTGGAAACCAAGTTTACCGCTTAAATTTGGAACAGGGTCGTTTTTTGAACCCCTTAGACCTCGATAGTACCACCGTAGAAGGTATCAATGCTGTAGATGTAAATCCAGCTCATCAACTCTGGTCTTTTGGTGTCGAAGGTAGCGGTGCAGGCGTGAAATTCTGGGATCCACGCTCTCGCAATCAAATCGGATCTTTGGATCTTCCAGCAGAATATTTACTCGAAGACAACATAGCAAACCTCGGTTCAGGTCCTTTAGGTGTTACAGCGTTGGCCTCACATTATAATGGTCTCTCATTAGCAGTCGGTACTTCTACTGGACATACCTTGCTGTACGATTTAAGAGCTAGTAAGCCTTTCGCAAGCAAAGATCAAGGTTATGGTTTACCTATCAAGAATCTTCAATGGTTAGAGAGTGCATCTGGCAGATACGACCAGGCTGATGGTAAAGTCGCAAGTGCTGATAGCAAAGTTATTAAAATCTGGGACAAGGAAAGTACTGAAAACTATGTTAACCTTACACCTGAATCTGATATCAATGATATGCACATTGTACCAAAGACTGGTCTTATCATGCTAGCTAACGAGGCACCTGATATGTCTAGTTACTACGTTCCTCAACTTGGTCCGGCACCAAAATGGTGTAGATTTTTGGACAACATAACAGAGGAATTAGAAGGTGATATGACTGGTGGAACAGGTCCTTCAGCTTGGTCTGACTACAAATTCGTCGATAAAAACGAGCTTGAAAATCTTAATCTTGGTCATCTCGTTGGAACAGCAGCACTTAAACCATACATGCATGGATTCTTCATGTCAAGTGAACTTTACAGTACAGCAAAGATGGTTTCTAATCCATTTGCTTACGCTGAACACAGAGAAAAGCAAATTCAAGATAAACTGGAGAAGCAAGCTGAATCTAGAATACGTAATGCTACTAAACCAAATGTTAAAATTAACAAGAATCTGGCTGATAAAGTAAATAAGAATGCAACCAAAAAAGGCAAGCAAGATGATCAAGCACTTCTCAATGATGATAGATTCAAGGATATGTTCGAAAATCCTGACTTCGAAATTGATGAAGAAAGCAAAGAGTATGCTCTTCGTAATCCAGCAGGCGTCAACAAAGGAAAGACTGCTGTTGAACAAGAGGAAGAAGAAAGTGACAGAGATTCCATGGATGAGGATATGTCAAAGGATAGTAGTAGTGAGGACGAAGATGAACAAGAAGAGCGCGAAGAAAGTGATGGTAAGTTTTTAAGAATTGCAAATTTCATTGATCTAATAATCTCAAGATAATATTATTTCAGCACCACGTCAAACCATCGCTGTACCAAAGCAAACGAAACCAAAGGCTAAACCAACTTTGGTTGCAGGTACAGTATCTGAACAAACAGGAAATGCTAGCGATTCATTTGGCGATAGACTCAAAGGTATTGAGAAAAAGCAGCAGGCTAAAAAAGCTGAAGACACATCATCCATCAGAAGAACTGGTGGTGGTGGTATGGAAATGGTCTTTCAGCCAAAGACAACAGAAGCCGACGATTACAAACCTCAACCAAAGAAGCAGAAAGGCAGGGAGCAGTTCGGTCACGGTCTCGAGAAAGGCGCACTTGTACAAGACGAAGGCAAAGACGAGCAAGGTAGAAGTCGACGTCGTAAGAATGTTAGAATGGCGTCGAATAACGCTCTCAGGAGATAGATATTATAGAATGATTTTATTTATTAATGCATCACATTTAATTCGTCATGTGTCGATATCAACTGATATCAAAAGGATTGAGTTTTGACAGTATATTGAATAATTATATTATCTAAAGTTATAATACTATTGTTTTTTTGTCGCTTAATATTATATTTACAATTTTACACTGTGATTTGGTATTTATGCGGTTTGTTTAAGTACCACAAGGTAGTTGAAATGAGTGCCACTGCATCTGCATCTGCATCTGCATCTACAACGACAGAAGTAAAACAACATCAAAGTATAAATGACCAGCCAAAGTCTTTAACAGAGAGGGTAAGTAGGGGCGACAAAGAAGGGAAGATCAAACTAGAGGGTATACCAAAGTTTGAAGACAAATACGAGGAACGTGAGTGGGTAAAAGAGCATATGGCAGCTGCTTTTAGATTCTGGGGTAGGATGGGTTACGGTGAAGGTTTGGCTGGTCACATTACCGTTGTTGACCCGGTCGATCCAAGTTGTTACTGGATGAACCCAATATGCGTGCACTTTGGTGTTATGACAAAATCAAAACTCGCTTTAGTCGGACCAGATGGTCATGTACGTCCGGAAGGTGCTCAGTTACCCATAAACACGGCAGGATTTTATATCCATAGCTCAATACACAAAGCTAGACCAGATATAAAGGCTGCTGGTCATACACACACACTATATGGTAAATCATGGAGCGTATTTGGCAAACCTATTGATATTATGAGCCAAGATAGTTGCTTATTCTATAACAATTTGGCAGTTTATAAGAATTTTGGTGGTATTGTCCTTGCCCAACAAGAAGGTGAAAACATCGCTGCAGCTCTTGGTAAAGCAAAAAACTGTATATTACAGGTGGGCATTTTATCACTTCTATGGTATTCTTCTTACAGCCAATAGAATCATGGATTGCTCACTGTGGGTGATACTGTTGATGAAATGGCGCACTCTTTCCATGCACTTGAGAGGGCCTGTCATATGCAACTCTTGACAGAAGCAGCAGCAGCAAACGGTCATCAAAAGTAGGACTGCTCTTGGCTTTATAGAATTATAAACTAATTCAATTTTAGGTTTGTCATTGATGATGAAGATGCTGCGTTTACGGCAGCTACGCTGTGCGATCCTGAAGCTACATACTTGGTTAGTCTACACGTTTGAAGGTTTGAAAATTTTCTCTGACTTGATACTAGAACTTCAAACCGGAATTTGATCTTCTGATTGAGACACAACCGGATTTACTTAGATAGATTTTATATAAGGCACGGATGTATTAAGAGCTTTTTGCGTGTATTTCTTCATTTATTTTATAGAACTCTCAATAAAGACTGAATATGTTATCAATACTTTTCAGCAATATTTTTTAAAAATTCCACAGATTTGATAACCGTGCACCGTGTTTTTATTGCGTGAAGATTTGCAGAATTACTAAAAGTATAAACAGATGCATACATATTATATGAACATAAGCGGTAGTAGTAGTAGATTTATTCGCTTTGGGGAGATGGTATATGTCTCATATTCATAGGACAATCTTGCAACCTTCATTTACTACAAGTCAATTACAAGTTAATTATGTACAGTGAGTATGCATCGCACCTTCAGTTGTTCTGAAAGTACAGAAAAATAGTGGAGACTTTAGGATCTACTTCCTACTAATAAAAGTTTTTGAAGATAGTTAAGAACGGAAAAAAGCTAGATGTAAGGTTATTGATATTTCATTATTATAATTATCGTGGAGTATAACGACATCTTTACTGCTATGTATGGCGTTGTCGAACATTTTCAGTCTATATACTCCAAGATTACCTCCCTTATTGTAAATTTGTAACAAATATACATTTACATATCTTTTTTTTTTTCGTTACAATGATAGCATCAATTAGTATCTTTTATCCTCCCATTGAGCTCATCGAATAGTGTAAGGGGTCTGTCGATAAATACATCATTGAATGAGTAATTTGATGGTGTGCATGAGTAATTATTGGAAGGTGGTGGAGATGGAAATACACATTGATCATCAGTTTTAGAACTACCATTCCAAGACTGACTTAAGGAAGGTAAACCTACTTTTTTGAGTTTCACTGAACGTATCTCTGACAAGAAATCATTCATATTTGGTTGTTTACTTTCATTTGTATCATGAGTAACATTTGAATTACTCTCTTTTAGCTTCAGTGAATCTTGTTTCAATGATGAAACGTAAGGTGTTGAGCTGGGTTGATCGGCTGCAAATTGTTTGAATTCTTGTGACCGTTGATGTTTTTTCTGTTGTTCTATCTTTGAATTTTTACCTTTACTATGCTTTTGATCCTTTTGATCAGATATCGCATACAATCTTTCTGTTAGATTTAATACTTGCTGTTCTAAATGCTGTATTCTACGTTCATTCCGAGCTTGAACTTGACTATGAAAAGTAGAGTTCCTTTCTATAACAGAGACGAGATTTTTGTAGCTTTCTTTTAACTCTCTGTATTCCTCATTGTCAACGGGATCAGTTGTACAGGGGACTGATTTTCCCTTCTCGTTAGAACAATTGCTTATACTATAGTCGTTGACAAGGGGCGGCGCCGGTGTAAATGGATAGCAACCTGGGACGAATGGTGTATTTGGATCTTTAATAGCTTCTCTTTCTCTAGATTTACCTGCGTTCTTCACTTCCTTAGTATAGCTAGTAGTTGCTTGTATGTTGCTGTTGTCATATTCGTCGAATAGGCTACGACTATCATGTGACCGATTTAAATTACTTTTCCGACTTTTCTTACGCTTTTTATTTGGCCTCTTATCCTCAGTATCTTCTAGATTATCCTGTGGCTAGTGATAAGAGATAATTCGACGACGTTTAACAATTTATACACGTACGTTAGACGCGTTTTCAAAATAAGTTTGCAAATCGTCTTCTGCGGTCTTCTTTATAGACGTGAAAAATCCCCGAATGACGCCAGATACGTCCATTTATCTATGACGGTTTCGGTTCAAGGTTCAGAATTTTAGAAAATATCTTATATCTAGTTTACATGTAATCTGAGCCAATTCGTCAATTCTATATTATAAACTGGAGTATTACTGCTGATGCTGAATACTTCTTGTTTGTTAATCGAGTGAACGATCAAGTCACATCCTTTATCTGTGATGAGAGGACGTATCGAGCTATACATTTTGTCAAAAACGTTGTGTCATGATTTAACACCTACATTTGCTCTTCTGCCTTCTTTCCTATCACGCAACGGTCAATTTCATCGATCAACCAAATAGATTTGTTTCCCAAACCAGAGCAAATTCCGCGGATAGCGTTTAGTAAAGCCACTTCTGTATCAGAAAATACTAAAGTCTTTAGTTGTGAGATTGTAGTCCGCTGTAGATACTGTCCCGATTGTACATAAACCGTATTCGGTGAATTGAGTGTCAAATTCATGATTTTATTCGAGCTTTTCTAGTTAAGCTCATTCCAAACGTATAAAAAGTATACTCACCCTCTTCCAAAATTAATTTGCGCTTGAGTCCCTATAATTGAAGGCATTTTCTCGTCGAAAAAGACACCCAAAATATCTGAAGCATGTGTCTTCTGCATGTAGTAGCCTGCCTCCAAGACATTAAACAACTTCAAAAGGTTTGTCATTCGAGCGAATAACGACTTCAAGTCTTCTAGAAAGCTTTCATAATGAATGAGATCAAGAAGATTCTTCATCACCTGGTTTGTATCATTTGCCCGATTCCTATAAGACCTCAACCGCAAAAGCTTCAATCCAAAAAGCAAAACGTCACATTTAACCGATATGTTTTCATCATCTTTGATGAACTCTTCCTCTCCAACCTATGAGATTGGTTATTAGCTATTAACGGTACAGCAACGTACTCACAAGTTCTAATGTAAGCTGTCGATTTGCATCAAGCTCAATAGCTATGAATTCTGCTGATGAAGTTATGACTATAGGTATCTGATTAGCTTCAGTTAATAGCTGTTTAGTCGTAAGATTATTTGATGTTGCGAACTTGTATGAAAGCTTACATCAGCGAAACAATCCTCATCAAAGGATGCATCTTGAGCGTTGTTCAAAGAATCCAATAAAGAGGTAATTCTTTCGTTTTCATTTTGGGCAAGATCATCTATATTATCGCTTGACTTTGAAGGAGAACAAATCTCAACAGTACTACCGTTTATTATTGATAATTTAAGACGTTTGCTGCGACGACTAGGTATATTTAACTTCGATTTACCCGTTTTAGATGGTTTAATATCAAACGAAGAGGTTGAAACCGACTTTATTTCGTTAGAAGCTGATTACATTAGTTTAGGTGTCATACAAATAGATGTCCTTACCTTCATCGATTGCATATGAGACCTTCAAGTCCTTAGCTGCCTTCTCCAAATCGAAAGCTGATTCTCTGATATTAGACGACGGTATTAATGACCAGTTATTATCACGTAAGGATAAACAATCACTCCAAAATGTATCATTCTGGTTATTAACTTGCTCGATTTGAGTTGATGCTCTTTCAAAGATATCAGCAGCAGATTGCAATGATTCAGTTTTCGTAGTGATAGATATTTTCGACTTTTTGAGAGCTTGATAAGAAGTGAGTTCAGTAGTTTCGATTGAGGCCACGCCAAGTGATTGTTTAGGTATTGGGAGTTGCATTTCCTCATTTAAATGTCGTGGTGTATCTGATAATAACAAATTGACGACATCTAAAGCAACAGCCAATTCATTTTGAGCATCTCTAAAATAGATTTGTTGAATAAAATGACATAATATGTTAATGAAACATAACTCACCCTAAATTTCTTAAAACTGATTGTTTCAATTCTAAAACGTCATTTGCAGTAAGTGAATCATCTCGCGGTTGATCATCCTCAGGTTCAGATTGCTTATCATCGTCATTCAATTCACGCAATTGATCCTCTAATAAGCTATTTGAGCTCACTTGACTAAAATCGCCTTTCTCTTGCCAAATTCTATGTAAAGTACGAGCGAATTCGGTATCTGGATCTTGTGGCTCATCATATATAGCTTCACCTGTTTCTGGTATATCGACTAAATCTCTATCACCATGATAACCTTGAATTTCTAATAAATTCGTCATTTATTAGATTTTATTAAATGATGGTCGTTTAGATTCAAGCTTCTCCTAACGATCACCATCACTATTGAGATGTCAAATGAATATCAAGAGAATAATTATACTAGAATTGATTTAACGAGATCTTATGATAAGAATATTAATTCATTAAAGCGTATCATGGTTCACTTACCTTGGTGGTCACACTTTTTTACTATTCTAATTATATTGTATTGTTGCGAAAGGTTATACGCAAAGTTGAGCTCGATATCACGAGAAAGTTCTTATAGATTGTTAGTCCACTTTATTTATCTTACTACCGTCTCAATTTCATCAGGGAACAACGAAGAAGATATGGTATCCCAGATAGCGATAAGAGATCTTTCAAGCAAGCATTGGCAGCTGCTAATGCTTCTCGTAGACAACGCGTAAAAGATATTCAAGCAGACGAAGAACGTCAGCGTTTAGATGAGAAAGAAGAATCTTCTCAATGGAGAATGTTAGGCAAATCGACAGGTTGGAATCGTGAGTGATTGATATAGTATGGATTATTAAATATTTACTATATTATAGCACATCCTAGTCGTTACAGTCCACCTGCTTTACCGGGTACTTTAGAAGAAAGTTATGAACCAGTTAAATATGATTATATACCTTCAACGTCATCAATTTACTATCCTAATAATGAGGAGCTTCCTAGTTTATTTGAAAGAGATGTAGAAAATGACAGATCAGTGATACTAGATGATCTAAATTCAAGTAATGAGCACCAAGATGAAGTAAATCAACGTACACGTAAACGATCGATGGATGAATCATCATATATCGATCAAGATACTTTGATTAAGCGTAGGCGAGCTACCTCAATTTCTACAAATCTATCAAATGTCTCAATGAATGAAGAATCCGTTGATAATGATTATAGCGATGACAATGATTCAAGGATGTCAATTACTCCTCAGAACGAAAATAGAGGACGTAAACGTAGCTTTGATGACACATCTGAAGTTTCTGTTGTCAGAACAAGGTATAAGAAAGCACCAAAAAATTCTGAAGAATGGACTGATATGAGTGGAACAACATACAAGTATGATAATGGAGTCAAAAAGCGCCTTGAAACAATCAAAGAATGGAGATCAAAATACAATATGCCAAAAGACTCTCAACATCCAGACCGTAACATTAAATTGAGAGTCTATGTTGAGAAATGGATTACAGATGATGATTATGAGTTACTTCTACAAAAGAACGAACTCGGTTGGCAACCTGATGAAGATGAGCTTAGCTCAGTTAATGAAAGCTCGATTTATAATCCGGATGAAGAGGTGTCACAGCAATCATCAAACAAACTATCCAGTACAAATTCGAGAAAGTCATCAAGCGTCTATTATATGACTAGAACCCCAATTAAACGTCACATCTCGAATCGTTCGAATGGTGTATCTTCGATAACATCTTCACCACCACCATTAAATGAAAGTACTCTACAATCAACGAGTAGATTACGTGTAAATAAGAAGAAGAAGTCAGATCTATCCCTATCAACTACTTTTGGCGATGCTGAAAAAGAAAAAAGGAAGGAAGCCGATTTACTCAAGGAGATACGAAATGAGAAGCGTATTAAGAAAGAAAAAGAACAAGAAGAAGAGCAAAGAAGGAAAGATGAAGCTCACAAAACAACAATCAAGAAGGAGCAACCAGAGGGATTAGAAGAGCAGGAAGTAAAATCAACGACACCTACGTTAAATTTGGGTAATCTAACTTCTACAAATGATAAGGTACCAAAAAGTAGTGGTGCTATGAGTAATACAGATGCAAAGACGGATGATAAAAAAGTGAATCTGCCATCGTTTAGTTTTGGTAGTACGGCAGGTTTAAAAGATGATACTAAACTACCAACGTCATCGAATATACCAAAACCGGGTGGATTTAGTTTCAATCTAGGCAAATAGTAGCTTAATTGATTTGTAAAATAGAGTTATTCATTTAGCAGTTTGTTACGCCGAATAGTTTTGCCGGAATAAATAAGAACCAATATTGATTCAATTTCTATCTCTGAGAATAACGATCAAGAGTGAACTCAGAATGCTGAAAAACATAAACAGATTAAATAAGAATATTTCCAGAGATTTATATAATAGGTCATCTCTTATTCGTCGACAAGGAATTAAGTCATATTCGTCACATTCGACACATTCTACACCAAATGAATCAACTGTTAATAGTAAACTTATATTCACAACTGGTGCTATATTAACAGGATTTGGATTGGTTTATTTCAATAACTACCAAGGTTCTGCTAATCAAGCTATCGCGAAAGTTGAAGAGAAGTTACCAGTTGATTCAGCTTCACGTGACTATCAGAAAGTTTATAATGCTATTGTAGATGTATTGGAAACAGAGGACTATGATGATGGCTCATTTGCTCCTGTTCTCCTCAGATTAGGTGCGTGATTTACTACTATCAACAGAATCAATTGACATAATGTAGCTTGGCATGCAAGCGGTACTTACGTTAGTACTATACTTACACTTAGACTGACAATCGCTTATTATAATGCAGAGCAAGTATGACAAAGCCAACCCAGGTGGATCAAACAAAGCTACGATGCGTTTCAAGGCTGAAGCAAAAGATGAGGCAAATGCAGGTTTAGAAATCGGTAGAGGTTAGTTACCAAAATGACCGTTTGATAACTATCTAACTATATTTAGATCTTCTGAACAACAAAGTAAAACCACAGTTCCCATGGATTTCATATGGCGATTTATGGACCTTAGCCGGTGTTGTTGGATTGCAAGAAATGGGTGGTCCAAAGGCAAGTATCGTTTAAATTATAAATTTCACTAACAACTTTTAGGTTGCTTGGCGCCCTGGCCGTATAGATGGTACAGATGAACGTGAAGCAATTACGAATAGGCTTCCAGATGGTGCTAAAGATGAGCATCATATTCAAAACATATTCAATAGATTAGGATTTAATGACAGAGAAGCAGTTTGCTTGATTGGTGCTCATGCAGTTGGTAGAACCCATAAAGATCGTAGCGGATTTGAAGGTCCTTGGACATTCAGTCCAATCTCCTTCTCTAATCAATTTTACAAACTGTTACTTGAATCCGATTGGAAAGAAAAACAATGGGATGGACCAAAACAGTACGAAGATCAAGAGACAAAATCTTTAATGATGCTTCCAACAGATTACGCGCTTAGAACAAGTGAGCGTTACAGACCATACGTTGAAAAATATGCGGAAAATGAGGACTTATTCTTTGAAGATTTCGCCAAAGCTTTTGCAAAATTAATTGAATTGGGAGTACCCCTCAAACAATTTGAGCATTCACCGCCAGTATTTTTTAAAACCTCAGATGAAGTTGATTCATAATCATGTAGAGAAATTTCTATGTATGATTTTAGTTTGCAAAGTAAATACGCCAAATGAGATAAGCAGAAATTGCTACTAGTGGGAATAAAATGTTGCTAAGACTAGAATTAAGTAATTAGATAGTGAAACAGATTATTAGAAAATGAACAAACAGTGAAGCTCTTGTATCAGAAGATTTTGTACCAGTTTGTGAAGAAGAAGAAACTTTTGAAGGCTGTGAATATGTTTAGAGATTTGTATTCTCGTTATAGAGATGATTACTACTTACACCGTCGAATTCACCGATGTAGAGGCTATCCAATTGTGACCTAGCTTCATCAGAGTGACCCTTTGATTAATTAGTAAAGTAGTCTATTTAATTATATACTAACGATATCATCGAATGCTTCAGTAGCGTCTTTACCACCTTCGGAGATTATAACTTCATCACCACCTGGATGCTAGTCTATTTAAGGAGAAGAAATAGATTTATAATGAATAAACAAACCTCATCAAGGAACTTTGTACAATCATAGACTAAATTGACGTGTTAGGTTAATGGAGACTATTAGTAAATGAGATACCTTTTCCATTTATTAAGAGCCACATATCTTCATTAGATTGATGTTGCTTTAAATCTTCTATCGTGTACTTTTTATTTTCTGTCATTAATGAACTGATTATGGTTGGTTCGTGGTTAAATGAGAAGACAGTCGATGGAAAGTAATGAGAAAATATTATTATAAAAATTAAAAGATAATGTATATATAAAATGACAAAATATATTAAATTAATATGCGGCCCGGTTAGTGCTCAATAAAGAACTGTGGACTTTATTGAGCGTGGAGGACAACTGTTGTTAAGTCTATCAATTCAAAGTTATGAGTACACCATGCCCATCCTGCTACAGATGATGTCGGACGCCAACCCAACGACGTACTCAAGGCAAATTTAAATTGATGTGGTTTAATTGAAAGAGGTTTTGAAGGATTGTCGCAAATTTATAGGAATGAAAATCTGACTTAGGGTTACATCGAAGCGCACGATGGGAATTTGATCAAGTTGGAACTATCGAATCAAAATATCAAGATGAATTATTCATTTGCTACAGATTCAAGTTATGAAGAGCATGTGAGTTTTTATTTCATTCAATTTAATATCAATTTAAATACTTTTAGATACAAGAAATCGTTGGATTCTTATCTAGACAGTTAGCTGAGAATGATAAGAATAACTTTATTGAAATTTACCAAAATAAGCTTATAGATTTGAACCAAGATAAAAAAGTTGAAATCTTAGATAGTCTATTGCTTGATATTAAAGGTTTAGGTTTAGGTAGTTGGTCCGGTAAGTTTATATTCTCTCCAAACAGACTTTCCTAACAATAATGGATGAAAGAAATTGAAGGATTTTTTAACTTAGTCGGTTATTTGATCGTTGATTTATTCGAAAAATCTAAAGTTGAAACAACTTATAAGGAATTAATCAATAAGTTAGCAATCACTAACTCAATTGATAAGAAGTTATTATTATACAAGGTTATTTATAACTTAATAAACAACCTCAGTCAAGAGTATTCTGAATTAAGACTTGAGTCATATAAGCAATTATTAGAATTATCAATAAAGAACAATGATTTACAGTTCGTTTTACAAGATTATAATTTGGTTAGTGATTTAAATGATCCTCATTTCTTTTTGACAATATCAAACTATTACGATCAATCAAATTTGAATAAAGAATCTTTAGACTATTTAATCAAATATTTATCTTTCAATGAAAATGACAATAACCAATCTAAACTTCTCATCAAGAAAGTTTTAGAGGATAAGGAAAATTTTAGTCTCGCTCAACTACTTGAATTAAAGGCGATTATTAATGTTGAACAATCAACTGAATTCAATTTGCTATCTTCAATCATAAAGTTAAATGATGATCAATTTAAAAAATCAATTGATCAATTAGATATTGACAAAGAAGTGGTAAATCACAAATATTTATTAATAAAGCTCAACAATTATTGCTCCAACTTCATTGGTAAAGACATTGCATATGATGACATTTCCACAAACTTCAGGATTGAGATAAACCGCGTTGAGTTATTGTTGATCGAACTTATTAAATCTGGTTTGACAATTGCTAGACTCAACCAATCAACCAAGACTTTCAAAGTCAGTCACTCTAACAAGTTGATGATAGAACAACAGGATTGGTTAAATATTAAAACTAATTTGATAAATATAAAATCAAACTTGAATAAAATCTTGAACGTTTTGTAAATTTAAAACCTCATTATATATTATTGATGCCCTATGTGGAAACCATGGAACTGACTAAGGATTGATTATTTAAATTGTTTAGTTTCGAGTTGCAAATTTTCGTCAAGTCAAAAAAAAATTCTGTAAAGAATGACAACTAAACCCCTAAATATAGGTTACTGTTATTTTATTATTTGTGAGAAGCCCCATTGTTAGTTTTTATGGTGAGTTGTTAACGTACCTAATATTTCATTATTCGACATTACTACTCAACGCGACTGAATAATAAATAGAATGACGGATATATTTAAGAGTTTTATTCATCTTTGCAATATATAATCTACGTGAGTAATATTGTTAATTCAGAGTATCATACTAAGACCATTATCTGAAGTTTGTTCCGGTCTTAGAATGTATATACAAGAAAGATATTATCAATGATATTGATTACAAGGAAAATCGTTTGATTGTTTAAAGTCGACGGTAACTGATACTTACTTTTATGGAGCTACTTTTTAATAAAGTATATATTTAAATATATTTAAGTTATTATAAAACAAGCTATTCACCCTTTATAATTACTTAATTTAATCTTGATCTCGCATCATCATCATCAATTATGCTGATCAAACCAATTAGAACGAATTTTAAGAGAATAAATATACGTAATTATTCAATAAAACATCAAAAGAGATCTAGAATTATTGATATATTACTCTTCTCTTCTGCATCTCTTGGTTTATACGCTTTATACTCACACTTTAGTCACAATCAATCTTTACCTTTAATTTCAACCAATAGTTTCACTATACCAACTAAAAATAAAGATGGTATACCTACGATTACAACTATAAAGAAGCTTTCTTCAAACGCTATAAATCAATTACTTAGAGCCAATGAATCAGCTACTTCAATTAATAGACCCGGTTCTAGTTTAATTAAAGAATATCATAATAATTCTATTTCTTCTAACAATCCAATAGAAGATAGGTCTTCTCAAATCTTTTTAGAAAGGGATTTCAAACCGAAAGATATTTCAGACTTCTGTAGGAAGGGCGATTTATATTTCTTTTGCGTTTTCGATGGTCATTCTGGGTTTAAAACTTCAGATCTTTTATCCAAATCTTTAATTCCTTTCACTGTTTTACATTTATCATCATTATTCAATAATATTCAACCAACAAGTTCAAATTATTTTGATAACCTCAAAAATAAATTCCTACCGATCAACTTTAGTAATCCTTTAGATTCTCAACCTAAGTTTGTTATACAAGCTATAAAAAACGCTTTCATAAGCTTAGATAATGCTTTATTACAAGCTCCTATAAATACTTTAAATCAATTACCAAAAACTATATCCCCACCAAAATCCCCTGATGAATCCTTATTGTCAGTATTATCAGGTTCATGCGCTTTAATGGCTTACTTTGACGAATTGCGTCAAGATTTATATATTGCATTAACAGGTGATTCAAGAGCTGTAGCTGGTTATTATGAGAATGGTAAATGGAGAGTCGAAGTTTTAACAAATGATCAAACCGGTAAATCTAAATCAGAAATCCAAAGGTGGGTTCAATTCCTTTTTCTTTGGATTTTCATTCTTACGAAGTAAAATTAGAATTCAATCTGAACATCCTTCAGCTGAATCACCATATGTTATTCAGCGTGGTAGAGTGTTAGGTGGTCTAGAAGTGAGTTGTATTATTTATTCCTTCTGCAATAGTCTAATTTTTAATAGCCTACCAGAGCTTTTGGTGATGCGCGGTATAAATGGTCTGCACCACTACAATCACAACTTTCAAATGCACTGTTACCTCCTTCTTACCCCATAAGAGGACCACCAAGAGGTTTACTTACCCCTCCTTACGTTACCGCAGAACCCGAAGTAACCCATCGTAAAATAGACAAAACAAATAAACCTCAATTCTTAATTCTAGCTACAGATGGTCTTTGGGATAGATTATCAAATGAAGAAGCTGTTGCTCTCGTTGGTAAGGCCTTAGATGGAACAGGGCCTTTAGGTGGTTCAAAAGGTAAATCAATTATGAGTAAGTCAGAGTTACTAGAAAACGTCGTATCGATAAAAGGCGATAAACAAATTCAAAAACCAATTCAATCGTCAAATCACAATCAAACAGTAAGTGAATCTGATGAAAGTCAATACATCTTCAATGAATCAAACCTTTCAACATTATTGATTAAAAATGCACTAGGTGGAGCACATGAAAACCAAGTATCTGCTTTACTTTCAATACCTGCGCCACATTCAAGACGATTTTTTGACGATACAACTGTTTCCGTTATCATTTTAAATGATGAAGATAACAAATTTCAAAACTTAAATATAAAAAAACAAATCGCAAATGTACAAAAGCTACAGGATAATTTAAAAATGTAATATCATCTCTATAAACATTTTTCATCTCACGCACTAACCGATTTGTCTCTTATTTACAACCAACGTTGAACGTGCTTAGTCAATAATTAATTAAATTTTAACTTTCTTTCATACAACATCATGGAACTTAAACAAATAAATACAAATGGAACCGCTCTGCCTGCCTGGTCAGTTTTTGATGATAAGATTGATAAATGAAGACTAAACTTATTGATAGTTTCGGCCATCGCGGGGCATGTAATTTAGTTTAAAATTTCGATCCTAACCTCTATTCAGGCTAGCGCAGGTTATCCTGAAAACACAATGGCCGCATTCAAAGGTGCAATATTGTACGTACGTCATTTAAATAGGGGCTATCTGATTAATTTATTAAATGAAGAGACGGATCTGAGGGTATAGAAAGTGGTGAGTTAATCTCTGCCTCTCCGATTATATCTCAATTGCGCCCTACAATAGATGTTCATATCTGGTATGCTTAATTTTTCTGCGATATAAGTACTAATGCAATGATCGAACAGCGCTGACGATGTTATCGTTATGTTTCATGATCCTGAATTAGATCGCTTGACTAATGGTTCAGGTAGTATCCCAGAAAAGCCTTACGTTGGTGATATAGAACATATACGTACCATACAGACACCGCCTCAACCGATTCCTAAGTTTGAAGAAGCGCTTGAATTACTTATGAAACCGGAAAATAGACACGTGAAATTCAATGTATGTTTTACCATTTCTTATGATGATATACAATTAACAACACAGATTGACATTAAGCCAAATAATCCTCCGGAAAGATTATTTTCAATTATGCATAAGCATATATCTCAGTATCCTAATTATGAGAATGAATTAGCACCTCGTCTTATCTTAGGTAAGTTGATCACATCCAATGAATAATTAAAATCAATTATTTTGAAGGTCTTTGGCATCCAAAGTTTATTCAACCTGCGAAAGATATTATTCCATATGCATACTTGGCTCACATTGGCATGAGTTTATCTTTAGCACGCTCGCATTTCTTCGTAAGCATAATTCCTCATATTGAATAACTGCTTATCGTCTTGCAGGATCATGTAAAGATTTTAAGCATGTCTTTTAGTTCTCTTATGGGTAACGACGGTCAAACATTCCTTAGAGAATGTAAAAAATCAAATAAAGGTGTTATGGTTTGGACGGTAAACAGTCGCTCAGAGATGATCGAAGCCTCGAAGGTTATTATTACTTTCTGTCCATTTATTTACGTCTTATGTAACATTACAGTGGGAAGTAGATGGTATAATTACAGATGAAACTAAATATCTTGTTCAATTACGTAAAGATATGTCATCGTAAGTACTACTGAGTTCGATTCTTTCCTAGTCTAATATCTATGAACAGCCAATTTGAGACTATAGTTAAGGAAAATGGCTTCCTATTCCCGTGGTCCTCTATCAAATACTACAAGCCAATGACAGAACTAGCTGCATACATGGAAAAGAAATACATTGAGAGTTACGGGGGTGAAATCAGCGCCGCTGCTTAGAATAATTTGTAATTTTTCAGCTATTTTTCATTTGCTTTATCATCAATACACATGATTGTAGGTATACTAAACTCTAAAGTCTTAGACGTCTGAAAAGTAAGGTATTTACTCCGCGCTATGTTGGATGGCACCGTCATAGTAGTTAATATATATAAAAAGTACACAGTTAGCTTGTAGATAATATGACTGTAATTATTACTTTTCAATCTCTCTTTGGTATTTTTTTAGTTTTTGATCGTCGAATACTTAATACCTTTCAATTATTGATAAGTTTTGGAAGTTTTAAACTAGAGAATGTTATGAGATAGAAGAGCAATAAATTGTGTTATAAGTTCTGAGAAAGATATATGTTCATTAATTCACATGTTCTTAGATATCTAACAATGGTGTTGTGAGTACATTATAATTCATATCAACGGTGTGAGTGTATTCATTCAAAAGATTGTATATCCCATGATCAGCTAGTGTTATAACTTATTATTTATAGCAAGTTTGATATTGTGACGACAAACATTCTTACTACCCATTGGGATGAGACATTTCAGAACGCATGAAGGGGAC